GTTCAGGTTTCTGCTGAATAGAGGGGCTCATCCGGTTAAACACCACGACCTTATAGAAGACCGCGAGATGGAAGTATTATATTTTCGCGTTTCGTCTGCTGAGTGTTGCGATACCCTTGTCGACTCTTTATTAAATGGTGGCAACGCATCTGCAAACCTACGGGTGTTGCAGATTTCCATTGGCGTCGGTTATCACTGATCAACAGATGGACCGCCAGTTCGCTTGCCAACTTCTCACATTAAAAGAAGAATCACGTATTAGATGAACCATCGGAAGCCAGATAATAAATTAGAACGCGAACAACCGCCGTGAAAAACCGACGATCCAAGAATAATTAGGCAGGAAAGCTGTAGACATGACGATGTTTATTTATACTAACCGAAGCATTCGTGGGCCGATTATTTTGCTTCGGAGCAATGCGCCCAAACTACGCGTCACTCAACTTCAAGCGTGGTCACAATACGGTATGCCTCAAACCAGAATAGATTCGCGCGAAACGAGCCCGCACCGCGGAGGCATTCGCGGCGCTTTGATCCCGCCCGCTGTCGATCATTTACTTGTCCATTAACTGCCATAATGCAACGCTCTTAGATCGACACACACGTCTCCGGCTGTCGTAACTCAATTACACGCTTGGAGGTCGGCGTGCCATCGACACCCGAATGTCTGTCCGTCTTGCCGACGCGAGCTGTTTTTTCAAAATATCCTACTTTACGTAGATTTATGGAACACTGGCGAAAGTGTGGTAGGGCCACGCAACATTGTTCACTGTCGCACAAATGGGCATAGAAGACCAGCGTAAAATAGAACTGTTACAGTTCGGTGTTTCGTCTGGTGAGTGAGGTAGCAGGGGCCAACCTAATTTAAATGTGGCGTCGTATTTACAAGCCTACGGGTGTTGCAAATGTCCATGGGTGGCGGTTATCACTTAACATCAGGTGAACCGGCAGGTCGTTTGCCACTTTCTCACAGACGTAGTCGCGGGCAGTAGCTAGTTATAACGTTACGTCTGCGTAGAATAGGCTAAAGGCGTAAGATTCAGACAGAAGAACAGATATACATAAAATATGTATATAAATTATAGCCTATGTCTTATTCTGACATATAAGCTATATTATTGTAAAGTTTCATTAAAATCCATGCAGTAGTATTTGCCTGAAGGAGTAACAAACAAACATCCATCCATACATCAAACTTCGCCTTTATAATATTAGTAAGGATTTGTATGTCCATCTGGAATTACTAAACTTTCAAATATTGAGGGAGTTTTGAGGCGCTGTGAGATTCCCATACAGTTCCACGAAAAAATCGGATTCTTTATCTTTATAATAAGTAGCTATAGGCTTAAGATTAAAGATTTTAACATATGTATAAAATAGCCTATGTCTTATCTGCATATAAGTATATTATTGTTGCAGTAGTATTTGCGTGAAAGAGTAACAAACATCCATCCATACATACAAACTTCGCCTTTATAATATTAGTAAGGATTCTTCTGTACGTGTTAGTCACTGAACACCTAAACGGCTGGACAGATTTTATGAAATTTTTTGTGTTTTATTCAGCCGGATTATGGTGGAGATGGTGGAGGTATCACAACATTTTCATTAACTTATTCAAAAAGTTTGAAGTTTTCGGATTTAAGACGTGTATACAGGACAACGTCTGTCAGGTCCGCTAGTATTAATATAGATTTTAACACTTTAATAGAAGTGCGACGCCTAAAGATCTCTTTTTAAAGATTAAATTGTTTTGTCAATCCTCTAAGATGAGCTACATAGTGAACTCTATATTATCATTAGTTAATACCGTAGTGCGACCGATGTTTTAAAAACAAAATAAAATTAACACAAAAAAAAATAACGTTAAATAAAATACTCAGTTAACTGTTTGTAGCCGGTATATGAGTCATTATCCTACTGCCCTTATCCCACTTAGATGGGGTTGGCACAACATGTAATGTGAATCATATTGTAAGTGGTTTTGGCTATGTTTTTACGACAGGCCGCCTGCCTGACGTCAAACCTCCTTGGGAAACAAACACCCAGATCCGGAACAATTATGTGGGTCACCCAAATACTTGTCCCGTGTGGAAATCGAACCCACGACACCCGACGTCGAAGCCGATAGCTTAGCAACGGAGCCAACGAGTCATCAGAGGAATCTTTATGCAAAGTATAATAATACAAATCACATCACACTAAGTATAAAAATCTTAACGGGAGATTAACGTATCACGAAAACAAATGAATCCAAAATCAAAAATCGTTATGCTACATCAATTCGAACAATTTAGTCTAATTTATATTGAATATAATATTCATCGGCCATGTGTTATTTTACTTTTCAGGCACGATGTGCACAATTACTCATTCATTTTTATTCGATTCGATGTTATAGCTTTTGCTGAATGTATGGTGATTGGTCAAATGTAATTGTATAAAGTCCAGATCAACTAAATTATTTAAGTACTTGACCGTTTTAGCCAAATACAATAACAAACATTTTAAAAGTACACTATGGCTTGTACGATTTGTAAAATATAACTGATTTAAATCCCTATACCCAATGTTTATTGTGAGACGTGCTGGTTACAATAACATATTCGCTTAATAAAGCGCTTTATAATCCAATTATCCATTCCATTGGGCTACAGCGAACATCGGTAGTTGAGTAAACAACGCCATTGTAATCTCAATTCAACGCTCCCGAATGGCATACCAATTTAGCAACGTAACGATCGCCGGAACGTATCGAGGAAACAGAACAATTGGTTGACGCGTATTAGGAACCGCTCCTTAGAGTGCATTAAGCCGTTAATGCTCAGGTGGAACGCGAGAAGCCGGCCGGGGAATGTGGACGCGCGATGCGGTGAGCTCAGAGTGCCTAGAGACCAAAATACAGATACCCAACAGAGCAGCCGCGTTTATTTCGGACGGTCTACGTTGGCGGCTCGCGTCTACAAATGCGGCAGACGCGCTATCTGCCCAACTATTATATATTTATTCAATAAATATCCTCATACGCGAAGATTATTTTAGCCCGCACCGGTTTCGGATCTAGCTTTATTGTTCGCATGTGAAATTTAACAAGTTGCCTCTGACCGTTAGCCCGCGACATCAAATCTAGCAGAGCGATTGATGTGCGCGCAATAAATCATTTATGGAACACGGCAGCGACGTCCAACACGACATTAATTTGTAGAGATGAAATATTAATCGTTTTTCAATAGGTTCTCCGTGCTCTTTGATCTGTTATAATCTTATTTGTTCTTTCATGTCGTTTTCGTTGTTGACACGATTGAATTACTACGTTAATAAATTACGGATGGACCTTCAATTAGCTTATGTCCCATTTGTTTCGTTATCTATTCGATCAGACGCTTCTCGTGACAAGTTACAACCGCGCCACAGTTGCAGTTCAATGTCATCGCGGACCACCTGTAGCACTAACTCGCCTTTGACTAAAGCCACCTAGCTCGCTCGGATCGGTCGTAGTAAGCCTTCCAAATCCGAATACCCTAGCACCGGCGCTGGCTTGCGATAAGAAAATACCTAAGTGCCCACCGTCGACGAAAATATTCCGCGTCTCCGCTAACACACGAGTGGTTCGCTTTGTTGGCGAATCGAAACAATTATCACCTAACCGTCGCCACTGAATCCCCCATTGATCCCGGATGACGGAGGCGCCCAGATGCTAACAGAGCGGTACCGATTCGTTGACTAATTGACCACATTCGTCTTGTGGCGGCTGGCGGCCGCCGCGTACGCAAATAGAGCCGATGCGATTGACTTAGCCCACGTTGCCCGATTACACACGTCTATGAGACCTAGAGCGCGTGGAGTTGGACCGTTTTACGAGGCCCATACAAACGCAATCGCCTCGCTTTGCGCTAATGCGGACAAACATTAGCTATGAATGCGGAAATGAGGCGTGCAAACGTTCTCCTTTCGCAGACAAACACGTGCGAAAATACTTATAGGCATCTTTTAATTAATATTTCAACCATAATAAGAATAAATTCTATATAAAAGTAGCCTTATCAATTGTTCATCAGTTGTGTAACTTTTAGCATTAAGCGACCCTTTAGAATACAAGCAAGAAGATAAATATTAAATTAGTTGTACTTTATTAAACTCGATACAGAATGTCACGCCCTTCTCTTCTGTTCTGAGGACAACGTGTGCCCGTTACGAACAGCGTAATTACGTCGGAAGACGCACACGAAGCGAGGTCAGTGTACAATGTACACACGGGTCACGTACGTCACGGACAGACGTGGCCCAATGCGACGGATTCAGGACTAATTAACATACAAAACCACATGCCGTTTCCGATATCCCTCTCGCAGTAACATCTTAATTTAATAAGCGGTTCAACAGAGGTTAATGTGGAGATGTCTCATATCTGCCCTTCGCGGTATCGTTCATATTTGCTCTAACACATCGTTTTACCAAGACGTTTCAACAAAAATATTAGCAACCTCAATACGTAAATGCCTCCTTATCTATTCTGATAAAGCGTGCAAACAAAAGAAATCTCACTGTCTAATCGAGTTCCAATTGTAAAAGAACTCGTATGGTTTATCTCCTTATTAGCGCCAATCAAAAATTCTTAGCAATCTTAAATCAGCGTTGAATAATGACGATTAAATGAGCTTTGAATCAGAACACGTGTTTTATATTTATCTTTACCTATAAACATCGGAGAACGCTTAACGCTGTGAGTAGCGTGCGTTAAAATTAAATGTAAAGAATCTTGTTAATAGACTCCGCTATTTGGGGACCGAGAGGGCCTTTTAGCTTTTGCTCTATTCAACACAGCCTTAAACATGGTGAACTGATGCAAGTAACATCCATTTAGTCAATGTACGTATATTTATGTACGATCGTAACTGCCGGGATACATCTCATGCCAGCTCTGGCTGGTTTATCGTTCGTAAAATTCCCTCCTTTGATGTTATGTTCAAACCACTAAATACGGTGCTTCTTTGTTTCAGAATTACCTGCTGAAGAAGGTGAGGAAGGACTTTTATATTTGAGATGGGATTATATTTATTATGAAATATGAAACAATATGCCCACGTAGTTTTAAATATCCAATAAACATCTACAACTCGCAATTTAACATCCTCTAATTCAGATATGGGGTTATTTATAGTATATTTAAATTATCTATCATCCAAGTATACGGTTTGTGGAGCGTTACAATAACATAATATCTTGACCTTATTCAAAATCTCACACTTTACTATGAACGTCAACGTAGAAACCTTTTAAGTCTCCACAAGATTCCTACAGACACCATAATGCGTTTATTTGTTTTATAGGCAAAAGTATATGGCAGTTAGTTCTGGAACAATTCGATGACCTGTTAGTGAAGATTTTGCTGTTAGCAGCTATTATTTCCTTCGTAAGTACTGTAAAACGTCAATTAAGATAACATTATCAATTTTGTTTTTGTTTTTAAATAATTAAACTGCTAATTAATTTTCAACAGGTTTTAGCTTTATTTGAAGAACATGAAGACGCATTCTCAGCCTTCGTGGAACCATTCGTTATTTTATTAATTCTCATTGCCAACGCGGTCGTAGGAGTATGGCAGGTAAGAAAACGACATCTTATTTTGTTATGTTTTGCTGTATACACTAGAAAACAAACTGTCTTACTTGAAACTTTTAAAAACGTGGAAAAGATAAAAAAAAAATACTCTGAATACAAACTATATTACTCCTTTGCAGGAACGGAACGCAGAATCTGCCATCGAAGCTTTAAAAGAATACGAACCCGAAATGGGTAAAGTGGTTAGAGGCGATAAAGCTGGTGTTCAGAAAATCCGCGCTAAGGAAATCGTTCCCGGTGACGTAGTGGAAGTGTCCGTTGGTGACAAAATTCCCGCCGATATCCGCCTTATTAAAATCTATTCCACCACCATCCGTATTGACCAGTCCATCCTGACTGGCGAATCGGTATCCGTCATCAAGCACACGGATGCCATTCCCGACCCCCGCGCCGTCAACCAGGACAAGAAGAACATCCTGTTCTCCGGTACCAATGTCGCCGCCGGCAAGGCCCGCGGTATCGTCATCGGAACTGGTCTCAACACAGCCATTGGTAAGATCCGTACGGAAATGTCTGAGACCGAGGAGATTAAGACACCGCTGCAGCAAAAACTTGACGAATTCGGCGAGCAGTTGTCTAAGGTTATCTCCGTCATCTGCGTTGCCGTCTGGGCCATCAATATCGGACACTTCAACGACCCCGCCCACGGTGGAAGCTGGATCAAGGGTGCCGTATACTACTTCAAGATCGCCGTCGCCTTGGCTGTCGCCGCCATCCCGGAAGGTCTGCCCGCTGTCATTACCACTTGTCTTGCTTTGGGTACCAGGAGAATGGCAAAGAAGAACGCTATCGTCAGGTCTCTGCCTTCCGTTGAAACTCTCGGTTGCACATCCGTCATCTGCTCTGATAAGACTGGCACACTGACCACCAACCAAATGTCCGTCTCTCGCATGTTCATTTTCGAAAAGATCGAGGGTGGTGACAGCAACTTCCTGGAGTTCGAAATCACTGGCTCCACATACGAGCCCATTGGCGACGTTTACCTGAAAGGACAGAAAGTCAAAGCCTCTGAGTTCGACGCCCTCCACGAATTAGCTACCATTTGCGTCATGTGCAATGACTCCGCTATCGATTTCAACGAATTCAAACAAGCCTTCGAGAAAGTCGGTGAAGCTACCGAAACCGCCCTAATCGTGCTCGCGGAGAAAATGAATCCCTTCAACGTCCCCAAGAGCGGTCTCGACCGCCGTTCCTCCGCCATCGTGGTTCGCCAGGAGATCGAGACCAAGTGGAAGAAAGAGTTCACCCTCGAGTTCTCCCGTGACAGGAAATCTATGTCGACCTACTGCACACCGCTGAAGCCCTCGCGCCTCGGCACCGGACCGAAACTGTTCGTCAAGGGTGCCCCTGAAGGTGTATTGGACCGCTGCACCCACGCCCGCGTCGGAACCACCAAGGTCGCCCTGAACACCACTCTGAAGAACCGCATCCTCGACCTGACCCGCCAGTACGGCACCGGCCGCGACACCCTCCGTTGCCTAGCGCTCGCCACCGCCGACAACCCGATGAAGCCCGACGACATGGACCTCGGCGACTCGTCCAAGTTCTACACCTACGAGGTCAACCTCACGTTCGTCGGCGTCGTGGGCATGTTGGACCCCCCACGCAAGGAAGTTTTCGACTCGATCGTCCGCTGCCGCGCCGCTGGCATCCGCGTCATCGTGATCACCGGCGACAACAAGGCCACCGCCGAAGCTATCTGCAGGTACTGTGACCAACATTGCAAGCATTTATTCGATTTCGGTTTACGGATCTCGTTGATCGTTTCGCTTTTCCAGGCGTATCGGTGTGTTCACCGAAGATGAGGACACCTTTGGCAAGTCCTACTCTGGCCGCGAGTTCGACGACCTGCCCGTCTCTGAACAGCGCGCTGCCTGCGCCAAGGCCCGCCTCTTCTCTCGCGTAGAGCCCGCCCACAAGTCCAAGATCGTTGAGTACTTGCAGAGCATGAACGAGATCTCCGCTATGGTCAGTGTTCTATACGATTCCATGTATTATTTCGTTTGGTTTCAAGATTTGAACTGACGAGGCTGAAAACAAAAAAAAAACTGATAATGTTTGTAAAACACCTGTGATAGTGCCATGCAACAGTCCACACTGTTGTACGAATGGGCACTCTGGCGAAGTACTACGACCTCGCAGAAGACCGACGTTAATTGGAAGTGTCACACTTCTGGGTTTGTCTGGGATCTAACTCGGGCCCACTTTATTAATGATGAAACGCATTTGCTATCCTACAGGTGAGGCAGATGTCCATGGGCGGTTATCACTTAACATCAGGTGAACCGCCAGCTCGCTTACCACTGCCTGACATAAAAAAAAGGATTAGGTTAAAAGGATTTGTTATCGTTCAGGATACACTGCTGGTTTGATTTTGCCTTTGGTTCGAGGTTATCTTTACCACATTATCCCTCCGTGTGGAAGATCAAAGAAAGACGGATTTAATCGTCCGGCCAACTAATGGAAACGAATATAGATCACATAAAACACAATTCGTTCGTAAGATACACTATATTTATGAACCGAATAAATTTCTCAATATTTATTGCACTGTTAACAATATCTTTATAAATACTCACAGCAATGCCGGCGTTATTTAATGTTTACGTATTTTATTATTGAGAATGCTTTCCAAATTGTTTATGTTGGGTGGTTGGTACTGTTTATAAACTGCTTCGTTCGAACCTATCAAGACTGAATCCGATATAACAATAACATTGCATTAGACCGAATGTCCCGATGTTAAGACATTACATCAGAAACATAATATTAATCTTGACCAAGCAATGTTTATGAAATTTACTGGCCTACTTTTCGCTTTTTTCATGTCTAGTACAGCTTTTGATATGTTTTATTTCCTCACGTATAATAACTTAGATGATTTTTATATAATATTTAAATATTGTACATTTTTTTTTATTTATTTCAATAATACCCTTCATGACAAGAACTAACTAGTTCTTGATTACCATCTTCCTAAATTATAAATGTGATGTAGGCGTAGACGATGAACGCGCTAGCTCGTTAAATGCCTCTTCACAAATTGAAGACGAACAAGAAATATTGTATTATACAATAAATTGATGACTCCGTAGCGCAGTTGTCAAGGTATTGGCTTCGACGCCGGGTGTCGTGGGTTCGATTCCCACCCGGGACAAAATTTGTGTGACCCATAGATAAATGTTTCGGATCTGGGTATTTGTCCATGTGAAATTTATGTCTGTAAAACACTCTCACATCACAGGATAATGTTATTATCAGTAGGGGCAATGTTTGTACAAAACGTAAAAAAAAATGCCTAAAAATGTACATGCGTCGTTTCAGACTGGTGATGGTGTAAACGACGCCCCCGCTCTGAAGAAGGCCGAAATCGGTATTGCCATGGGATCCGGTACCGCCGTAGCCAAGTCCGCCGCCGAGATGGTACTTGCCGACGATAACTTCTCCTCCATTGTCGCTGCCGTTGAAGAAGGTACGACAATCGACCAACACGTTGCTCCTGAATTATGGACCACCCTTTTTGCAACAACGATAATTTCCCTTTGCAATAGGATTTTTTTTTATCTCAGGCAGATTTTCGCCACATTCAACTCACCCGTCACTATTGCCGTTAAAATAAGTTGATGAGAACTTAACTCTAACTCATAACCTTTTTACTGTATCACTTTGTTTGTTTTTGCAAAACACATTTGATGTAAATTCAACTAATCGTTGAATTAAAATTTATCACAACAGGTCGTGCTATCTACAACAACATGAAGCAGTTCATCCGCTACCTGATCTCCTCGAACATCGGCGAGGTGGTGTCCATCTTCTTGACCGCCGCCCTGGGCCTCCCCGAAGCCCTGATCCCCGTGCAGCTGTTGTGGGTCAACTTGGTCACTGACGGTCTGCCCGCCACCGCCCTCGGCTTCAACCCACCGGACCTTGACATCATGGACAAGCCTCCCCGCAAAGCCGACGAAGGTCTCATCTCCGGATGGCTGTTCTTCAGGTAACAATTTCATTGGGTAATCTATTTTTTTAGTAATTAATAATTTACCTGTTAAATACAAACAAATTCCAGTATAAATCAATCATCTCCATGCTGCCCATGCATATATTTCGCTGCTGGGCAATAACACCTTTGTGTCAAGAAAAAGTCAGTCAAGGAGTCTTGCATATTAGCAGACACTTCATGACTCCGTGGAGCAGTCGCCAAGGTATCGGCTTCGGCGTCGGGGGTTCGATTCCCTCACGAGACAACTATTTGTGTGACCCACAGATAGTTGTTCCGCATCTGGGTGTTTGTCCGCGTGAAATTTATGTTTGTAAAAACGTCCTTACAACACAGGATAATATTATCCCAAAGTAAGGGCAATGTTTAAAAAAAAACGAAAGACTGAACACCCGTGATAATATTAGCTGGTGGATGGAAAAATAGCAAAAATGTTTGAGAACGCAGATGTGACTTTTGAAACATTACACCTTATCCACAATTTAAACATGTCTTAACTGTCTCACACCTCCAGGTACATGGCTATCGGTGGTTACGTCGGTATGGCCACAGTCGGTGCTGCTTCTTGGTGGTTCATGTACTCCCCATACGGACCCCAGATGACCTACTGGCAACTCACCCACCACTTGCAATGCCTCAGCGGAGGAGATGAATTCAAGGTATTGGCATTTGCTCAATTTTTTAAAGTTCAAATAATTTTAATTTATTTAAAAAGCATAGCAGTTATACTATCTTGCCTGTTGCAATTTTAAATTTATTGATGTCCCTGTTTATTTATGCACCAGCAATCTATTACTTTTTTTATTATTCAGCCAATATACCTAGTGGGTAACAAACAGTTCATAATATTCTACTGAGGCAAGTGCAGGTGGCACAAAAACCTAGTATTATTTCTTCTCAGCTATTATTATATAAGAGCTTATGCTTTAATTATACTTAATAACATAATTACAAATTCCAGGGCATTGACTGCAAGATCTTCACTGACCCTCACCCTATGACCATGGCGCTGTCAGTACTTGTCACCATTGAGATGTTAAACGCTATGAACAGCTTGTCCGAGAACCAGTCGCTGGTCACCATGCCCCCCTGGTCCAACATGTGGCTGGTCGGCTCCATGGCTCTCTCCTTCACACTCCACTTTGTCATTCTTTACGTTGAGGTTCTCTCGGTAAGTCATAATGTTCTATCACTATGGTCCCTTTAATCTGGTTTTATACTAATTGTGTTTGATGATTTTCATATGAATTCATTCGTCGATTTAAGCCTGTTTTAGCTAATCAATTGTTATACTTCAATGACTTTTTTTATGTTTCATCCATACACATTTCATTAAATCAGTTTTAACTTACAGGTACTTTGGTCTATCATTCATCTATTGTTTTGCCACCATATAACATGTTTGTATCGCGTGCACAGGCGGTGTTCCAAGTCACGCCACTGTCAGTAGACGAGTGGGTGACGGTGATGAAGTTCTCCATCCCCGTCGTCCTCCTGGACGAGGTGCTCAAGTTCGTCGCGCGCAAGATCTCCGACGGTAATACGCGCACTCTACTTGACTGGCTCAACGGCATGCAATGGATTGTGCTCATGTGGGCCGTTTTCTTTGGCATCATCATCTACGGACCCCTATAAGCCGGCCCGATCGTGTTCCGTGATTGATACCCCGTTTGATTCACACTTAATACCCTCCCATCGAATCCCGCACGACCCACCCTAGACGTTGGCTTCACATGCGTCGTCCGCTAGTGTGGGTGGTGCGAGGAGCCCCACTGTGGAAACCAATGGACTATGAGCTCCGCTCACCACAGTACCATCTAACCGTTTTGAGAGTATGCTAATACCGGAGCACAACGTGTGAAGTGATCTAGTGCACGAGTTCGCGTAATGGACCACTGAGGACTAGTGAATTTACCGATACAACGAGTGACCGATGAACATCTGATATTGAACTATGGCGGTGCTAAGCTCAAAATATTCATGCGACGTGGACGCGCTTCGGCAGAGCGCTCCGTATCTAAAGCTCTACCTACAATAAGTCTTGTAGTGTTCTCTGTTATTATACTTTAGAAGTAGATGTAATTGAGTCGTGGCGGCGATCACGCGGCCCGCGCGTTTTGCATTTTGCATGTGCGAGACAATAAATTCATTTATCACAATAGCAAACTTCATAGTCTACAGGATCCTCGTTCAGTACCTATATTGAGTCTGTGTACTCCCAAACGCTAAAAGTAAGTACTGTGAAGAACATCCTATATATAATTAATATCAGATTTCTCGTGATTTTTTCATGTATTTTAATGCCTATAATTTTTATTACTGTTGTTCTACGAAATTCCTTTAGACAAATTTCTGTTATATACTCGCACACGGCTCAGTACCTTGTCCATGTGGACTTCAGACATGTTTAAATTACTATACATAGTAATGTGCATTGTTAGCCTAGTGTAATTTATTCTAAGTATATGTTTAGGCTCAGCATTATGAATTTTTTCAAATTGTTCAAACAATATTTATTTCCTCTGTGTCCTACCACTTGTGTTTGCTTGTTAACAAATCCAAATGCATTTCGAACCCGTTTATTATTTTCGCTTATATCTCTGAACAAAAAGAGAGACTTTAGTGCGCCTGCTTATTTGTGCGCCTACCATCTAACTCTTATGACTAACCTATCAAATGTGTTTTGCATTTAATTAACTTTGTACTTTGTTCTAAACATTTGCATAACCAACTTAATGCAACATATATACAATTGTCTCGCTATGATGAAACTTTACCATGTAGTCTATTGTCTATATCTTGTAAAAATGGAGTATTTAATAAAACTATTTATAAAGCAATATACTTAGTCATTGTACAAACATTTAACGTATAGTTAAATTTTTCTCGCATTATTAGAATTACCACTTATTAAATGGACTTAACTAAACTGATCAAACAAATGATACTAATGAATGGAGACATAATATTAACTTAAGATATACAAAATTGTTACAGCTAAATTTGTCCATTTATTTAGAATTAAGGTAAAGGTCCGTAAATGAATAAGTTTTTTTTAAATAATAATTTATAAGATCCTGCATGTCTGCGATGCATGTTCTCTCCACGAGAGTACAGTTTGTTGTTTGGATTTAATTTGACACAAAAATATTGTTTAAGTATATTGAATATGTGTTATGTATGATTACATAATGAAGCGGCCAACAGTCACGAACATACATTATACATTACACTACACAATGAAGGGCATGCTCAAAATTTGTTATGAACAACCTCTCCTTGTATGACTGTCAATACCAAAATGTAGTGAACACATCAACAGTTAAACACCCCTTTATTTACATTAATTAAACTATCAAACCAAATGTTTGTTATTTTCCCTCTTTTACATTCTAGACAGTTGAACAAACCCTATATTTAATAATATTATCAAATATATTGCACACTTCCTCAATTCGAATACCAAGAACAGGTACAGTTGCTGCACATGTTACTAACATTGACGTTTTTTGTTTTCCTGCTAACAGTACTAGAAGTTTTGCAAGCTTGAAAAAAAATTGCTGTTAAATAAAAAATAAATATTAAATACATAAAATAGAAAGAATTGAAAAAAGTAGAATGATTACATGCATCTACGTTGCGATGATAACTTCATTACGATTCCAAACATACGTCCCATTGCCCACTTTGGGAAGCTGCGGCAAATTGGTACGTCTCGTCTGGAGGTCGTATTGCAAAACTTTAATACCTTACGGTCGCCATAGCAACGGGAGCTGAGCGGACCACCCCCTCCCGCATGCACTAACGTTGTGTTGTCTGCCCCCAGCCCAGCCGACGTGGAAGCTGTAAGCGCCGAGCGCTCGAGCCACCGCAGCACCGCACGCATATATTCCATGAACACTCATTGTTTGTTGTGATCCCGCAGTGAAAATAAAAAAATATATCCGCACACATTACAAAATAACTAGGACACGGTCGCGATCTCCGCACAGAGCCAGTAAGTTCGGAAGCGGCGCTCGTCACGCGCGCACCACACTAACGCTTACGTTGTTTTGCAGCGAACGAGGTGGTCATTGACAAGTGGTAAGCGCCACCGATACATAGTTCCTCCCGCTACTCTCTGCTACTTCGACCGCTCCCGTCTCCCGATACGTTAACATTAGCTTTTAGTAATGTCCGAGCTAAAGTTCCGAGAGGTTGCGTTAAGGCCGCGCCACACCGGGAGACCCGCCGCTGCGCTCGATCAACGGAGAGGACATGTTGTTCATAACGTGTATATACTATACAGTATGCTTAGGAGGTTTAATCGATTTGTTAAATTACGTTGTTTTTTTTTTTTCAAAGACTACATGGTGCCCGTCGACAAAAGCAATGCGATATACCATTGTGTACTTAAGTTGACAGCATGCTATTAATTTATTATTATATTTTTATGTTATTTCTAGTTTGCTTATCTAGAGTCGAGTCTATACTTCTATTAGTGCTGACGCCTTGACGAGCAATTTGGTGTCTGTAAGGGAAGGATATACATATTATCCAGTGTTTGGGACCTAACAGTCCAAAAAATTTAAACATACCTGTACATTTTAATGTATTATTGTTTTGTACAATAAATCGTTATTAAATAACTGATGTTTCCTTTATAATAAAAAAAAACAACAATTAGTCCAAAAAGCCTCAACTTCTTTTGTTTATATGACACTAGATATAATCTCTCTGACTCCTACATAATGAAAGAATGATCTCCGTTTTAGTAAAATATTTAATACATTATCGCAATGAAAGACATAAGGATACATAATACAAGAAGGAACCTTAAGGGCCTAGCGACGCGGTAAGTTGAGGAGTTAATTATTTATGCGACTACTAGAAATGTATAAAAATAAGATCAATAGGCGATTTTGTTTTGATTTGGTGAAGCTTCTATTATGCTACCCTGTGCATAGAGGCCTTGCCCAGCATTGGGACATACTTATACGCTTGGACGTAGTATTGTTGAAAGATCCTCTGCAATGTTGTACCACCAGTGGGCGTATGCTCTAAATTATATACGAATCTGTAACCTATGCGTAACGACCGCCTGAACATTGTAAAATTATTGACTTTTAACAGTTGATTAAATCGCACAGATTTAATGATGCTATAATGGGATGCTCCATATATGCAGTTAAAGTATACTCTGTTAGCACGGCGCACAGTGATTCGTCTCCATACAAGGAACTGGACATTAAAAACAGCCTTTAAAAATAGTTGCTTTCAAAAACCTTAAAATAATATCGCGTTCTACTAATTACGAGCAACAATAAATGCGATAAAAAAAATTCGATCCGACATAATATATATATTCGCGAATAAAAAAATAAATACGATTTTAGTACGGAAAGATACACAAATTACTACGTAACTCTTGAAGCCCTCTTTGTTTCAGTTCGCGGTATTCAAATTTTATTGTCAACATTTTATACTTATTTTTAGTTCCCTTCGGAGATACGATTAAAACGATGATTTCCATGGAGTAAAGTAACAGCCTATAAATGTCCCATTGCTGGACAAAGGTCTCCTCTCAAGGTTTAAAGGGTATCAGGTCAAAGTCCACCACGCGGCCCCACTGCGGATTGGCGGACTTCACAAATGTTCGAAATTTTTTTTTATTATTATTTCGAAAGGTTTTCCTGTTCACGATGTTTTCCTTCACCGATCAGCACGTGGTAATTTAGCACTTAAAATTACCAATTTCATTGCCGGCACCGGGGATCGAGCTCGATAAATTAAAAAAAATTAACTTAGTGACTACATTCTCTTTGCTCGGGTTGGTCGACTATATGAAATTAAAAGCTATCACCCGGCCAATGACATCACGGCTATAGTATATTTATTAATCTAATGAAACGTAAGTAACTTACAAGATTAAATCTATCTAAAATTACATATTATCTAATAAACCTAATCCACGCGGCATGGTGCCAAGAACGCTAGCTGCATTTCCTCGCAGAATAGTTATGCTTAACCTTTGAGCCAGAAAAGAACCAGCTCTCTTATCACCAGCCGCGGCGTTAAGCCTAGGACATAAACGTTTAAAAAAAATTGATGTGCGGGGAACCCCACGGACCTAAAGTTGCAACAGCAAATGGCACAAATACATAATCTAAACATAAAGACTCATATTTGCGCCATTTACTTACTTCAGCTGCCTCCGATGCCGCCCCGGCCCTGACCGAAGTACCCCTTAGATGAGACGCAGCCAAAGTGTCTACACAAGTGGCGTCCCAAACAAGGGCTTTGCCTCTCTCCCGGGGGATCAATGTTTAACCGTCGGGTCTCTTACCATCGTCGCGAAAAATGCCACAGGGCTCTAAAATAGATGGAACATTGATGGAAACAAGAGCCCTACGGATGATGTCGTTCAGGGAACTGTGGCGGGAAAAACGGCCAGCACTTTTTTGACAAGAAAGCCTGTGGAGACCAAAATTGTCTACACTGACACCACAAGGGCATTGGTGTGGTTCACAAATCGGTGCCCCCAGACGGATTCCTACAGCAATGCGTAAGCTTTCATCGTCAAGTGATGTGCCCAAGTTACTTGATGATAAAGCGTGAAGCCAATAATTCGATTCTTTAGATGAGACGCCTAGGAAACGGGCACGCTCAAATTACTTTCTAAAGATTGAAACGTATCTCTCTGTACTCTCCGCACCAAAGGAACATCCCACTGTTTTTGTAGGTTTACTTTCAGTGGGATATTTTCGTTGGGGCAAATAGACAGCCAAGACATCCTTGCCTAATCTGCATAGGAAAGTTCTGAAGCGTGATTAAGGATGTTATCACATAAATTATTTACGCTATGCACCGAAGCCAGGAAGGCAGGTAGAGCGACACTAGAAATTTTCCTTACACCGATACCACCAAAACGAATTGGCAGCGTAACTTGAGTCCAGCTTAATTCATTAAGAGATAAATTTAGAATTTTTTTCTAGAGCTGATTTAAGATGGAAATCAATTGCGTTCAAAAAGTCACCGCATTTCCAAACTGGACTCGAGCGGAGGAGGTACGTAAATTTAGATACAAGAATACAATGTCGCAAAATAGTAAGCGCAATATGTGAATTTAGTAAAAACAATTTATTAACATGATCTAAAAATTGATTTAACTTTAATTTTAAATGAGGTTCCAAACTTGGTATCAACAAAGGAGCACCTAAGAGGCAAAGTGAATCTGAACGGACTACGTTAATTCTCGATATGAATGAATATGATAGAGCTAAAATTTTGGGTCAAAATGATTTTGTCGGAAAAAGAAATCTTTTCGGAAAAGAAAAGTCGACATTTGGAATTATTTAAATCGAGACCGATATTTTAAATTGTCTAATAATTTCGATAAGATCACTTTGTACATCGTCAACTTTATCTCCCAGCTTACCATCGTCTATGTACCAGACATTAAGTTTAGATTTCAATTTTGGAATAATAGGATGAATTCCCAAACTAATTAATGCTGGTCCTAGCGGATCTACCCTGCTGAACGCCGACAGCAGAATCAATAATATTGTCTTCATAAAATAAATTACTCTTTTCACTGTAACATTGCCGAATGATATATTTCTGGTGTGTGGTTATCCACTTCGTTCAGCAGAGTCGTTCTATCAATGGAGTTAAAAGAATTCCTTAGGTCAACCTTCAGAAGTACATCCAAATCACTAGTGTAGAATTATAAACACTCTCAAACAATTTAATTCTTTATTTGAAAGCAAACTTCGATATCAGAATACAAATATAACTATGGCGAATGCAAGGTCCAGAAAGCGTTCATACAAGACAAAGTTCATACAAGTCGCCGTACGCAACAGAACTGCCTTGCTAAGTTTTTTTTTTTTTTTTTTTTTTTTTTTTTTTTTTTTTTTTTTTTTTTGGCTGGATGAGCCACTGTTGGCCTTAGGGGCCTTCACAGATCCGACGGACTTGAGGTGGCCGGGCGCTCGAGGCGCCTAGCCTGAACCTCGCGTATTTACTATTACGCGTTATGGTGACTAAGCTCGAGGCTCCCGAAGGAACCTCGGCTCGGGCCGTCACGCTATTTAATTCACCGGTTTGGGAGGCCGCCTAGCTCTTAGGGCGCTTTGGCGGGGGCTCCATGGAGTGATCTGGCTCAAGGGTCCCCGAGAGGGGACCTCGGCTTGGGCTGTCACTCAGCACGCGTTTAGCATTCCGATTCGAGGGTGCCCGAGAGGGCCGGACCTCGGCTCGATCGGTAGCTGTTATCTGACTGGGGGGATCTCTAGAGCTATCATTACTACCACTTCGTAAAGCGTTGGCGCTGGGGAAGAAGAAGTGGCGGAAGAAACTCCAGCAACGCTTCTATCTTGAACTGGGGAGAACCTGCCAGGTACGTGGCGGAACCTAGTATATGTTTGCCGCACTCGCCGGCGAGTGCGGTTTGTGTTGGTGTGCTTGCGAAGTTTTTTTAATCCTTTCGATGGCGATAGTCGTCTCATCGTCAGGGAAATCGAGAACGTGTCGCGGTCTACGGTGATTGCGGCGGAACGTACCTAGCGGCAGGGGTCTGTAGGTGGCGGCACCTACGATTAGCGGGTTGGGATGCGCGGCGGCGGAATCGAAGTATCGGCGCGACGCCGACTTCAGGAATTGAGCGATGGTGGGCAACTCTAAATCGACATGAAGGTCGATATTGCGCATGTACCAGGGTGCTCCCGTGGCTCTGCGCAAAAATCGATTTTGGATGACCTGAAGCCGGTGAATTTGCTTCGGAGCAATGTGTGCGAAAACTGGACTCGCGTACGTCATAATAGGGCGAACTACTGCCTTATATAGAGTCACCTTATTCCGAAGGGACATTTTAGACGTTTTGTTGAGGAGCGGATGGAGGCGACCGAGTACGAAGGCCGCCCGGTTCTTGACCCGAGTCACGTGCTGGTTAAATCTTAGTTGGGAGTCAAGGACGACACCTAAATATTTAACTTTGTTCACCCATGGTATCGGACTATCCATGAGTTTGACGGGGGGTGGTTTATCTACATTTTTGTGCGAAAAAAGGACGGCCGCGCTCTTGGCGGGATTGATTTCGATCCTCCATTGCCGAAACCAGTCACCGATGGTGATGGCTGCAGCTTGGAGGCGTCGATGGATAATTTCAGATGTTCTGCCTGCTGTATAGAGACAGGTGTCGTCGGCAAATAGGGCAAGTTCTACATCTTTGACTCGCGGCATGTCATTGGTGTAGAGCGTGAAAAGGACTGGGCCCAACACCGACCCTTGAGGCACCCCGGCTCGAACGGGATGCGTTGTCGAACACACGCCTTCGACGCGATAGCGGAAGGTCCGATTACTAAGGAAGTCTCGTATTATGCATACGAGACGATCGGGCACTTCGAGTCCGTATAACTTGTATACGAGCCCGTTGTGCCAGACTTTATCGAAGGCCTTTGCCACGTCCAAGAAGAGTGCTCCGGTGTTGAGTCCGCGTTGGCGTTTAACTAGTATGTGCTCCGTGATGCGGTGCACTTGATGGGTACAAGAATGTTTGGCTCTAAAGCCAAATTGTTCCGGGATGGGGAGCCCTTTGGCGTCCATAAGGGATCTCAGTCGGGCTAATATAAGTCTTTCAAAGATCTTCCCAAATGTTTTGAGAAGACTTATTGGACGATAAGAGGTTGGGAGGGTCGCGGGTTTGTGGGGTTTGAGGAACCCTATTACGTCAGCTTCTTTCCACTCGGACGGGAAGAAGCCTTCGGTTATAGCCGCGTTGTAAATTAAGACTAGTATCTGAAGGATGCTAGTAGGGAGAAGTTTGGTCACCTTATTGGTGATACCATCTGATCCAGGCGCTTTGCGTGGGCGCAGTTTGTTAATTATTTCTGTCAGTTCCGAGCACGTGACCGGGGGAACGGGATCGCGGAGTGGTTCCGATGCTTTCCTTTCGACCTCTTCGTTCACCTTACGGAGGTGATCGGGGTGGGTCGGAAGCAAGCTGGGGGAGCATTGGGCCTCTAGACTGTCAGCTAGGCATTCGGCTTTCTCTTCGTCCAGCATTGCTGGCGTTCCTATCGGGCGAAGCCTTGCTAAGCAGCCACTGCCCGCTTATATAGTCGGCCTCTATCCTAGTGTGCGTCGCTGTAGCCGCGCGTTGGAGCGCTGTAGTACGCGCGCGTAGGGTATTTGACGCAGCGTAGTTTGATATGTTACACTAGTATTTAAAGAAGTTCGAACGGAATGTACAGCCGCTTCACAGCCGCCTTTGCTTCCAAAGCCTAGTTGAACAGGCTGGAATTTTGTTTTAAGGCCGGAGATTATGTGCCTACATGCTAATTTTGAAGTTAAGCGTCGAAAGGTAGAACCAATAGCAATAGGACGGATAACAATATCTTTTTTTTAAAGGCACATAGAGAAGTGTCTTTATCGGTAATTTGCAAAACCTGATATGAAGAATCGGGAAGCAGCGGTAGGAACGGTGGAAGATTGGTCGATGGATACTTTTGACGGAGGTTTTCTAGAGTCTCATCATTATACGGAGCAAGGATGTCGTCTAAAAATAAAATGCGCGATGCATTTTCTAAATCACCATCCATAACTTTAGTCTCTACAGTTCTCTTTAAATCGAATTTACGGGGGGGTTTTAGTTATGGATGAGGCAGTCTTTAATTAAAAAATTTTGAATGAATTGCTCTTTAACTGAGAAGTAATTGATTTTGATACCGATTTATCAAAGTGAAAATGGGAATACGCAAAGGTAAATAAATTATGCCAACTAGATTCAGTATTTGAGAAACAATTTTGAATACAGGTAGATAATGACTTAGCAAGTTGCATCCTTGCAACTCTTGGAATCCTTTTGAGTATTGGTACATTGCTATGGTAATAATAGATCTGTTCCGAAAACAATTTTAAATTTTTGTCATTATAATCGCTAATAGTTTTATTACAAAATGCGGTAGGCTGTGAAGCTGCAACAGGGTGACTATGACAACAAATTCATATATATTCTTTCTTGGGAGATAATTTTGGGCCGTTTTAAAAAACGACCCAAAATTATCTCCCAAGAAAGTCACATCTATCATCAAGACAATGCCCCAGTGCACACGTCAGCTACTGCAATGGCCAAAATCCACGAGTTGGGCTTCGAACTTGTTCCGCATGTTCCATATTCGCCGGATCTAGCTCCGTGCGATTATTACCTATTTCCAAATCTGAAAAGATGGCTTTGAGGGCAAAGTTTTTGACAAATGAGGACTGCATTGCAGGTGCAAACGGCTATTTTGAAGACCTCGACAAAATATATTTTTTGGGGGGGTGAAAATTGAAAACTCGCTGGAACAAGTGTTTGGCCCTCAAAGGAGACTATGTTGAGAAATAAATGTAAATTAACGCTAGAGCGTCAGGCCGCGAATGCCGAAGTCGTGGGTTCGATTCCCACAGCGCCGACAATCTTTTCGTACTTTTTCTACAAATTTTAAATGTAAATTGTTAAAAAATCTATATATTTTTTACTTTTTAAAACGACTTATCAAATAGCCCTCGTCAAAAACTATGGGGGCGAGAATCAATAAACTCTTTGAAGGCGGTTTGGACTGCCGCATCGGAATTGAATTTTTTTCCTTGTAAGAAGTTGTCCAAATTCCGGAAAAAATGATAATCTGTTAGAGCAAGGTCTGGAGAGTACGGTGCATGATGCAGACATTTCAATTGTAGCTCAACTTAATGGTTGTGCAGTGTATGGTCTTGCGTTGACGTGAAGCAGCAGTGGCCTAGAGCGATTGACCAATCTCGGTTGTTTAGCAGCTAGTTCTTCCTTCATGGTTTGCAGTTGCTGACAATAGATATATGCTGTAATCGTTCGGCCAGATTTTAGAAAGCTGTAGTGAACGACACCGGCGCTAGTCCACCAAACACACTCACTCGTCAACGCATTTGTAAGCCCTCGGGTGTTGCAGGTGTTCATGGGCGGCGGTAATCGGTTACCATCAGGTGATCCTCCTGATCGTTTGCCCCTTTTCTCCATAAAAAAAAGTTACTTCTTCTGAGTCAACTTTCGTTTAGGGTAGGATTTGGCTGGGTCTCCAGGGTTCAGCCATTGCGATGAGCGCTTCCGATTATCGTACATTATTATCCACTTTTCATCATAAGTAATGATTCGATTTAAATCCGCTTCCACAATAGCCTTTAATTCTTCATTTTCCACTTTGGTCTCCGGCCGTCCACAGGGTTGATTCTGAAGGTCGAAATTTCCAGAACGAAAACGTTGAAACCAAAAACGTACCGTGCTCTCTTTTGCGACACCAGCGCCGTACACATAATTAATCCTTAGAGCTGTTTCTGCAGCACTGGTGCCACGGTAGAAATCCACTCGGGAGTCAAACAAGGAAACGCACTTTTATCCATTGTTTTCAACCTTGTTCTTGAAGCTGTTTTACGAAAACTTAACATCAATGGACTAATCGCCTTTAACACCACCCAATTAGCAGCTTATGCGGATGACATCTTTATCACTAGCAGGTTAAAAAACAGAATGGGCGATAGCTGTCTGAGACTTGAAAAAGAACCCGCTAGTTTAGGCTTACATGTAATGCAAGCCAAACTGAATAGTTTGCAACTTCAAGACAGACCATTAGAAAACATCCTCGTAGGAGACCAAACGATAAATGGTGTTGGCAGCTTCAAGTATCTGGGATCATCGATTACCTCCCAGAACAGGACAGGCGAAGAAATAAAAGCGCAGATAGTTGCTGGAAATAAATGTCTCTACCAATGCAACCAACTGCTGAGCTCTAAACTTCTCGGCCCAAACAAAAAAACAATGTAGATAAAAGACATTAAGATTTTCGTCGGTGTGGCAATCAGCCGTTTAGCTTAGTGGCTAAAGCGTCAGGCCGCGAGTGCCGAAGACGTGGGTTCTTTTCTATAAGTTTTAATGTTTAATCTTAAGTACAGAGATTAGCACTATAAAATACATTAAAATTCTCAGCACAAGATCAAAAGTAGCCATCTATAGAACCATCATCAGACCTGTTGTGACCTATGCATCTGAAACCTGGACCTTAACTCAGAAGGACGAACAGAAACTTGGTGTGTTTGAGAGAAAAGTGTTAAGGAAAATCTACGAGCCAGTGAAAGACTAACGGTACCTACCTACGGACGCACTTATCGAACACGAGACGATCGTCAGGTTTTGCAAGTCACAGCGGTTAAGATGGCCGGGGCACCTTGAGAGAATGCCAGACAAGAAAGCAGCTAAAGTAATGACAAGGTGGACGCCGCAACGGAAGAGACCGAAAGGCAGGCCTAAAAAGCGTTGGATCGACTGTGTGGAGGAAGATATGAGGAGGATGGGAAAGATCACAAACTGGAGAAGGACAGCCAAGCTTCAAGACAATAGGAGGGATATTGTAGAAGAGGCCAAGACCCACAAAAGGTTGTAGCGCCAACGGAAGAAGAAGAAGAAGGTGCCACGGTAGAACTCGTACTCGTAACTATACCGATATTTCATGTTTTCCATCGTGCGGAAATAAGCGACGCCAAAGAATAAAATAATGAGGAAAAGAAACAAATGAATGACTGTTTTTAAAACTCAAATGTACCAGCTAAATGAATTTATAAATTTGAATTTAGAATTTAAAGAGGAGATATTTCAGATTAAAGTAGTCATTACGACAAAACGCTAATATCATATGTAAGGACCTAATAGTTCCTGCACTACTTGTTAAATTTTATGCACTTTGCTTGGAACACAAATGGACGCCGCAACGTCAACCTGCACAGTGACTGCAGACTCCCGACGATTCGCGAACTTTTTAAAGATCTCACCAAACGGTTCTTCGACAGAGCTGAACATCATCCCAACCCTCTGATGGTAAGCACAGCAAACCCGACACTAACGCCCGCGCAACGTCCTCATCGACTCGGTCCAGGAAAAGGACTTAACTACGTCGGACCCATCTTCGGGTGTCCACCACATCAATTATTGCATCAACAAACACCATAGTTCGTACTCACCTTCGAGCACGGCGAAACCAACACAACGCGTACACTATGTACACCTGCGTTCCAGGGCGGTTCTCACCGCCCCCGCCACCGAGTAATCACAGTCAACGGCCATCAGAGTCACGATCCGCGCCGAACCTCGATGTTCCGTAATCGACACGCCATAATTAACGCACGGCGCACACATGGGTACATGTACGGCCCTCCCTACCCACTGAGGAGGGCCTCAAACCCCTGGGTTCCGGCTAGCCCACCGATTCTGCGTTCGATGAAGCTTTAATAGTCTACGGACTGGATACTTAACATCAGTTATACAAAAAAGCAAATGTTTCTTCGTTTTAATCCACTGCTGGACATATCTCCCTCCGATAGTAGAGATAAATATCGTTTTCTATTTAGGTCCCTCTATGTCTTGTTAACAATGTCGTGTATATTTTTATTTATATAAAAAAATAATATTCATATATAAATTTAAAACAGCAAATATAAATAGTAAATCCTGGGATTTATAATTAGGTTTTTGTTTTCTTACGCGACAGGATTTGGTATGATAGTAAACACAACAGCTGTCAAATCAACAAATTAGACATTATAGAAAGGTTGCACTTGCAATTGTGCAAAGGCAGCGTGTTATATTTGGCATGTTGACGGTTATCAATTTTGAAAAACATTAATTTAAAATGACTTTATGTGATAACATATTACCTATTCAAGTATAAATTAGGAAGTTATTTACCAAAGTATTAAAAGTCACTGTTACATTAAATTGTAAATCGCTCTAGAGGTTCTACGAATAGCAATAACGTTGAAAGCACGCTGTAATTAACAACCGAAAATAAGAATGGATGCGGAATTACCAAATAAAATGGCTCATTTGGATATAATGGAAGTAAATGAATGTGCTTTAGAGGTTACTAGTAATGAAGAAAATGTAGCAGCGAGTACATCGCGAGTTTTAAGAAAAAGAAAGCCTTCAACTGCTGAAACGAATAAACTTTCTAATCGTAGAGTAAGCATGAGACCGAGAAAACGATATATTAGAGAAGATTCTAATCCAAAGCAAATTGAGGCTTTATACCTCAATAAAAAGGTCAAAACATTGTCACAGACTTTAGAAACTATATATGAAGAGCCTAAAGCCAACAACTCTGGCACTGAAGCTGCAAGCTTTAATGGCAGAAAAGTTAAAAGGCTCCTGACTTTTCAATTAGGAAGTCAATATACAAAAGAAAAAATAAAAAAACGAAGAGCAAAAATCAAAAAACTTCTCGGTAATAAGTCTTTTTTAAACAGAAAAAAAATACCTATGCAAGTATTTCTTAAGACAATTGAATGCCTTGATTTAGATGAAGTTGTTCATACAGAAAGCCAAACAATTGAGGGTGCCGTTTAGTATACCAAAATGACAACTAATTACTTATAAAAGAGGTAGTTAAGCTGCCAAAAAAAGAAAATGAAGAAGGTAGTACTCCATTATATAAATAAAATGCTCTATTATGACTGTGTAAAGTATAATAGGCACAGAAGCAAAAATTTGTACATATTATTTAATGTAAATTCACAGTAATATTATTTCTCGAAAAGTTAGAATAAATTTACATTTGCATAAAAATCCTAAGGCTAAATTTAAATATTTGACATTGCTATAAAATAATTAAAATAATTAAGACTTCTTGTGTTCAAATTATTATTTCGGTACTTAATAATAAAAACTGTATCTATATAATTTTCATATGAATCAGTGACTGTATTCTTTAATTTTTACTATAAATTAAAAGTAAAGAAAAAATGAATGTATGTAGTAATTACCTACTAAAAAGTTTTAACAATAAACTAATGCTTCAAAAATGTCATAGTAGTTGGACACAATCAAATGTTGCAGCCATAAGTAACAAGTAATTTTGCTAATAAAATAATAATTTTACTATACTTTCCATAGAAGATATTTTTGAAGCAAAATATTTCTTGATTGTGTAGGTTACTCATTTATTTAAAATTGTGAATACACAAAAAATCCTATATATTACTTTATTAATGTGAAGATTTTAATTAATCTTGGGCGTTGTAACACTAAATTGAATTAAAAAAATATTTAAATTTAAATATATTTGTTAGAAAATTTGTGCCAATAACAATAAACACAAACTTCTTAATTAACCCTTTCATACAAAGTCAAAGCTTTAGTTTGTATGGTAAGGCCAAAACAACACTGAAACAATTTTTTGAGATTAGAATATTTTATTTTATATATAATTTATGTTTGATTTTCAATTGGAGGACAAGATGTTGAACTTTGAGGGCAGTTATCATATAACTTTAGAAGATTTGTACTACTATTTTCATTACCAAGATTGACACACACACAACGAGGGTACTCTTCCCCAGGAGTAAACAGTAGCCTTGGCACACCAACCCAGTCTCTAGTAATACCGCCACTGCAATTAGAAGTCATATTCAATAAAATTATTTTTTAGCCAATAGAGTTAGATCAGTTAATTAGTTAACTATAAATCATCATTAAGTAAATAGATCAAATATAGTTGTTTTGTATGTATGGGGTAGACAGGACAAAGAACATGACACCATATCTCCTTCCATCCACTACCTGTCTTAATACATTATAATTTCACATAACCTATAATTTACATTAAAATTTACATTTAAACATACAGAATTAAACAACATTAAAGACAAATTTAGAGTCATGATAACTCAGTGTCTTGCAGGTGTCAGGCCTTTGCTTTAAATTTTCATATACTCTACTCAAGATCCTGAAATACTTCGTTTTTTGTTCTTATTTCAAAAATATCTGGTCTGACAATTTCCCAATGTGCAAGTGGGTCATGGCCTGCTTTTGTTCAGCAGTGGGACTTCTATAGGCTTTAAAAAAAAGTAAAGTAACAGTCTATACATGTCCCACTGCTGGGCAAAGGCCTCCTCTATACAGAGGGTATCAGGGCATAGTCCACCACGCAGCCCCACTGCGGCTTGGTGGACTTCACATATTTTCGAAATATATATTGTTTTGTTATTATTTCGAAAATATGCAGGTTTCCTCACGATGTTTTCCTTCACCACGGAGTACGTGATAAGTCAGCACTTAAAGTTAAAAACTTCATTGGTGCCGGCACCGGGGATGGAACTCAGGTTGCTCGAGTATATTGAATTAAAGGCGAGCACCCGGACACTGAGCTATCACGGCTCTTACTTGAGCTATAGGCTTTACTTTCCTATTTTTATAATAAAAATTTAAAGAACTTAAAAAACTTTTTTCCTTTATCACTTGAAACAAATATGTGAACATTGAACAGATTCAGACTAATTCGGAGTATGCCTCAGTACATACTGTTTGTATAGTTGTCATAATTTTCTATTAATATTCACATTACAGTATTAATACTTTTAAATTTGGTATTGACTTTTTCCATTTCTTTATTAATGGATGAGGTTTGCATTTTTACTCTTAAGGCATTAAAGTTGTATAAAACACAAGGCCATTGAAACAGGTACAGTTTACATGAACTCATTTTCCCCCTCAGGTACCAAACCAAATAACTACCTTGATTTTGTACACCAAACACGAGAAGTTTCATCCTCATTCCACATGGCGTTGCAAGGAGGATACTTTTGATTTTCTTTCTCAGCATTTATTTCATCTTCTCTACAATCTTTTAATTTCGATTTAACTTTCTTTAAGTATTTAGTTTCTTCACCCTGGGTATCATAAAATCTTCCTTCTAATAATCCTGTAAGCAATTTTTGAAGAATTTCACCTATATATTTTTACTAAATACTACAAAACAAAAAATAGTTATAGTTACCTAAAAATTTATATTTTTTTCTATAGGTTTGCTGCCAATTTACCAATGTCAATAAGTCATTGCATGGTAAATCTATAACATGGTCCTTTAAATGACTCTCATCTTTAAAGTTTCCTGTAACAAGAGCCCTTGACCCATCTTTTCCTACAAGAGTGTAAATGTTTTATATTTCCAAGAAAATTATTTATATCATCATCAATAACTATTTACTGGAATCATTTGCAGAATGCACAGATCAGTGTAACTGTGTTAATAAAAAATAGAATTAATAAACAATAAAAGTATATGTTAAGTAAATTACAAACCAATGAAATAATTATAACTAGAGCCTGGTTTATAATGTTTGTCACCATCCGTCACATCAAACACATGACCTAGTACGGCTAAATATAGCCTTTCATGTATAATTCCATTATATCTGCTTAGCTCTTCTTGGGAGAATATCACTCGATCATCACTTTTATTGTTAGTAACCAAGAACGTCATATACCCATATTTTTTGTAAAAAATACCCACTATTATTGCAGCTACTGCTAGAGTTACATTAAAATTGATATAAAACATATTCTAAACTAATAAATATGTACTCGATAAACAATATCTATTGAAGCAAAATTTTTTTTTTCTATAATTGCTCTTGATATATTCATAGTCTCTCTTAAGCCTCAGTAAAATTCAGCGAATATTATGTTCTTCTCAAATGAATTGTAAATCTCGAGAATCTCGAGTGGAGATTCCAGAGGTGTAAATTGTATTTCAGATTATATATATTGATATTTCAAATTGTATTTCAGATATATAAAATTAATCTTTGTTGTGTTATTTGTAAAATATTGACAAATGACAATTTGACTTTTGATTTGACCACAGAACTTAGTACGGTACTGTTTAGAAGTGAGCGATACAAATTGGATACGAAAACTATATTGGTTATATTGGTATATATTGGTTCAATATCAACGAACCACTAACTGGTTCGTTCGAAATCTATGCAATACTTGCTCACTCGCTGTGCCGCATCGCATATGATAATGATATGAATCGACCGTAAGTTATTTTAAATCTTAACTTATTAAAATAAATAGTTTCGTGATCAGTTGTTTCCAAGTTGAAAATGGAATCCGATACGATTCCCAGAAGAATTGATACGACCCACTAGTGTTGCATATCGATAGTCTGCTATCGATAGACAATCGATTTTCTATCGATAGTATAATAGTCGAAGGTAAAAGCAATAGTATCGGTAGTCTATCGATAGTATTGTCACGTGTCCATACTGTCGATACTATCGATAGTATCAATAGCTCCCCAAGTGCAATACTATTGATAACAGCAATACGATAGTAATGCCTGCAATAGTATCGGTGGTATCGATAGTATTGCAATTTCCATTAGTTTTTGAAAAAATCTATCGATCCTATCGATAGCCAGAATTTTCCGATAGTATTGCTTTCTCTAGATTGGCCTATCTAGTAACGACATAATTATTTAGTTAAAGCGCCTGCAAAGATTACTAAAATTGTAAAATTTTACCTAAAAATAAAATTTATATTAAGCGATTTACCCTATTCCAAGCCTTAATAATGAGAGAGCATACCTCGACTTCCGGAATAACACGTCAAAGGGGGTGTCCCTTTAATAGCTATGTCGTAACTTCCGCCGCCATTTTGTTCCCCCACCATTGCACAGAGCACAGCAGCCATGCGCCGTAGGCGCGCTAGCTTCATTGGAACTCATTGTTTTTATTGTATACCGTCTATTGGATATGGATGGTATATTCGGTTAGCCACAGTATGAGATGTACTGGTGGCAAATTAAACCACAGTATGGTATGACTGGTGTTAGTAAGGATAAATATAACTTTCACAGACTAATACTGCATGTTGACTCTTAACAATCTGAAAGATAGCTTATTAAACTAAGATTGTGGTTAGATAAATGATTACTTACAATGAAATCTTTCTGAAAGGTAAAAGATTGTAATTATAAGCAGACAGCAATAAAAACTAGGCTTGGAATAGGGTAAATCGCTTAATTTAAATTTTATTTTTAGGTAAAATTTTACAATTAAGCTTTTGTACCCTATTCCAAGCCTTAATAATGAGAAGTGTTTGTCATCGGCTTGTTATCGGCTGCTGAAGAGAAAACGCCAATGTGAAGTAAATAAAACTATTAAGTTTGACCTTTATACGATGTTTATTTTATACCAAAGTTATTTACAAATAAATTCGAATCAACAAAAAACTAAACGGGATTAAAACAGTTTAACAACTCGGTACCGTTATTTCTACTCGACTTAACTGCCTTTTTATAAAACCTATGGAACTTAGACGCATTTTTCCAATTTCCTCGAAACAAAATATCGTCAATATAATGATTTTCAAGCCAGCTGTAAGATAATCCAGCCGCCTATAATGGTGCGAGAAGCCGGTTTTACATTCCCTTCTGATGTGATAAATAAATCATTGCAATCACCCCGCCTGATTTGGGATACTTCAATCAATTTCTGGACCCAATATACCGGATCGATATTTCTATTAGATGGATACGAAATTAGCCTCCATCCTGATTGTCGATGACTGGCACTGCCAGTTTTGGAACCAAAATCTGGCCAAAACAGAATAGATTCCTCTTCAAATACACAAGAAGAATCGCATATCTTCAAAAGAGTTAAATCATGAACTCGACGTCCTGAGCACAATAGAAGCAGAATGGCACATCTTTTGGAAGTTTCAAATAAGGACTCACTAACCGGACTATTAGTTTCCAAAAAATTGCACAAATCTTTGACATCCCAAATAGGAGCCTTTGAGGGTCTAGGTTTACACAAGGATATTGCCTTAAGGGTTTGTCTAACAATGACATGATTACTTAATAGGGGATTTTCGCCAACTACCTAACAAAAGACCTTTTTGACTTTCGTCCCATGAACCAAGCATTGAGCTCCACCCCGTATCTGCCAAACCTCCAAAATCATTTGCTTGGCACCCGGGGGAGGCATCTGAGCTCGCACATCCACCAACGCTCCCTGTACGTCTTGAATCTCTATTGGAGGGTAGAGAGACCTTGCCATCAAGTCGCTGCGCCAGAATACCTTGGTCCATTTCGGAACAACCATCAGAAACACTCCTTTGCATTTGTTCAGGTGTCTTAAGACCCGAGGAACTATGTACGGTGGTGGAAACAGCCATGCGATCCGGTAATTCCACAGGCGACTGAACGCATTGATGAAGACTGCTTGAGTATCGAATGGATCCATTGTTACATACGACGGGACTACATGGGCCTGATTTGATGCGAACAGACCTATTTCGGGAGTTCCCCAATGTTGAAAAATCTGATGAGTCATCAGATCTCGCAGATGCCATTCCGAATTGGCTTGCAATCTGGATAGACCGTCGTTCCACGTTGTAACGGCCGGGGAGGTAATTTATTGACATGGGGATATGGTACCGATCCAACAACCTTAAAACTCGCACCGTGATATTCATTAGCGGTAAAGACCTGGTTCCTCCCTCGTTCCGGAGATAAGAAACCGCTGTGCGATTGTCCGACAAGATCTGTAGTGACGAGTTCATGATGGACCGAGCATGTAGGTTCAGAACTTTTTCTATCGCCATCATCTCTAGAATGTTGGAGTGAAACTCTTTTTCGTGACTCTGCCACCTGCCTGACATTTTCAAATCGTTTAATACTGCTCCCCAACCGTGAACTGACGAGTCGGTTGTTAGGAACATCTCCGGGGCAGGGTAATGAAGGAGAGAGTTTTTGTGGGCGTGAGCTAACCACCATCTCATCACCATCAATACTTGGTCGGGAATTGGGAATTCCGTCCAGGGGTTCTGTTTCAACAACTGATGGCAGTGTGACAGTATTGGGCGAGAGTTTAATCGACCCCTGGGGACTACAAAGCTGGCGAAGTTGCACAGGCCTAGATAACATTGTATTTGTCGTAACGAAGCCATCCTCCTCGATAAGAGGATTCTGGATTTCGCTAACAGCTTCTCGACTTTGGTCAATGGAAGATTCTTTCTGTTTGTCCAGGGACTCCATTGCACGCCTAGAAATTCTAAAGACCTTTGCGGTTCCAGAACGGATTTCTCGAAATTGATTGTTATATATTTTTTAAACAAACTAATTAAGTAAAAAAGAAACAAAATTTGTAACATCCTATACAACTACAACTGACTGATTCATACATTTAGAGACTTTTTTTATTCGTTGCCACAGCGTCGCATTACAAGTAACTTTCCTTGATACCATTAATATTTTGCATGGTATTTATAAATTAGCTTAACATGTAGTCCATTATTAATGATTTGTAAAGCCTCTATACCGTGTTGTTCATTAGTAGTGTTGATATCGATAGTATAAAATACGAGGCTTCAAATTATAATATACTAGCGTCCCGCCCCGGCTTCGCACGGGTGCATTGCATTATAATACATATTACCTTCCTCTTGAATTACTCTATCTAGTAAAAAAACCGTATCAAGATCTGTTGCGCAATTTTAGAGACAGACAGACGAGGGGACGACTTCGAAAAATAATGAAAATGATTATAACGTTACAATAAAATGTATTTAATTTGTATAAATATTTTTCAAGTCAATGAAAAATGTTCAAGCTCAAGTATATTAATTTTAAAATAAAATAGTTTTGATTACCCAGATAGTTAATTTTTTCCGATAATTATTCTACCTTGTTAGATAATTTAAAAAAATGGTGACTTTTTTCATTTAGGAAGTTTTTTTTGAAAACAGTGCATTATAGGAGGTTTTTGAATTTCTTTTTTTTTTTAACAGTTGGTAACACTGTTCATAATTCATTGATTCCATTCATACATTTCAATATTATTACTTTACTCTATGATTCCATTCCATATAAGACATATATACTGAATTTTTATATATAGATTTAGATTGATTCATTGAAATAATATTTTGAAACAGTGTGTTTTGCGAATTTCCACAATTAACAGGAATAAGGATGGTTTCTTCACATTTCATAAATTCTTAAATTATTATTTAATAGTTAAAATTACATGAATTTTCTGTTTTATAAGCCAAATAATGAGATTAACTCATGCAACTAGTCATTGTCATTTCTCAAGATTGAGACCAAGAAGGCGTGTTGTTGTGACTGGCTTAGGAGTTGTTTCACCTATAGGGACTGGTACGAAATTAGCTTGGGAAAACTTGCTAAAGGGACACTGTGGAATTGTTTCTCTTCAAGATAATGAATACAGTAAATTTCCGTGTAGAATAGCCGGAGTAATATCAAGAAAAGATGAGGATAATGTAATAAACAAATTACGTGGTTCTAATTTGAAATCTATGGCACCAGCGACATGTTTAGCTTTAGTTGCTACTGCCGAAGCATTATTAGATGCTAAATGGAATCCAGAAACTGATATTGATAAAGAAACTACTGGAGTAGCGTTAGGAATGGGGATGATAGATTTGAAGCATGTTTGTGATACAAATGATGCGCTGAAAATAGGTTACAATAAAGTGAGCCCTTTCTTTGTTCCGCGAATATTACCAAATATGGCTGCAGGTCAGATAAGTATAAAGTATGGTTTCCGAGGCCCAAATCACGCTGTTTCAACAGCTTGTGCCACTGGGGCACATTCAATAGGAGATGCTTATAGATTTATCCGTTATGGTGATGCTAATGTTATGGTATGTGGTGGAGCTGAATCATGTATAAGTCCTCTTGCTATTGCTGGTTTCTGCCGATTAAAGGCATTAAGTACATCATTTAATCATGAACCGAAAAAGGCATCCAGACCGTTTGACAAAAAACGTGATGGTTTTGTAATGGGTGAAGGGGCAGCAGTATTGATTTTAGAGGAGTATGAGCATGCATATAAAAGAAATGCAAAAGTTTATGCAGAAATATTAGGTTATGGCTTATCTGGTGATGCAACACATATTACAGCACCCAGGGAGGATGGCAGTGGTGCAATGTTGTCAATGAGAAGAGCTCTTGAAGATGGTGACATAGACAGAAAAGAAATAACTTATATTAATGCACATGCTACATCTACACCAATTGGAGATGGTATAGAATCAACTGCCATAAAAAAATTCTTTGGTGAACATAGTTCCAAAATATCTGTGTCTTCTACTAAAGGTGCCCATGGACACTTGCTTGGAGCTGCTGGTAACTTGGAATCTGTGTTTACAATATTATCATGTTACTATGGAATTATTCCTCCCACATTAAATCTAGAAAATCCTATTGATGATTTAAATTATGTTGCCAATGTTCCAGAAAAATGGTATGCTGAGAAAAGAATAGCCTTAAAGAACTCTTTTGGATTTGGTGGGACTAATGCAAGCCTTTGTTTTGCACAGATATAAATTAGAGATTAATAAAAGCTGTATGATGAATCATAATATATTTAAAACTGAGTTACAAATTTTACAGACTTCAGTTATAATGAAACCAGTTATATATAATAACTGTAGACCTTTTGGTATTTTTAAACAACTTCTTAAGAAACAGCACAAATAAATAAAATGTGTATCATATAATATTAAGTCACAAGCATTGAAAATAAAGATGATCAATATGCTATATATATTTCATTGTAAAGCATTCTAATATTATAATAGGAAATATTTCTTAAATGCTGGTTGATCCAGGTAAATAAATTTATATCATAAAACAGTTTCATTCAAACATGCACTTGTTTTTTACCTTAAATTGTATACAACAACATAACTACATTTCTGCTTCTCCATCTAAATAGCTTTTGCAATGCCAAGCATTATAAGTTCTATGAGCACCAATATACTTCTGTTTATAAGTACTGTTACTAAAAGACTGATTTGAAGCTAATGGTTTTAGGCATAAACTATATATAAACACAATTTTAAATTATAAACTCATTAAAATTTTAGAATAAAATAATTACTCAGAGGCTTATTTCATAAGTTATAAAAAATCTCCAAAGTATTCAAATTGTTATATTTCAAACTATGATTAGTGCTTTTAATATTACAGTTGCTTAAAGTTTTATAGTATATTGTAACAGAAATTTTAGAACAATTTTTATAAAACCTATTCTGTTGAAAGACTGGAAAGGCTGTCTGTAAATTTATGAATATGACACACATTTATGGATTAAGTTATCTACTGTTTTATGAAAGCGGTTACAGATTTGTGCCATTGTAATGAATACACAGATACTTTACAATGTGCAGTTTGAATGTAGTATTATATAGCTTGCTAATCTTGCTTTTGGGATATAATACGATTTTGTGGCTGATTCACACAAAGCTGAGCGAATTTTTGACGTAAGTTCTGCCTCAGCTCTTGTCTTTTCTCAGTTATGTTCCTTCGTGATTTGAATTCTAAGACCTCTTCGATAGGTATGTAACTGGTGTCATGTTCTTCATCTGATGTACAGGTGTCCTGTATAAATTAAGATTTTATTACTAAAAACATTCAGTTTTATTACTAAATTGAACAGAAGTTGGTTAAGCTTAAAAAGTCTACATACCAGCATTTCTTGTAGTGAAAGGGTGAAACCAGTACATAATGACTTATCATTTTTAGTTATATCTAAACAATCTCCTCTTTCGTGGTTACAAAACCCTTCAGAACATGCCACTTCAGAGCCTTCAGGAGAACTCATAAGTGATGATGAGCCTGACATAGTGTCACAGCAACCACCATTGTTACCAGAAGAGTAGCCACAGTCATGGGAATGTTCATTGGGAGAAAGATTGTCGGTTTTGTTTCTCTTTTTACCAGATTTCTTAGGTGAATTGCGTTTTGTATAATCATCCTGGCATGAATGGCAGCCATCACCACTTGTTTCATAGCATTGATTATAGTCATGTGGCGATAGCAAATCCGTTGGTGTGTCACGTTCCTCTAATAAACATTCTTCACATTGACATTTTTCTTCTGGTTCTTCAGAATCAGCTTCCTAATAAAGTGGTAGTATAGGATTACATTAATTTTTAATGAAATATACTAAACAATGGAAAGATGAAAAGTAGTAGTATGTCTTTGAATCAAACATGCATACCGTGGCCATTAGAAAGACCATAAAAAATCAGTAAGAAACAAAAACCTGTAAAAGTATTTATTCCAAAATATGCAATAAATAGTTCAAAGTAACAACAAAAATTTTATATTAATAAGATTTTTCATGTTTCAAATTATTTTTTGTATTTGTTCTAGAAGAATAGTTTAAGAAAACAAACTATCAATCAAACACAATAATTTTTTTTAAAAATCATAAACAATTTTTATAAGAATATTAGACTTATTATATTACCATGTATTGATTTTACCTTGCATTTGTTCTCTACAGCCTGTCTTTCTTTCTTCTTGCGGCGTTTCAACTTCTTTTGTTCCTTTCTTTGTTGTCGAGTAAGCTCTTCCTGAGTTATTTCATCATAAAGAAGTTGTAACTTGGAGACTCCACTCTTTAATTCCACTGCGGTTTCGAATTTTCGATAAATAGCCTCAACAGCAACTGCTGCTAAAGTCTGACAAGTCCCTTCTTCTTCTCGTAACCTCAACGAGATGCGTTGAAGCCGTTCATAGATGCATATCCCAAGGCAAATTAATACCTGTTTAAAAAAATTGAGCAATATATTTTTATAATACTAGGTGTGACAATCTCAAAAAAAAAAGGTTATAAGACATTCTAATGCAGAAGCTACCCGAAATTAAGTTAAGTTTTCATTGTACTATAATACATGCAAAATGCTTTAATATTGATATAAGTTGTATAAGAACAATTGCACTTGCCTCTTCCTGTGCAATCTCAAGTGTTTTGGCATGTCTTTCCCTGTGATTTCCAAGTAACTCAGGCTCAGCTCTAGCTATAAGATGTGCTATATAGTCAGTCTTTGCTTGTAGGTGGAGGTGCTTGTCCAAAAGACATCTTTTGATGCCTCCATAAAGTGCCCCCACATATCCTTTTTCTTTCTGTGGTTCCTTTTCTTCCACTAATAATTGATATGCTCTTAGTACCTACAGATAGAACAATAACATTTTTATTTATTTGGTTAATACCTGTTTTACCATTGTACCCATCAAACTGTAAGAGTGCTCTAACCTTAGGGATTCCCTTAATCAACCCGTCAACTATAATAATTTCACCAATAGCTAGATGACAGATTTTTAATCAGTACATCATATTTTAATGTTAAGTTTAACACATGATAATAAATACACAACTAATGTAAAAATGTTTTTAATTTTTTTATACCTATGGTTTATATTCTCGACAGGCAACCACGCACCGGAAGACCTAGGGAAGGCCACGTTCTAGGTGGACCGACGACATCGTAAGAGCCGCGGGCAATCGGTGGATGCAAATGGCAAAGTGTCTTTGGTTGTGGTGTTCTAAGTGGGAGGCCTATGTTTAACAGTGGACGTCTTGCGGCTGATGATGATGACTATAGCTATAGTTACATTTCTAAATGTATATTTATTTTCTTTCAACTATATTTGCTAAAAAAGTATGAGGAAATATCATCAAAACTTGTCACTCTTGACAGAAAAATTATATGCATGTGCTCACAAAAAATTAACTGTCACTTAGCTCTATAAGGCCGAACATCAAGCCCTTATTTTTAAGGTACCGCTTAAAACTATAGGTGACGCACTTAAAACATGTCATAAATTTAGACAATTTACATGAAAAACATTTGTTCTATAAGAAATTCAATCAATCCATATAAGATGTATCTTCGATTGCTATTCTTATCAAAATGATAAATTGCTCTTTCTTTTTTTTCCAAAGATAAAACTTTTTTTATATATATATGAATTTATAACTTAGAGAAATTAGATAATAACAGTTTTATTACATTATTTCATCGTAGTTTTAATGGTATTAATTTCTTCGTGACCTACTTGATGTTAACCATAATATTCTTGATGTCAACTTGTTAACCATAAACTAATCTAACCAATTTTGAACTGTAATCAAAATTTTAGTCAAGCTCTTGAAATTGCATCATAATGCTATGACAAATAGGAAGCAAATATGTAGTATGCTCACATAAACACTTTTTGGGTGTTATTTAATCATACCTTTGTCTTGCAATCGGCGCAGAAGCGATGTTTCCGCAAGTAATTGTGCAGCGTGTCATGTAACGTGTTAAAGTGAACGAGGGTCACGTGTTCGCGTGCAGAGGTCCGCATGGCATCCCAAGCTGTCCGCCATGCTGCACGGCCACCCCATCCCCAAGCACCCCAACCCCATCCACAAGTCCCCACCCAGGAATTCCACGCGCCACACGCACCGTTAGTCGCACCACCACCGGCTCCCGAGCCCCACCCACGAGCACCACCCGCCTCTAGTGAGTGCAGTGTACATCTCTGTGATTTTTTCCAACGTGGTTGACTTAGAATTAAACATTCTATGCCCGTACTGAAAATGAAAGTTCAAGTTTATTTGATAACATAAATTATAATTACATGACAATATATACTAACATATTTACAATGTATACATTTCATATCAAAGCTTTTATGGTAAATATAGATTTTGACTTAAAAGCAATTTCAACTTCACCCAAAGGATATTAACCAATCATGGTCAAAGTTTAAGGTAAAATATAGTATATAATGTATGGCCGTTATGTAACTAACGAATGAAGGGTTTCACACCATTATCTATAAAAACTGCAAAAAAATCATGTCTGTTGTATAAATATGTTTTAATAAATAACATTTAAATAAAAACAAATGTTATAGAATTAACAGAAATATGACACCTGGCGACAGATGAAAAGACAAGACAGACAGATGGTGGAGTTTTAGTAATAGGGTCCCCTTTGAGTACAGAACCGTAAAAGCTATGTAAAAATTAAATCAAACAAGACCTGATAATATTCATACAAAAGCAGTCTTACCTATGACCATTAAGCAATGTTGCTAGAGACTGTGAGTGTGTTATCTTATCTTCTCGGATTGTCATTGTCTCATCTGGCGTTAGAATTAAAGGATCCAATGTTGCATGTCCTGACTTACATAGTTGATAGAAAAGTCGTTCAACACTGAAACAAAAACCAGATGATTTATTTTTATAAAATATCTAATTTTAGACATTCTGAGGACATATCTTATTATACTTAAGGCAAAAGAAATGGTAACATTAAGTTAAAGAAGGAAATTAAAAAAACATAATGTGAAAGCTTGCAGCAAGGCTTTGATCATGGGATAAGTAATTGTAATGCATATAAATATAATCAAAGATTTACGTTTTGTTCTTGTAAAATTTATGATATGTGGAAAAATACTGAACACAAACTAAACCAAACAATTTCAAATATATGAAATTATTTTTCATAAATTTTCTCTTAGTTACACATTTCCCTATAACATGTCTAAGAAGGTAGCACAGACACAGTACACATTTATAAATTTGTGCTCTTGATATAATGTATTAGTTTGTGACTTGTGATAAATTTGTTACTAATCCAGACAGAATTTTTTTTTCTTAGCATTGAAACATTTATGTCAGATAAGAAATAAGCAAGAAAGTCTAAACCACAAGTACACTACAAGGACTGAAAGCAATATCATAGACATTAAGATAAATACAATTTTGCTTGAATAATAGAATACTTAATAATTTTACAAGAATATACCTTCTTCGACAGCCAACACAAGGAATGCTTTGATTTAATACATTAAATATATCTGAGGCATCCACCCTTAAGGCCGCTTTAAGTTCTTCTGTTGAAAGGATCCTGTATTTGCGCATGAATTCTTCATACTCACGCCCTTTCACTTGCGGATTGTCACATATCAAACCCATTGTGTTTAAGTCCATTATCATCTGAAATATAAAAAATACAATGAACAACAACGAATTATTGATAAATTAAGGTCAATGATTAAACGTGACTAAGATTGCAGAGATTGCCCAATGACAGAAGACAATTCTTTTACAATAAAAGAAAACTAATAAATAAACTATTATTTGCCCATGTGTAATGTTTTTCTTGGAACAGCAAATTACTTATTTTCTCTTGTAGAATTATCTAAATCTACGTTAGTGGTAATGTCAAAATGTAAACCCGAGCACTTACAGTAAGATTTTCGTAAATAGTTAACGGTAACTGCCTTCTTTTTATTACAGGATCTTTTTCGCTGTTGTATATGTCAACTAGTTTAGCCATCTTTACGATTAATCACATAAAATAGCCGACAAAATATACAAATATAACAAAATGACGGCTGATGACTGCCAAGTTTTCTGAAATACACGTCGTGAGGACCACAGACAAACGTCTATTTAGTCTAGTCAGAACTCTAGTGGTGATCAAAATAAATGTAGAAAATTAATTAATACTGTACCAATATTATTAGTTACGATTACGTTCATCGCTTTTTGATTAAAATTATCTTAGAAGAGCTAAATTTGTTTTATATAAAACGAAAAGAAAAATTTTATTCAAGTTCTGATTGAAACAAAATCTCACACCGAAACGGTCGTCGGAGATTCTTCTTCACGCAAAAAATGATCACCGCCAAAGAGTGAGTATAATGTTTATTAATCACCGCTAGAAAAAAACGTAGTAACTCGTACTTTCTATAGTTACAGCTTTATTATAATTTTTTTTGTAGTGTAGTTTGTTCGTTTCGGGTTGGGTTTTGATTCGAGTCGCCCGAATTCAAGTACACTGTAAGTTTAGGGGGGTTAAGGAGATTCATACCAAACTTTTTAAAGTACCAAACTCTAGCGCATTCTTTTCTGCCAGAGGCGTGTAAAAAATTTAATTAGCTATTTTTTAAAATTTAAAAATCTTACGAAACATGAAATGGAACGCAATTTTGATAAATTTCAGTATTTTCGAAGATGCGATTAATAAAAAAAATTTAAACGATTTAGAAATATCAATATTGAATCAATCAACAAGCAGTCAACAAGTCTCCGGTCGCATTCAGTTTACAAGAAAAAAATTTTTTTAATCTTGTTATTTTCATGAAAGTACACATATTTTATTAATTTTAATAAAACTGCGTACACAGTACTGCCAACATGATAAATATAGGAAGTGGGAGACTTTTTCGTACCATTTGTTCGAACAATTTTTTTTTAAATATATGAGTTGCCGATCCTACACAGAACAATCCGACTCGGACAGATTAGGTTGGAAGGTTCAGGCGCCTTTACCTTTTTTTTTTATGTGAAAAGTTGCCAAACGAGCAGACGGTTCACCTGATGTTAAGTGAATACCGCCGCCCATGGACATCTGCTACAGTCGAGGGTTCCAGATGTGCCTGCCCATTCATTTTTTTTTTTAAACTTTGCCTTTACTTTATTAAACATAAATTTCACGCAGACAAACACCCAGATGCGAAACAAGTATCTGTGGGTCACACAAATAGTTGTCCCGTCTGGGAATCGAACCCACGACCCACGACGCCTAAGCCAATACCTTGGCAACTGCGCCACGGAGTCATCAACAGCCGAGGCTGCTGCGTGGCCCTACCACCGTTCTACGTGCTCCTACCACCGTTTTAACTTTATAATACTATAAATTAACTTTAATTAATTGTGTGTACTATTACCGAAGTCACTGATTAAACGAATTAAATAGTCACGATTTGAAATAAATTCGTAAATTTTTGTATTTAATGAAAATAAATGTTTATTCAATAAATAGTCATCGTTATCTGGAAAAAAGTCGTAATATTTTATTTTATCATTATGACATATTTAGTTCCTATCACAATCTGTTCTTTGCATATTACTTTTACAAAATAATGTCGATGTTTCACATCTGCCAGGCGTCCCGTGGCGGCTCACATTTTTTTTCCTCTTTCTCTTCCTTCGAAGCCAAAGCATATGAATAAAGTAGGAATATGAATAACTACTTATAAAAAATATATTCTTATTTATTTATTATTCGTTTGATCTTTTATAAATAGAGTATAATTTAATAAATTAGAATCTTTGTTTCCTAACTGTGTCCCGTTTACCTTTAGCCTTGAATTGTTTTTTTCTGGTCTGGCGACATACGGGTAGTCGGGTACGACCAAAGATAATCATTACGATTTATTTTTGTTTACGTTTACGACAAAACCAACTTGTACCAACTCAAAACAAACGAAATTAAGTAGAACTGGATGCTAATATAGTCTAGAACCTTCCTACCTAATATATTTTTCTTATAGTCGTAATTACTATAGATTAATTTAATTCATCTGTTGAAAAAATATAGTAAGAGATTGTTGAGCTGCAAAAATCGTTATTTGTTTTATCGGTATTTGTCTTTACTTCAGTCAGCTCACAGCGTGAAATGTCAGTGTAATAGGTTAGCTGCATAAAATAAAATACATTGATAAAAAAGTTTTTTACACTTCATCATGTCGAAAATATTTACTCCTACTAACCAAATTCGTCTTACAAATGTAGCGATTGTAAGGCTAAAGAAAGGTGGAAAGAGGTTTGAAATTGCATGTTACAGAAATAAAGTTGTATCTTGGAGGAATAAACTGTGAGTTTGAAATAATTATTCATATATTCGTATGATTTTCTGTTTAAGCTTAGTAATTTTTTATTTTTTTTTTTTTTGTAGAGAAAAGGATATAGACGAAGTGCTTCAAACACATACAGTGTTTACAAATGTTTCTAAGGGGCAAGTAGCAAAGAAGGAGGACTTAGTTAAAATTTTTGGTAAGGATGATCAAACTGAAATATGTAAAGAAATTCTAGAAAAAGGTGAACTTCAGGTATCTGATAAAGAAAGACATTCCCAAATTGATTCATTGTTCAAAGATATAGCTACAACTGTAGCTGATAAATGTGTCAATCCAGAAACAAAGAGACCCTATCCTGTATCAATTATTGAGAAAGCAATGAAAGATATTCATTTCTCAGTTAATGTTAATAGAAGTGCTAAGCAACAGGCACTTGATGTAATTCAGATGATAAAGAAGGAAATTCCGCTTGAACGGGCACAGATGAGAGTAAGGATTTTACTTAGTGGTAAAGATGCAAGGAAGACAAGAGATAAGGCTATTAAACTGGCAATGAGTGTGGAAGAAGAAAGTTGGGAGTCTGGTACAGCAAATATTATTTGTTTGATAGATCCTGGAAGTTTCAGAAATTTAGATGATATGATACGAGCAGATACTAAAGGAAATGGGCAATTTGAGTTACTCAACTTAAAGGAAATGGTTGAAGGAGAGCAAGCTCTTTAAATGTTATGTTTATCAATATACTAATTGTTTCATTTTTATAAATAAACTTGTAATAATTTAAATTAATGATATATTAAGTCTAGATAATTATCTTCTTTGTTTCAATTTTCTGTCTAAAAATATTTACTGACTCACTGTTGATCCTATATTGTGGTCTTTAGATTCATTTTCAGATTTAAGGATTGAAATATTTAGCAGAACTATTACACTAGGTATGTTTGAAATATCAATTTTGCATTCATGTTGTTATGGTGTGTAAGAATTCTTAAGAAAAGTTAATAATAAATAGACTTAAACAATAATATCTATTTAATTTGCTACTTTGTGATAAGAGGCACAAATTTTCGTATCCTAACTAATGAATGATATCTATCTAACCTTGACCTTTGCATATAGCTGATAAGCTGTAAAGTAAGTAGTTTGTAACGAAGTCTGACTGGATTGTGTCTTTAGCTTTTATTGCGACAAGTCAAATTAAATTTAGTATGATGGTTTTATATAAAACAAAGTTTTAAAATATATTATTCTTTGAGATTTTCTCTAATAATTTGTAGCAAATTAGCAATCTGTGATACTAGGTGATCTTCTAAGTTGTAATAATAGATGGCACTAGTTATCAAAAATTTTTAAAAGGATAGAAATAAATGATAGTAGTAGTACTAATGAAATGTTTCAATCTCAAATTTTATTTATTGATTTTTTTTTAATAATATAGCGTGAATCGTAGAAACGGTAGTTGATAAAAGTACACGAAAAACCTATATTGAATGAAGTGTGAAACGAAACGTAGAAGTGAATGTACCCATCAGCAAATGAATGACAAATTAAAAAGTTTTATTTTTCTTATATTGGTACGAGATTTTATTGATTGTTTTCTTTCAAGATTTTCGGCCAGACGGCGACTGAAATTGCAAGTTACTGTGATATATTTATTTTCTATAATTAATTATTCTTATCAAACCAATTAAATGAGCAGGGATATCGAGTTATGTCTATAAGTAATGGAAGGTACAGAACTGGGTGGCGACCAGCAATTCTGTTTGAGATGGAACAATTTTCAAGCGAACATAACTTCTCAATTCGAAGCACTACGCGATGATGAGGACTTCGTGGACGTCACCCTGGCATGTGAAGGACACAGGCTGGAGGCCCACAAAGTGGTTCTTTCTGCGTGTAGTCCCTATTTCAAGGAATTATTTAAAGTAAGTCCATCTTTCACTCCCCACACTTTGATGTGTCACCATTACAATGACTCTAGTGAAAGTTGTTATGTATAAAACACTTGATCTACTTACAAATGCCATGTCTCGCGTTCCGGTTAAGTACTCGTGATTTCATTTATTTGTACCTACTTTAGAATTCTGTTTCACAATTTCTAATTACCTCATTACGATTAAATTTCATATGTCAAAAGTGATATTTTATAAATATAGATTGGAGTCTTATATCTTAATCAGCAGTCTTTTATAACTTCATACATTTCAAAATAGTGTAAATGTAATTAAAATTAATCAATCTTTTAAATAAGTCATTATTAACATATGAAATTTTAATATAATGGAAAATAATTATCAGTTGACATTAATAACCTACTTTTGCCTTAGTTTTAAATATAAAATTGCTATTGTGCAAAGCTAGTCATTAATTAACATTCAAAGAAGCACCTAGTTCTATGATATTTCTATTGTTGGAACATAAAAGTAGGGGAATGATATGTTAAAATTCACCTAATGAACCAAACTTAACATGTGGTCTTAATTTAATCACTCATCATATTTTATGAATATTTTTTTATTTCCAAAAGAAAGTGTTAAATTTTTTTACATATAAAGCTTTTTATTAAAATTTAGTTAGACAAAGATTTAATACAATTGAAACTATAAAAATGGTATATGAACAGTATCTAATACTTTTTTATCTATCACATTGCATTACTATAATTTATAATTAAATTTTATTAGACCTTCGGCCTCACTAATTAATATAAGAAACTGACAGAACTTAGAAGGTTTATAAACATGTCTTTAAGAATGTTAGATGTTTAAAATTATTATTTTTTAGTGTTTAACATAACTTTGGTTATCTGTGACTTATTGTTTATCTAAATCATAAATAGTTCTCATGTAAAAAGAGGTGTTATAATAAAAGATTCTTGACGACATCATAAGAGTCGATGGATGCAAATGGCAAAGTGTCGTTCATTGTGGTGTTCTAAGGGGTAGGCCTATGTTCAACAGTGGACGTCTTGCGGCTGATGATGATGATGATGATGAATAAAAGATTAATATTTACCTATTTTAATTTTGTAGAATTGTGTTAATAGAATCAAATGATAGAATCACTTATTTTATTCATTTAAAATGTAACTTTTACTCAGAAATAATAAATGAAAAAATTTAACATAGCACATAACATAATTACCTAATAAAACTTGCATAAAATGTGTAAGTTTTATTAAGTAGTATCATTTAATTTTATTATGAACTTCAATATAATATATCCAAGCCTTGCAATTCTGTGCAAAAATACATGTTTTGTAAACATGTACAATTTTAAAAACAATATATGTAATGAAATAACATAAGATTTCTTAAAACATCAACAGGTGCCCAAATAATGTATCACTAAGTCTAATGGCTGTTGTACTAAATGGAGTGTCCCATTATTTAGTAATTACTTATGACCATCCTGGTTAATGGTTATACATAATGAAAATCTGAAACATAATATTCAAATTAATTCAATAAAGATATTTAATTGATGTAATGGCATGAAAAATTGAAGATGCTGAGAAATCAGTAGGTGTAAATTGTTCAGCAGCTTTGTTGATCTTAAAAATAATAAAAAAAACAATGCCTTTGGTTGCTAGTTTCTGCCACCATATGAAGTTTTACTATTACTAATTACATGTTTTTTACTAATTATATTTAATGAAATGTAAGATAAAATGCTTATACCTTTTTTATAACCTAGGAATAAACAAATTTAAATAAAACCATTAACAACCACGTTTGTATATTTATATTTACGATGTTTTAAATGCATATTCAATCTTCCAACTTTGTGCATTTGTAAATGTTTAGGAAAAGTATTTTACGTTATGATTTACATTGCTTTTAAATAACTATAGAGTGTTAAGTGTTTAAAATGCCAGGAAGTTGCAGTATTCGCATAAATACATTTTTTGTGTTCCCAAAAATAAAGGAAATTAAAGCATAACTAATAGAATGTGATAATGTATATATTTTGCCAACTGAATTTGATTACAAAACACAATCCAAAGTACATTATTTGCTTTTACAACAATAAACTAACACAATGACACAATTTTTTTAAACATTATCCTGTATTTGTAACATCCAGTTGCAAAACAACTATCTGTCGGTCACTCAAATACTTGTTCCATGTGGGAATCAAACACACAAGCCCCGATGACCAAGCAAATACCCCCAACTGGGTATTATATATTTATATGGTATTTAGTAACTGCTATTTTGTAGTAAAATTTTGACATAGAAAAAAGTACAAGAAATTCATACATTACATAAATATACTATTTAATATTTATGCCTAATGCTTTAATTTTGGACTGAAACGCAGAAATGCCAATTTATGGCTCATTACACATGCGCTTGAGTGAAATGTCTGCTAGCTTCATTGTGTAGTTACTCAGACCAAATCACTTTCCAATGGAATTGTAATTATGTAGCTACTTTCCACATGGTCTATGCGATACATTTACGAAATTTCGATTACACATCACTATGAAATTTGCAAAATGCGTAAAAATTAACAGCAACGTCCGTCACTAAATATAACTTTTTTAAATTCAATACGATTTTACAAATTGTTTTCGTTTTAGCTAGTAGGCGTACTACGAATTCTTACGGATCTTAGACACGATTTATGATCAATCCTCTATTCTGATAAATAAAAAAAAAAAAAAAAAAAAAGATTTTGACAAAACTACTCAATTGAAACATGCTTACGCATTAACTGATAAAGAAATTAGCATTGTAGAAGTTATTGTTTTGCCTTGTGATTGCGGAAAATATCAGGTAACACTTCGAGTTCTACTAAGCGGTCCAATTGTTTCCAGAACAATCCATGCCCCCATCCAATAATATTTATGCGGGACTGCGAGGTGTCGCACGTGCGCGCGCTACTGCAGTTCATGTACGCTGGACAGGTGAATATTGCGCAGGCGCAGCTTAGCGCGTTCCTGCGAACCGCGGACGCGTTGCAGATCCGCGGCCTCACTGATTGCTCACAACACAACGACAAAGTAAATATTTTCCCCTAGTTTAGAACTGGTTCTCTCATATTTATATAATGATTTAACGCCATTTAACGCCTTCATAAACCTCGAAATGACACCATGTTCTCTTTGCAGAAAGCCAATCGAAAATCTCCCCCTTCCCAATTGCGTAATTTGCTCAGCGCCAAGCCGTCACATTCTACCTCCTCCTCCAAAGCCGCAAACCAAAACGTCGAATCGACTTCAGCCGATGACCACGAGAAGAGCGCAAGTCGTCATTCTGCGAGAAATTCTCCCGATGTTGCCAGAAATAATCTCAATGAAGAAGCTCCCTTTCAAACTTCTAGTCAAATGAGGCCTAATAATAATGACTATAGCGAATCCTGCACCTATCCTACGTTAAGGGTGAAAACTGATCTCGAAGCACCAGAGGTGAACAATGATGAAAATGATATTTTAATGGACTCCGGCGATCCGGACAGATTGGAGAAATGCGGTCAAGATTTTAGCGCATCGGATCTGCTAGAACCGAAAATGGAAGTAATGGAACAGGAAGCTAGCGACGAGGAACGGTCTAGCTTCCAACAAGTTTACTACAACGAAAACAATGCGCTAGCCAATCCCTTTGCGACGCTTCAAGGTAAGTGTCAATACTCCATTGGGCCCTAACATGTTATCTGGAAACATTGTACGAACTAACATCATTCGCACAGGTAACGTGGATCTCATGGGCGGACTGAACACGGAGCTGCGGGACGAAAACACGGAAGGTAAATATAAACTCTTCCCACTCTGTCACGTCATTCTCACACGCACACGTCGAATCGGACAGCCGCGCCCCCGGCGAACCTCTTACTTTCAGTTAATGTAACGATCGTACAGATTAAAATTAGCAGAGAGCGCGCGCGATTCCGTTCAAGTCAGGTGGCTAGGCGCGCGGGTGTCGGGTGACGACCGCGCGGGCGACCGTCCGCCCCCAAGCCAGCGACCCACCGCCTCCAATGCTAACAGAACCGCCGCGCCTGCACCACCGCGACAACTACCGACCTATTGAGTAAACACCGATAACAAGAAGCGACGCGTACCCGACCACGGTCGCACACAGACGGCATCCACTCGACCACTGGCCCGCACTGAGTAAACACCACAATTCCCGGCCTCCCTGGCCATCGTTCACCGCTTCGGAAGTGCAATGACTCTGGAGGGCATTTGAAGTAGCCCATTGACGACGAAGTGCTCTGGCGCGGCGGCTGTTTCGTGCTGGCCGGTCCTATTAGCATTGGAGGCGGGGTGGGGCGGGGGGAGGGTCGTCGGGGGCGCGTGCCGCAGTGCGAACTGGTGTTGTTGGCAGCGGGCGGCGCGGGCTGCGCGGGCGGCGTGCGGTGCGCGCAGTGCGGTCGGCGTTACAGCAACGCGTCCAACCTGCGCCAGCACGTGCGCCTGATCCACGAGGCGCAGCCGGTGGTGTGCGCCACATGCGGGCGCAGCTTCAAGACGCCGCTGTACCTGCGCCGGCACACGCTGGCGCAGCACCCAGTGCGCGTGAAGCCGCCGCCGCCGCCGCTCCCCGCGCTTCGGCCCGCCCAGCACTTCCAACAGTAGCCGCACCGCGCGCGCTCTCTCTAAACACGTGCAACGTTGCCGGACGCGCGTCCGCCGGGGACCAGCACCGCGATTCCGCAGGCCACCGTAGCCCCTCCGTCTCGCTGTCCCTTTGATGTTCATCTTGACTTGTACCGCGTATCGTCCTCTATTGTTTTGAAACTTAATCGTTTCACTTTGTCACGCTGATATCGGAGTCGTCGCGCTGGTTCTCTCTCTCGTCTTCAACGGGGAGGCGCAGTAGGGTCGCACTTCGCTCTGTCCACTTATGATTTATATTGCATTTGAATGAAATGGTCGTATGCTAAAGTGCCGGGCTTCCCCGGCCCCCGTACTCTATTGTGCCTCGCCGTTGCGTCGTATTGCGAAGATGTGACTTAACGTCATAAGAAGACTGTCAGTAGATATATCTAGTCTGTGATCGAAGTGTCGCCGGGGGCCTTTCTGCCGTCACACCTCTCCGCTTATTGCGTGCCTTTCAATAATTATACCGAGTGCCAGACACAAGTTGACTTAACGAGTCCCTTTAGTTCGCACGTAGCATAAGTAAGATTTATATGTATATTGATTATTAAACAGAGCACTTTTTTCCCGTTATCAAGCGTTGTTGAGTGCGAGGTGAAATATCCAACATTATGTACTGTAAACAAATACGCCACACAACCAATGTAAGGAATTCAATCGCCTCGACTGACGTCCGATTACTCGTACTTTTCCGTGACTAAACGGGACTCGTTAGCCCAACGCTTAAGTACCTTCCTTTCTGACAATAGACTGATTGTTGTTAAAGCATTTGTTGCAACCGGTGCTGATTTATCATAGGTTATTTACAGGTTACATATTATACATACATACCTACATTATACATGTTATCCATACGTTGGGCACTCCCCGTCGCTGAAATGGAAAGTGTATTTTCTTAATAGATTTGTGTTTTTTGCAACGCATCGGCGACGGTGAGGGCCGAACGCACCCGTTTTTACGTGTCTAGCTCACCGAGTTCGCAAGCTCGTCGTGAACAACAAATCAATAGTGATATTTTTATACACAATAGTTTATCTTTACACAGTGTTATTGTTGAGTGATTGGACGGCTCCCGGTTGTTAGTTTGTACAAATTACAGATGTAAACGTTAATGTTAAACGAACCGAACACATTGAGAAGGATGTTGACGAGTTCGTATTCAATGTTTAATTTTTAAAAAAAAATTGCCATAGCCATGGAACCCAGTGAAGAGTAAAAAAATGATGAACAGACTATATTAGTATTTAAGGATTGCGTATCTTTCTTTTTGTGCACCCCCGAAGAAGGTTGGTTGCATTATAACTAGCTGATTTGCTTGTGGAAAGAGATGAAAAAAAAATGCCATGAAAAAGCATCTAGTCATTTTAAAGAGCATTTAGAAGGGGCAAGATGTCGGAAGTATGGATTAGGGTTGTGAAAAAACAATTTTTTTTCTTAATTCGCTAATTATGAAACTATATCGAGCTGCATGCATGAGATCTCAACACTTTTATCTCAAAATATGATCTCATAATGTACTCACATTTCCACGAAGCATTTTAACATTGTTTTGAATACGTGCAAAATTTTTAGATTCTTTTAGATGCGATCACTCTTTATACTTAACTATAAACATTTTAAAAGATAAATGCAACTATTAAATTATTCCATACCAACATTAAGAAACACACCTAGTCAGTTTAAAAATTCAAAATTCAGGGAATCTCATCGTACATACTTGAACGTTTTCTAGTAGTGGAAAAGACCCTACAAATTTATCGCTATTACGATAATAATGTTTACGAATATAAATTTAAACAAAAAAATGTTATACTATAATTCATGGTTTCCATTAAGTACTAACTTAGACCTTTTACTAATAACCACATTCAGAGATATCAATTAGCTGTTAACTAGAATTAAATTTAGTTTATTGGTTAAGTTTAGTCTTATTAAAAAATTTAAGACTGAACTAGACACGAATTTAATCCTATTTAAGTTAATTATGTCTCTGTGTGCGGCCCTTAGTATTAATTTCATAGGGCTTAATATATTTATTATTAATATTGGGAAATATACTACGTTGCACGCTTTCTCCTCTAATCATCCCGCCCCAATTATGCGTAGAAATATATATACATATAATATATAAATATATTTATATATATATATATATATATATGTATTTTATATTACAACAAACATTTTTGTTTGTTCTAGTTGAAGTTTTTTCTTTAAATATTTCCACTTGAAATAGTTATACGAAATATTTTTATTGTCCTATGTTTTGTACTGCTAGGTCGTTTGAACATACGCCCATAAATATTTTTTACTGTTATTCTTCTGCCATAAATCAGTCAATTTAATATTATCGCTGTTCGCAACACTGCGAGGATTCCCACTTTAAGTAAATGATAAACATATTAATTATATAGTTCTTTATATGTAACCAAGTTCATCTGTGCAATTGCTTAGTGCAGAATTACAACTTTTATGTATGTACATAAATCGATGTAATTTTTTTACTAAATATTAAAAAATAAAGTATTCGAAATACAACAAGATTTTCTGTTAATGGAATCAATATATTTCATTATTATTTTTGGTATTTTTTAATTCCTTACGTTTCTAAAAGTTTACTTTAAAATGTTTTCTTATTTTTATGCCCAGTAGTACTAAAAGGAAATATTATCTTCTCGTAGTAGCAGATTTGATACAGTTATAATAGGTTTCACTAGTTTTTTATCGTGGTGGTCAACGTGTCACGTTTGACTTATCCTAGTCTAAGTCTTGGCAATTGTTTTAAGCTCTCGCCAGTTAACGGTGGAGAAGGAAACTTGAAAAGACTTTCTGTTTGTAAATGCTCTTAGGTTTCATATTAAGAATTAAGTTGCGTTCGCAAAGGATTTGTTTTCGACCCCTACCTACTTTTGGATGTCAATATTGAATGCTGAAACATTTTATAACTTTGTTGTTGCTAACGAATGATATTAAATATTTGTAATTGCGCCAGAAAGTCAATTAAGACTCACGATACAGTTACTCAAACAGTACATTTGCGGCATTCGATGTTGCTTTTCGAACTTCTATTAGTCTCTATTAGATTCCATAATGTAAATAATTTCGATCGTGATTCAGATTAGGTCAAGATATTTGGATAGTGCATGTTTACCAATGCAATCAAACAGTCTCAATAAACAAAAATTCAACGTGAGACTTATATTATTTTTAATAAAATATCAACGTAGTAGTATGTAGCAGCCATGAATCCTCGAATACACGTAAGTTGCACAAAACTCGAATAGCGGTACTGCTCGAGTGTCAGGTACAGTTACGTACAGTTTGAGAATTTATGAACATTGTAATTCTGACGAAATTTAATCATGTTCGTAATTCGTCAGACAAGTTTCGTGCGATAACTCAAATTAGCCTCTGAAGTCTCTGCTACGTAGCTCTAATCTAAAGGGCGGATTAGGGGTGGCAATATGTTGCCGTCTCATTTTCGCCGCAGTCCAAATGGTTTCCTGTCTTACTCCCGCCCGTAGGTTGGTTACAGTCGCCAACAACGACTCGATGTTTGCATCGGGCGGTATAAGCGCCGAACTTCAGGCGGATTTAGTTACACTCGGCCCGTAAGCCCATCGCGCGCGAGTGTACTGAACGATGGTTGTGTGACAGCGGCGTGCGGCCGCTGGGACGGGCGTCGCAACCGGCCGGTGCCCGACGCCGTCTGGCTGGAGCAGCACCGACGCGCCCTGCCGTTCCTGCTGAAGAGGGAGAACGAGCGCGGCGGTGCCACCGCACCGAGGCTCGTGAGTATCGATGACGTCATCCAAACAACTTACGATCGCTTGTCACTGTCATCAGAACACAGGTCAGGAATAGACGTGATATACTACGCAATTTTTTACATACATAGGTACTCTATCTACGCTTTGTTCTTGGTTCCATGTAGTCTGCCTTCTGTTTAAGTAGATCCTACAAGAAATAAACACTGTGTTGACACAGAATGTTTATTCGGATCCATGATGCTTTACTACCGCGTCGTACAGGCGATTATTCAACGCGCTTATCAGGCTGGAGTGTAGAACGACAGCGTCACGTGAGCGAAAGGGTCATGAGACAGATCAAATTTATATAGAAAACAGGTCTGAAACCGAAGACAGCATTTGACTACGAAAATACACAGATAATGGAGGGCGACAAAGTAGTCTTTGTACAAATTTCAACCGCTTTAACATTAATAAGACTGCACCATTCCGTACTGTTAATGCAACGGTGACATATACTTAACTAAGAACATGTGAGCTGAACACATGAACCGCTGTGGTATGGCCACACAACTCTTGCAAGCTCTTGCACGAACAGGCATGTCCGCCCTAGTTATATTTTTATTTTATTACTGTTATACTTTTGCGTTTCATCTGATGAACGAGGTAGCTGGGGCCGACTTTATTAAAAGGTGGCAACGCATTGGCAATTCTACGGGTGTTGCATATCTCACGGTTATCACTTTACATCAGGTGAACCGCCAGATCTCTTGCCACCTTCTCACATCAAAATAAAATCTTCTACAAATTAGATCAGTCAAGTTCAATTCCTGGTCTTGGCCTTGCATTCAGGACTCGTGATATTGTATTTAAACATTTCGCTGTTCATAATAAACACCTTTTTACTTACTAATCGTTTACCAGCTTCTGGTCTGTTTTGCTCTAAGTAGCTCCACTTCTTAGTAAAAATATTACGATAAAGCTATATCCATGCAACTTCTTAAATACAACGATATTTCCCTTTTACACACTTAAATTTCCCTTTAAGCAATATAATTATTACTGAGAGTGAAAGATGTAATTCATTTTAAAATTTTAAATTCAGCCATTTCATTTTAGAGCTTTTTATTGAGGCCGCTTCTAAAACGGGTTTATTAAACCTTGACATTTGTGCTGTGAGTCTATTTTTAAAACTTTCTAAATAATGTATTTTTCATTTTCTAAATTTGATTTTTAATCTTTTATAATTTTTAATGTTGCTATTTGCTTATTTAAACCAGTCGAAAGTTGGTGGGCATGTTTTCGAATATACATACAAGTCTTAATAGATATTATATAGTTGCGAAATAAACCTGTCTAACAACTATTGAATAAATTTGCCACAAGTAGCTACACTTCGGTTATGTAAAAATTTGCAATCAATATAAAACATGCATTTAAGTTTTATAACATTAACAATGACCATTTGCGTTAGGGAATGTACGCCATTGAGTTTTTGCGAATGTGTTAAAATACGTTGCGCTTGTGCGGTTTGAGGTCATTGTATGTGCTGATTATATCCGATTCTAAAGTCATATTACCCAACTTATTGAAATGGTCGTGTATTACTACTGCGTAATTTATTAGGGTTATTTGTAGTTAATTACATATTATATTATTCAAGTCAATTGTGCGGGAGACGATCGAATGTTTTTGTTGTTTAAATAGCGATAAGAAAAACTCGACACGTAGGAGTTCCTCTGTACAAGAAAGTTCTGTAGAAAGCAGATCAGTGTTCAAAACTGGAGTAAATTCCGTTGCCTTTTTTTTACTTGCTCGCGGTCTCGAAAAAGTTGATTGGTGTTATTTACCGTTTAACGTCCGCGCCCTGAGATTAAATAATTAATAGGAATCAGTAGAAAAAAAATAATATGTCTACTCTAGAAGTCTTTTAGTACGACCGTGAATTTGTAAAGAAAACAATGCAATGTTCCATTGCAAATTCGCATGCGCCCTAATAAACGACTCAAGTAAGCAACAATTGATTAGCTGTGGTGTCAACGAAGTCATCATAGGAGCAGGTCACGTCGATTTATCGTTATAAAATTATTGATATGTTGTTCTAAAGGAACTTTTGTGTGCCTCTAAATGAATTATGAAAAATATAATTAATAATATTAATTATAATTTATTTCCTTAAGCACATTTAAATTTTTATAGTACTACTCTCAGCACTTAAGATGAAACTTAAAATGGACTAAATAGTTTTCACCGCCGCGGGAATCGAACCCAATCCTCCGAAATCGCGCACTTTAACTAAAGGACTGTTTGCCACAACGACGAAAGTCTCAACTAATTTCATCTACATTTCATTCATTGTTTTTTTCGCATCTTAAGCAACACTTGGCACATCTATTGCTCCTTTACATCACACAAACAATTTAAAGTATCGTTTACAACGACAATACAACGAAGATGGGTTAGATTCCAGCAAGTGAATATTTCTTTGTCTATTTTTCTACAAATTTTAATCTATGTTTACAAACTGGATAAGCATTTTTTAATTCACACACATTTCATATACATATATTTATACATTTCGTATCGGGAAGTCCCATTCTAACATGTTTATTACATAACCGGTGCTTAGGAAATTCAGCCCTATCATAATATATAAAATATCGTTTAGCCTCGATTCATTTTCACGTCCGGCACCTACGGAAGTAGATAAGAGTGTACTCTTTTCTTGATCCCTTTCCTTGATAACTTTCTCTCGCTATGTCCAATCTAAGATCTTTAAATTGAATTTTTTTGTAGATAAATGAACAAAAACTTTTCGCGGTGCGGGATTCGAACCAGAAGACGTTTCTGGTTTCGCGCCCAGGCGCTTTACCAACTAAGCTAAGAGGCCGATGACCCCGTAAAAAACTCAACAACTATCTACGTTCTTCCTATCGCATATTTAGCAATGCTTGGCGCCATCTAGTGTGCATCCTATACAACATACAACACCTTACAGAGAGCGATTCATAAGTTAAAAGGGTAGAAATTAACAAGTATTTCGAATACATGTTATTTGGTAAGCTACCATAAAGTTTAACACGCCAAAGCTAATTTTATTAATTATGAAATTCGTCGAGGATTTTTAGACTCGACTCGCTTATTCAGTAGGGGCGATGAACTATTTAGTTAATGTAATTTATTCATGTATAATGCGTATTTTTCGAATTCAATTGAAAATATCTATTCTTTAAGACGAGAATTTCTTGTTGTAATGGCGACAAATATTTTATCGGTAGGCCGTCTATATACTTAGGTCGTATGTACGCTTTCCGTGCGGTTATCGAACCTATAGCCAGTGGTGGTGAAGCCTATCGAATAGTTACTGTGTCAACTATGACTATTATAATATTAGCTATTTTGTTTCATTAAACGTAGCCACGCGTGCTGACTGAATTTATAACAGGAAATTTTTGAATCATTAAGAACACTACTACTACTATATCTGATTGCATGTTTTGCGTGATATAAGTATCGATAATTATTGTATTCGTAATCTCTGCTGACGTTAACAAATTAAACAGACTAAATAAAGCTACCGTAAAAGATTTGTATTGGTTAGACGCTCAGAACTTCTATGTTCTACGTGTGTGATTTTTATGCATTGCTATCGATTAATAAAATATTTGATGATTCCGTGGTGCAGTTGTCAAGGTATTGGTTTCGGCGACGGGGGTCGTGGATTCGATTGCCACATGGAACAAGTATTTGTGTGACTCACAGATAATACCGGCATGAGTGAGTGAGAGTCCCAAGGAGGTCAGGCAGGTGAGATGGCCTTCATAAAAAAAACTAACCAATACCATTAACAAAGTTTATCACATGTTATGCCTCACCCATTTGATATAAGGGCGGGAGAATAAAGTGCTTATTCTATACAGATAAGGATGTTATATACAAATATTAGAACATCATTGGTTGCTATACCAACTTGCACCCCTCGGAAACGCATCGAATGGTTGAAAAGTATGTTACCTAAAAATGTACCTATATTTGTAGGGTAGAAAACTATGTTTGGGGTGGACCACCCTTAACATTTAGGGGGATGAAAAATAGATGTTTTCCGATTCTCCACCCTGGCCGATATCCACACAAAATTTCATGAAAATCGGGCGAGCCGTTTCGGATGAGTTCAATTATAAACACCGTGACACGAGAATTTTATACATTAGATTAAACGTTATTTAGCTATTGTAATATTTCATCAAATAATGAGTGTCCATATGTCGACAGTGTCCATACGGTGCCATATCTTAATTATCAGATCTTCCGTCTTCTATTTTGATTTTTGTTTGTGTTTTATTTGGAAATTTGAGTATAGTTTGGTAGCATTGAGTACGGTAATAAGTGTTAAAAGTATATAAATATTCAGAAAAATATCAGGTTAACCATGCATAGGAAACTCATATGACTTTACGAATAATTTGAATCGTTTTTAGTATTGTCACAGACTATTTATGGTAACAACGTATATGAGTCATTATTTTTGCAATAAACTCTTGGTGCATCGTGCACAGAAAATGATATGGAATCGGGAGAAAATAATATCTACCCGACACTTACGGAAATAAGATCCAATAATATAAAAGACGTTTTATGTGTAGACTATGTCTCAGTTTTTTAATTTAATGCCCATCGTCGAAAAATATGTCGGTAGCGTTAAGGCCCATTTACACGATGCCATTTTCTTGTACATACAAGAGCAATAATTGAATGCAATAAATTGCGCGCAATAATTGTTAAGACCATTTGTTCTTTAGACCATGCAACTCATTTATTGCTTCAATTTAATTGTATACAACAGGCAAGAAACTGGCACCGTGTAGATGGGTCTTTAGGGAGCATGGCCCTATACAATAATGTAAGCAAAACTATTCACGTCTCTGAAAACACAGAAAAACTGTACTGCACTGTACTCTTTCCGCTATTCTGACCTAGATTATACTTGAAGTTTGGACGTTTGGAATAAAAAATATAGCAAGCATTAAAAACCGGCCAAGTGCGAGTCGGACTCGCGCATGAATTAATCATATATGTTGTGTGGCAGCCCCACTTTAATATTTTTTATTCTGTTGTTTAGTATTTTTTGTTATAGCGACAACAGAAATACATCATCTGTGAAATTTTTAACTGTCTAACTATTACGGTTCATGAGATACATCCTTAGTAATATCAATTATAATAGTTATAAAATAGCCTTAGTAATAGTAAAAGTAATAGTAATAGCAATATTAAATCAACAAAAGTTTCGGGTATCGTCTTTTATGCTAATAATATTAAGAGGTGAAATTCGTTTGTTTATGAAACTACCGAAGCGATCGCAAAACTGTTTCACTATTGAAACTACAGTGCCTCTTAGAAATATGATTTTATTTAAAGTACATTTTGAGTCGGAAATCTGATTATTTACACAAATAAACTTACACAAGTACTCTTACTAATTACTTTGGTCGGGGAGCCAGTCATCTAATCTCTTTTCCATTCGCTCGGTCGAATCGTAATTTACTAGGAGCGTCGGGGGCCCGAAGGTCAACAATACTAAATAATTGTTTTTTTTTTAAATTAATAAACGTGATGAAATACAAGCAAAAAGCTTTTTAACAAAAAAAGAACAGACTTTAAATAAAATGATGTACGTAACTATCACAACGTTACATACAAAACAATGCATATTTATGCGATAGCAGCAATCACGGTTGATTTCCAGTCATATTTCGAAGAGTTCCGTTGCTATCTCCGAAAATCATCATCAGATCTATATAAAATTTATATGTGACCATTTCGCAATGAAACCCTTTCGAACCAAAAAAGAATTTTGCAAATCTGCTTATACAGCGTGTCTTTACAATCGCGACAATAAATGAACATACATATAGAGGACAAATTTTTAAAATTGTATTAAACATTTACATTCTTTAAACATCAATATTTACCGAGTATTTAAATTTTCCAAAACAACGAATTTTAGAACTCCTTACGTATAAAACTGTGTTGAATGAATTTGAAAGAGACAAAACATACTGTTAGAAAGAGAGGCTTGTAATGCGACGCTGTGGCAACGAATGAAAAAGTCTCTGAATGTATGAATCAGTCAGTTGTAGTTGTATAGGATGTTATAAATATTGTTTCTTTTTTACTTAATTAGTTTGTTTGAAAAATATTTTTTTTTAATTATGGTTTTTTTTAACGTTAATATTTTTTATGATTATTGGCAAGTAGCGTTAGACGTGTGTTCATTTATTGTCGCGATTGTAAAGACACGCTGTATATGAAGTAGTTATGCCCGAACATATATAAAAATATGTAAACATCCGAATCGATAACCCCCTTCTTTTTGAAGTCGGTTAAAAATCGCTAAATAAATAGCAATAGATACCGCTGACGGTATCTGTTCTGAAACAGAAGAGTGCTGCAGAAGCTCTCTGAGTCACGGGCTGAGAGTTTGTTACACAACTTCACGGTTCAAAGCCTCACTAGGACGAAAAACTCTTGAGATAACCACGCCCCACGAATTTGATATGGCAATCCGCGTTCGGTAAGGCCGCTCATGACCTCGCGCGTTCGTTATCTATGTGAAGGAATATCACATACGGGCCATCCTGCTGCGGTACGGACCGTGACCGATGGCCGTTGACTGCGTTAATATTTGACGGTGAGATCCGCCCCGCTCGAAGGCGAAGAAGAACTATTCGGTCTTATATAGTAGCACTATGTGCATGTAGTGTTGTCCGGTGAGAGTTGGAACACCCGGCAGGTTCTGCCCATCCAGCCCTTAAGGTTGTGTTAATTAATGTGAATGTCTATCGCCCGGTTTCTGAACCCAAGCAGAATGATCATTATGATTTATTGAAAAAGTTTAACCATCCTCTTGGCAACTCAAATGATATTCGACAAGCCATGTTTAGGCAGCTGATTAGTTAATTTAAGATAATCAGTGTTTCAGAAACCGGGCGTAAGAACACAGCAAAAGCTTCGTGAGTCGCGAATTTTTTTAACTTTTCTAGTATAGGTTCCGTATTTTGATATCTGTAATAAGTTTTATTTAATTAACAAAAAAGTATTTCTTTCAGTTACCAAATATCTATAGTACATACCTTGCTCAGTTTTGTACTATATTATAACGTTTTGTAGTATTCTCTGACATATTTATCTATTATTTTTAGAAAACACAATGATATGCTAATTTAGTTTTACCGTCATATTAGTTTAAGAATTAAGTCTGCAAGGCAGAGTAATTCATGCATCTAATGAAATTACATGTAGACTACATAGGACGCGATATTATCACGCAACAGATAAAAAAGTAGAGCTGCTTCACACAATAGATAGAAACAAAAATGATTACATAAATAGGTATTTGTCTGCAGTGAAACGAATCATTTGTTTTCCCTAATAAAAAAAAAACAACTAATGGTTTGCTTATCTGAGGTTATCGTTTAGTTTATTAACATTTCGTTATTGTATTATGCAAATATTTTCTTGGGCGTAATTGCGAAATCATATACTATATGAGAAGTTCGTGCTTTGGTATCTGGTATATCTGGCAAATTTTAGTGATAATTTTGTTTGCTAAGTTATTTGATTAGAACCTTTACTGATTTGTTATTGACCATTCAAAATACATTTTCAGAATTTTGGTCTACTTCAGAATGTGACTAGTAAATCTCAGATTTCCGCTCATAGACAGCAAACGACCTTACTATACTTATGATGAAGATAATGTTATCTAAATTTGCACGCAATCAAACTATGAGTGCTATTGAAAAAAAAATAATGACTAAGCGTGTCGGGTGAAGCGGTTGGGAAGCCGTCATGATTCAATTTTGTTTGGGATTACTATAATTTAAAAGTTCTCAACGTCATTGGTTTGATAAAAACAATGTATAGATTTTCTTTCCCTTTGAACTATTATAATCATTAAAAATACATGAAAAAAAAGTATCTTATCCAATTTAAGTAGAAAGGAAGCGGTGCCGATTTTATAGAATTCAATTTTCCGACAATTTTCACCTACCAGCATTCGTATTTAATCATTTGTAGCTGAGCTAGGTTCCACATGGCAAAACAACCAAACAAATTAATCTAACATAAGAAGCGGCCCACACGATCGCCATTTATCTGGCCATTTATCGGGCGGGTTATCGCATCCGCGTGTTGTTCAAAATTAAAAAGAAAAAGTAATATGAAAGGATAAAAGGGTAACGCGCGCTGCACGGTCGCCAGATAAAGCTCGGCGAGGGCGTCGAGATCCGCGAGGAGTTGCTGCGCGGCGTCAAGTGGGGCGACTACAGGAAGGTGACGCGCGGCCTGGCGGCGGCGCTGTTCTCGCCTATGGAGCTGGCCACGTGCTCGGTTACGGGGCAGCGGTGGTCGCGCGCCGGCCAGGAGTCGCGCCCCACCAAGCCGCCGCTGGACAGGCGCCGCGTGCACGCGCTCATATCGTACGTGAGCCGCCACTTCCCCGACGTGGAGGTCAGCCGCATCAAGCAGGTGCTCGCTTACAAGTGCAAGGAGAACTGCGCAGCGCTCCGCATGAGGACCGCCAGGTACGTGAGGCGCATCTCCCCCCCCCCCCCCCCCCCCCCCCCCCCCCGGAGGGAATGAGTTTCGCCGCGTGTTTTTACGCAACGCAATCCAGCACCAAATTAAGCAAACATTACGCTGTGCTAGATACCTGATGAACATACTTTAACGTAAATTAGTAGAAAAAGTACGAAAAGATTGTCGCCGCTGTGGGAATTGAACCCACGTCTTCGGCATTCGCGGCCTGACGCTCTAGCCACTAAGCTAAACGGCTGATTGCCACACCGACGAAAATCTTAACGCCTTTTATCTACGTTGTTAGTACGTTGTTGCATTTGAAGCAATCTATTGTTATATCATTTCCAGCATACAAACAATTTCGAATATCGTTTTACAACGATAATTCGAACGAGAGATGTCGCCATTGCTTCTTAGAAATTTAAATTTTTTTATAGTGCTAATCTCTGCACTTAAGAAATGGGAATCGATTCCCACAGCGGCGACAATCTTTTCGTAATTTTTATACAAATTTAATGTTCAATCTTAAGTGCAGAGACGGCTTAAGACCAGAGGACTTGTAGTTTCTTGGCGATCCCATAAAAAGTGGGCTACGGTTAACTAAATCGCCATACGAAACGCGAACGTGATATACTGCCGTTTAACACTGGTGTTACAAAAGACCGTGTTAATCCCCCGGATGATTCTGCCTATTTGTGCAAAAACATATGCTGTTGCGTTACCTCACCATAGTACAAATAACAAGTACACTGAACAACATTTTGCATAGCTTAGACGGTTGAAGCTTAGAAGATTGTACGACTAAAATTCTGATGGTCCGTACAATCACAACCACACGATAATTTTAAAATTTTATCTGATTGCACTTATAAATTTGTTTTGCATGGAAAATTTGACATGAAATGAAGTCTTTTTTTTTTTTGACTGGATGAGCCACTGTTCGCCTTAGGGACCTTCACAGTTCCGACGGGCTTGAGGTGGCCAGGCGCACGGGGCGCCTAGCCTGCACCTCGAATGAAGTCATTACATCAAGAAAGATGTTGATGTAATGACTATAACATGTTGTCGATACGGCTCGATGAATTTGCACCGTGTAACATAACCCGGGTAAAAGTATATTTCTCATAGAAGCTTGTCTGTGTCAATGCAGTCTTTCTTTTCGAGACTGTGATCTTAATAATCCTAAATGGTAAAAACGTAACGGTACCTAGTTAAAAATAAATATCCGAATGTTGAATTTATTATTTTTGACTTTTATGTATATCAGGTTATTTTTTAGCTTAAGTTATTATTGAGTCAAAACAAATATTAGCTGAAATAAAAGCTTCGAAATAAAATGTAACCGTTATAAAATTATTGATTCTAATAAATCTTATTTTATTTGGGCTATGATAAGGTCTTTTACAATGAACAAAATTGAACATTGTATATTCATTGGCAGTACCACTCGGCTCTTGAAATATGCTAAGTAAAATAAATCAACGTTAAGGTTCTTTCTCGACGTTTGCTTTTAAATGTTTGATTTGATGAACATGACCATAGTTTTTTACTAAAACTCCCGGTAAATTAAACGCAGTAAAATATCTTATTTACGAGTAACAAATAGTCATGTCAGGGGTTGACTGGTAGAGAATGCCATTAGGCATTAAGTCCGCCCATTGTGGCCTTTAGCCTAAGGTGTAACAATGAAGTATAAATAAATAAATAATAAATAAATAGTGTCTCAAATAATCTAACTTATTTTTATTATATAAAACTGCAGGAATTGATTGACGAATAACTTACGATAAATACTGTGTCGTGCGTTCGATTCCAACCGAGGAAGAGTATTTGTATGACCTACGAATAATTGGATCGGGGTGGGTGATTGTCTTTGTGTTTATAAATCGCCTGTACAGAACAGGATCAGCAGGGGCAATATTTTTTAAAATACGATAAGATAAGAAATAAATATACAATATGCCCATAGATAAATTGATGAAGTTTCATCATAAATAAATATAAATAAATAACATAAATAAATTGATCAGTATTAGCAGAATTTTATTAGTAAAACATGAAATTTTACGTGCTAGGACATTTTGTATGCCAATTCGGGACTTATAAAATCATTTTGTATTCAAGAGTTGTTGTCAAATTGTTATTCGAAGTCTGTCTGAATGAATCCCGTTATGCTTATTTCTGGATTTGCATTAAAACCGAAACGGATTTCTTCTCTTTTTTTATGTGAGAAAATGGCAAACGAGCTGGCGGTTCACCTGATGTTAAGTGGTAACCGCCGCCATTGGAACAATGGACATTTGCTAAACCCTTAGGGTTGTAAAAACGATGCCACCTTGAAATAAAGTTGGTCCCGGCTACCTCACTCACCAGACGAAACGCAGAAGCGTAACACTTCTACTTTACGCCGGTCTTCTGTGAGGTCGTGGTACTTAACCGGACGGGCCTGCCCATTCGTGCAACAGCGAAGACTGAGTTGCGTGGCCCTACCACTGTTAGTTTTTCCGTAATTGTTTTAACTTGTCTTTAAATGCCTTTCAACAAACATTGAAAACTAATAACATTAATTGATTTATTATTAGTATTACACGTTTTCAACGAAAGTATGACAATGTCATTTTATAATGTCACTAGCATCGAAAACCTTTAATAATGGGTGGTTAGAAAAGGATTTTTGAAGTTTTTATTTGCCTATTACAATTTTAATGTGAATATTATAAAATTGAGAATTTTAAAAACAACTTGACATTGGCGTAATTGTGATAACTCACAAAGCAAGCCATTAATAAAAAGAAGAAGAATGGGTGGTTAAATTTTAGTCTATTTTTAATTATTTAATAATTAGTCGTTTGATTTAGGCTGAAACGCCCACTAAAATGTACTAAGGGCAAGCGGTTTGGCTGTTATATATAATATTACACACATAATTAACATTAATAAAATGACATATATTATTTAGATATATCATGTCAGTTGTGATTATGCTTTCATATTTTTTTTCTACGTAAACAATATTGTCTTTTAGAGGTAATGAAGCTATAAATTAACGTCAAGGGATGCCTCATAGAGGTCTTATCTTTGTTTATGTTCATCAAATTTATTTTGTTCTTGACTTAGTCTTTGCGCTCATTATGGTCACGATAACACCATGTCGTCAAACCACCCGTGTGTTCATATCGTTTGGTTTTATCATGACCTTTGTTGATGACGTTTCTTCATTTATCTTTATGTTCAGTGACTTTGGAAACAGTACGATTGTTTTCAAATCAATGATCAGTATGATGATTTTCATATGGCCAGAAAATGCGCTGCTATGTGACTTTAGAGGTATTTCCATCCGTAACCTAAAAGTTTGGTAGAAGATGACAATTGCAACAATTTCTTGTTCTCTGATAAATAGCCAAATGAGTAATAAAACGTATCCCCGCGTGTGACGGTCCTATTGTCTATATCTGGATGTTTGCCAATATTTTGCCGTAAACGACAAATGTCTTATAGCATAGCGACTGGCCATTTTAAAATTCACTGCTGTATGTTGTATACAGTTATATTTAATACAGTTTCTCCTTACATAAACCTTTATTACTGAGAAGTATTTTTACATGGCATTTCTTATTTCTATATGGTTATGATTTTACTGAGAGTTTCAATAGGTCGGCAGTGTATTAACATTATATCAAGTTGGTTGTGTTATTTGTTGTATATTCAAGGGGTTGTGAACGAGATTTTCTATTTGTCATTTGTTTACAATAATAATTTCAAAGGCTTCATTTCTATTAATTGAATTTTTACTAATAAGAAATAAAATCAAAATTATCTGTAATATTCAAATATCCCTCTCACTCACAATACAAATTTTCTATTTGATTTTTAGGAGTCCCTAATATTCCTCTAGGGTTCAAGATCCAATGCAAATGGAATTAATATGGGAACTAATAAGCTAAGCTATAACTAAGCCCATAGCAAAAATAATTATTGAAATTTGTTCATAAGACGTAGTTTTGAGGTAATAAACGTAAAAAAGTACAACCGAATAGTAACCCCCACATTTTTGAAGTCGGTTGGAACAGCTAAAATTATTCTATTTAATTTATTTATTTATATAAAATTACCAGGCTTTAAATAAAGAATTGTACATTGCATGATATCGACCACCTTTGCTGCTTTGCTCGTGGTAACTGACGAATTTATAAAATTGAATCATCGTTAATGTCGGGGCTATCGAAGGTTATCATACTAAGGCTATTAGAGACCATTGAATTCATGGTTATTAAATAAACTCGCTCAGGACGCCCCCTGGATAACGTTATCTGTGCGATGTTGCTATGGCGTCTGCTAAGACATTGCCGAGGTCATTGCATGGCGGTTGATTCAGTGTTTACCAGAGGTTCATGGGTCACGGCAAGTAATGTCAACATTAAAACAAAATCACTATATTTTTATTACAACTATGGGACTTGAAGGCCGCCGCTCACACCAGACGTCACTCACATAAGCAGCACGAATTAATGGCGTACCTACTTACTCTAATAAAATAAAATGGAGAATCAAGTACATTTTGTTGAAAAGTACTTATTTTCGTACGAAAATGATATAGCTAAGAATTGTTAGATGCTCTTATTACAAAGTCAGTGAGCGCAAAAGATTATTAAAATTCTTCACTATGCTATGTAATATATCCTAGGATATAAATTAATATCACTCATCGTAGTTCACAATAGAAAGCTGTGTTATAGTGTGAAGGGATATCGTGGGATGTAATTTATATCTTGTGATATAATATATGTATATGTGTCCCATTCTGTAAAGACAATCTCGCTGTGTTATCCAGATCGTAGAACACGCAATGCTTTTTTAATCTGTGTAAACGTACTTGAGAACAAGCGTTTAGTTTTAACAACGCAACTGTATGCTGAATAAGAGATACGCATTCGGAACATAGCGCTATCATAATAATCATAGACTATATATTTTTTTTCAATGTAAACGCTCGGGCGGTAACATGGTAAGTCACCGCCACCCATGGGCACTCGCAACACTGCAGTAGTTACGAATGCGTTGCTATTGTCTGTGGCCGATGCTATACGGCCTCCTTACGTCGCACCGCTTGAGGCAGTAATACAATTTGAAGCAGGCTTTCGAACTGTTTCAGCGAGTCCACCAACTACCTGCTGAGTGCGGCAGCGCGCCCGCCGCCCTGCGACGAGGCGGCCGGCGGTAGCGCCCGGTCGACATATTCCAATTTGTGAGTAACCGACACGTTCTTACTGTGCACAATGCAGACGGAACTATTTTTTTACTAACTACCCAATAGAAACTACGCAATAGAAACCTCTAAAATTATCAGTGTTCCTCTACTATATAATGCACGAATTATACATATAAATCTTCCTCTTGAATCACTCTTATCTATTAAAGAAAACGATATCAAGATCCGTTGCGAGTTCACAGAGAGACAGCGGGATGACTTTGTTTTATTACTATGTAGTGATGCAATTCTACCTTAGTGGTAAAAAGTTACGGTGGTAAATTGTTATTAATTCTTGCTGTGCAATTTTCTTTTCTGTACACATACCAAGATATGGACTGACTTCAGTTGAGCGTCTGGGTCTTCTTATGTCATTAGGCAGAATTTAATCACGCAGTTAATTTTATCTCTGACATCTATTCCTTAGAATATGGAATTCGAATATCTCTTCATTTTATTTACATTTAATAATGCTAGAGTTGTTTTTATAAGTGTATTTGTTCCCTAGTCACGCCGCGAAGGAATTTAAATGAAAGAAATGGAGATTTATGATATGTGATATATCAGAATGAACATTATTAAATATGGTTACCTAAACTTTAACTATATTGTTTCAAGAATGTCTAGTTGTGGAAAGTACCACGGTCTGACAGAAGACCGACGTGGAGTACTTATAAGTATTATATTTTTCCGTTTCGTCTGGTGTAAGGAGTAACCAGATCCCACTATTTTAAAGTTTGGCAACGCATCCTGTCCCACAAAAATATGAACTTCTTCTGTAGATTTTGAAAGTTAAAAGTTATAGAAGACACTCATTTTACAAATTGTACACGTACCTACTATTAATAAGTTTAAGATCCACCGGTAGATTTTCATTCGTCGACTACTTTAAACGCTGTTTTATGGATATAAATTAGAGCATACTTACTACATAATATTTGCAGCTCAAGCGAAACAACGAAGCAGAGCGGCGGCGGCGGAGGCGGAAGCGGAAGCGGTGGCGGGAGCGGTGGCGGAGGCGTTGGCGATTTCGCGGCCGGGGCGGAGGAGGGCGAGGCGCCGCAGTGATCCCGCTGCCGCGCGCGCCCGCCCCAATTGCATATCAATTTCATAATCTTGTTGTTTCTTTTTTACCAAAAAAAAAAATGAGGAACTCTAACGCCGCCCGCCCGCCGCAGCCCGATACCCGCACGCGCGGAAAGATTTATATTTGTTCGCAACGCCGCCCCGGAAGCGGACGTCGGCGGCGTGAAATATTCATATTTATTTAGGTGATATTTTTCTATTGGCTACTGATAAGATTTTATCTCGTTATGCAGCCCGGCCGCGCCGGGCTCGATGTCGTTAGTTAGGGGGAGAGTGGGGGCGTACTCGAAGCTCTAGCAATAATTTATCAGGTTCCTAAGACATATTTTGTAGTTAGGTTCTATTGCACGAATTTTTCGCGAACACTGCCGCTTGTTTCTAAATTTGTTTCGTCGATTTTTAGTCATTTGATTGCTTCCTTTTTTTAATGTCGATTCGGAAGATGTTTTTTTTTATATATATATGTTCGTCGTTACGTTGAAATTTGTATATGAGGCATTTAATTGCTGTACGAGGGACCGTTGCAATTGCAAATATATCGAGAAGAAAAATGGCATAATTTTTTTTAGAACTAACATAGACATATTATAGTCATTTCGTTTTTACGTAGGTGTAATGTAAATTTAAATTTAAAAAAAAAGAATTTATTTTGGAGTGCGTCAGGTTGGGATAATGCAAAGTCTATGGAGAGCTGTGATCGTGATGGTTTATAATGGAGTCATATTTTTAAAAATAAATTTAAGATTTATTACGTAATAACTAGCGAGCGCGCGGGGGCGAACGGTCGCGACACGGCTGCGACACGAGCATGACGCGGGTGCGGCACGAATGACGCGAGCGTGATACGAATGACGTGAGCATGACACGAATGACGCGAGCGTGACATGAATGATGCGAGCGTGACACGATTGCGACACGGACGCGTCACAGTCACGGGCGCGACTCAAACGCAAAAGCGGCCGCCGCCCGCACGCCACGCGCCTTGTCAATTCGACGTGCCCCCGCACGGATCTATTTATCATATCAAATAAGCAATAACTATTATTTTGTAAAAGGAAAGGAGGAAATGAAATGGTAAAAGATGAATTTTAATTTTTAAACGTAATATTTTAACCGTGTTGTTATTAAAATAGTTAGTGAATAACTGAATTCTCTAATGTCCACGATCATTTATATAGTTCTTTTGAACGATGATCATATCCTCATGAAACGAATGATGTCATATCATTTGTGATGCGCATTGGCGCGAGTGGAAATTGGCGGGTTTGTTTTTTAATTGACGAGCACATGGAGCTTTCTATACCATATTGCCTAAGACTACCCTTTTACTTTACCCTTTTTTTACATTAAACCACACTTTTCTTTATCATTGCTCTATCAATTTCATAAAATTCTTCCTTGGTCGATAAAATTGAATATGGAAATGAGATAATAGAGTTTTTTAATCTGCGTGCCTTACCAATTTTTGTTTTTATGTTAATATCCACATTTCCTCACTGTAAACTGAGTTTCCTGTTCGCGCCACATCACACAACAGTGTGAACCCTCTGCTATCCATATACACGCATTGAATCTGGAGCCGTTAACCAATCCGAAATGAAATAAAACTTTTGGCAAAGTTGTTAAATGTAATCGTACGCATACCTAATAATACTCACTCCTCTTCAAAACGGAGGTTCAATGTGCGATACACACTGATACCCGCCGGTATCCACCGTTGTCCTGCGCGCAGCACATCCTGCACATATAAGCAGTCTATAATAAATCGGATTACCTATGGATAAGATACAGTTACCAGATTTAGGTTATTCGCAGCCAGACGGCGCTACGCAGTCAAATCTTACCGAGATTCAATGTTCACGATGCCAATTGAAAGTCTCAATGCTCAATTTTGCCAAATTTTACTTGCCGAGGAAGTCTTGTCTTTTAATTTTGTGAGTTTACGAGTGTTTTTGTTGTTTACCTTTACTCAATTGCGCGGCCATTTTGATTTTGCGTCGATCGTTGGGTAAGCGCAAATGGGGGAATGGCTCGATGGATTTGCTCAATAATATGGAGTATGTTTCTTTCGTATCCTGCTCACAATTTCACTGATACATGGCTCTATGGTTTGGCTCATTAATTTGGTCCGTTTGTGTCGTTATGTAAATTTACCATGCGGAAGGTAATTTTTTTTATTAAGAAAACGAATACACGTAACTCTATGTCGAAGTTATTATTACTTTGTGACGAATGCTCGAGATGCAATACGTTAATTTAGTGCCAAATGATAAGTTAACTCATAGCAATATATTGTATCCTAATGCTCTTGCGTAATTTCTCGCGTAGTGTTAATGACCTATGAGGTTTTAAAGGTTTCTTTTACAAGACTATAATATATTTATACAGGGAAAGTGTTAGGTATGTATTGTTGTTTGGATATAAGAATGTTGTCGCGGTAAAATACTCATTGTGGCAGTGTGTAAAAATAAAACGTGGGCGACGCGAGATCGAAGAGCACCGATGGCACCCAGTCCATTTGTATTATCGCAACGTTTGATTTAGACCGCTTCGGGAAAATTTTCAAGATGCCAAAACACCTCCAGCTACAGGGTAAATTAATTTTATAACAGTAACGTGAGAAAGCTTCCTTCGCTTGGTAAAATACTCTTTATTTTTACACTCTGTTTTCGTAGCACTGAATGAGCAATGGAGCAAGAGAATTTATTTACTCAAATAAGTTTTTTTTTAATTATTTATAATATTTTTTTTTACTAAACGTATACATTATTTTGCATTTTATGATTGTAACGGCAGCTGTCCATATATTTCGGTGAATGATAAAATCGCTCACTGATTTAGGGTTTCATGAAAAAAATTAAAAAATTATACATCGAACATGACACATTGGGCACAAATATTAATAAAAAGAATGCTGTAGCTTCCTTCGCTTGCTATATATAGTTATAAATCCCGAACATTCTTCCTATAAAACTTCTGTAGGACACCTTTACGGAACCCTTGCCACACTTAGTATATTTTCACTGAGCAAAAATCTTGAAACTATGTAGATAAGAACAACATCGTTGCCGCTGTGCTGATGGGGACACAGCGTTGTGCCAAAATTATGTGCTAGTCTATAAAAAACAAAATGTTGTTATCATTTTTCAGATTTTATTTAGTCCAGAATGTGTTTGTTCCTGCGCTGTGAAAGTAATAATTTCCGACAAATCAACACCCAGTTTAGGTGGCGAGTCGTCACACAATGTAGTAGTGTCTTGGTCTGAATTATTCGGTTGCAAAGTCTAACCCTAAATACGTAAAGTTGATAACGGTAAATCACACTATGCCAAATCAATAATTTACCGTTGAGTAATAACAAATATTTGTGATATCTTTTTTAATTGTCAAACAAAAGCATGTTAATCTACATTGTGTGAAGAGGGAAAAAGGCTTTAAGTGTATAATATAAAGGCTAGTAGTGAGGCGCGAGGTGGTCGTTAGTCAGTGTGATCTCAGACCGCGGGTCCGCGCCTACCAATATGGTAGAGGGTCGTGTTGATTTGTTGCTATATTTATAGTATTTATGACGTTGCACTCGATTATTTAGCTCTGAGCTCGTGCAATAATATTCCAAATTGTTTATAAGAAGAACTGTTATAATTTTTTCTAAATTGTTGTATAAATATTTTTATAATCGTAAAAGACATAGGCAACTTGAATTCTATTTTTGTTGTGCATTTATTCCCAAATTTTATCACATACGAGACCACAAACTCATTGTGGACTGTAATGTCTGCGTCTGTGAAAACATATTAATTAGGTACAGTAGATGGTTTTATATATATTGCTGATATTGTCAGTCAATTTTGGTAATGTTTATTTCCTTTTATTAAGTTTAATTTACGATAATGAACAAATTAATCTAAGATTGCTCAACCGAGATGCAATGTTAACTGCAATGTAGAAAGAGATGATTTTGTATTATGTCTTTTTATATCGTTATTTATCTGATATTTCAGTTTATTCATTTGTGAGTTATGGCAGCACATGTTATAATCTTATGTTTATTCTTTAAGAGAGGCCAAATGTTGACTTGCTTATGTGAGACTGTTTTGCCAAGAATCAGAAAATATATTACCTACATTGTTTTAAAATAAATGCTTTTATATAAAATCGTGTTTCTCTTTTAACCTTGCCTTTCCTTTCTTCCCTTTTTTCATTTTTATGTAACTGTTATTAATCACTAAATTTTTTCTTCCAAAAACTAAGTAGTGCAAATTTATCTTACCCTTTAGTAAGCCGTATCTAAGGTAGCAAACGCACTATCCAGTAAAAGAATGTAGACTCCTGCCTTTTTTGTAATCATAAACATTGAATCTTGATGGAAAAACTAAAACTAGAAAATTGTTTATCTCCATATCTACTATACTTTCTTACTAAATAGATACTTGTACAAGAGGGAGAGGAATGAACAGTCAATAAAAAGTTGAGGAATTATTTCAAAAGTTTTCGAACATCTTTATTTTTTTAAATGAAGTAATCTTTGGCGCAGCCATTGTTTATATCCTTTCCAGGACACAAACAATTTCGTATATCGTTCTATTAATTTAAAAAAAGAACAATGTATATACAAGACGAGAGTTTCGTCGTAGTGACAATCAGCCGTTAAGCTTAGTGGCTTAAGCGTCGGGCGACGAATGCCGAACACGTGTGTTCCATTCCCAAAGCGGCGACAAACTTTTTCTACAAATTTTAATGTTTAATCTTAAGTGCAGAGATTAGCACTATAAAAAATTTTAATTTTTAAAAAATTACACATTCTTTATTTTTTTAAATATACTTGCGGCCGTACCTTTACTTTTCTTAGGAATAATGTAGACACCATGAGAGAGCGTAATAAACAAAGCTGTCAAAATCTTGTCAAATTGTAAATGTAATGTCATTGTCATGTATTAAATGTGTGTACTTAAAGATTTTATAAACTTTTATAATACTTAGTATTACTTACTTTATTTAAACTGTTTCACATTATAAAAATTATAAACATAATAATAAGCATTATAACAAAGTAACAAAACTAGTGTTATTATCTATACGAGTATTAGAATTTTATTATTGCTGTTTTATATTAGATGGCGTTTCCCCAGCCTAATGCGCAAAGAGGTTAATTACTTAATATTGAATAATTTTTATTATAATTTCAGTACTAAAGTTAAAACTTATTCGATCACTGCAAAGCATCTTGTCCAATATGTTTTATCCTTATTCAATCTCACTATTAATATTACCACTCAATTAGAATTTTAGAAAATGTAACTTGTTTTAGTAAGTCGTTTAAAGCGACATATACATTTGATACTTTCAGTGATCTTCGTAAACAAATTAATTTAACAACTTTAATTAGCTGAATTAAAGAAGAAACAAGAAATAATGTATCTTACAAAAACAGTAACAGTAATAGTATTCAAATCAAATCTTATACAGGCCTTTGTTAAGATTATATATTAATTTCTTTAATTAGAATTGACGAACCGAAAAATATTGGAGGAGCTCCAATTAAAGAAGCAAATGCTATTGAAACAGGGTGCTGTAGCACCATTAACAGCTACCTCTATACCACTCACTCAACCAAACCCAGTTAGCCAGCTGCCTATGTGTTCTATTCCACCAGTATCCGCTACTGCTGTGAGTTATTTTAATTGTACTTATTAAATCATCATAGAATACCTTTATTATCATATAAAATCTATGTTCATTACTAAATCTTTAATTCAAACTCTAATTTAAATTTGAATGAAACTAAAACCTTAAGATATGCCATAAAAAAATTTATACTTTCAGGGTTTTCCTCAGTTACCAGAAGCAAATATTGTTAATACTAGCCATAGAGCTGCTCTGCAACACGCCAACGCCACCTCATGTGGTTTCTTTGTGTCACAAGACTCCTCCTTTGGTAATCAAATTTTGCCTGTGCTACCAAGATTTGACACTAAGTAAAATCACATTTTTATTTTACTATGTCTGCTTTAATGAAGTTAAAAACCTTAGAAGGGCATTTACAAGACTTATCAGGTTTTATAAAGCCAAAGATAGAGTATGAACAATATGAAACCCCGCCACACATAGCTGCTGTTGCTCTTTACACAATGCAGGTTAGTAAAATATAGTGTTAAAAATGTTTTAAGCTTATAGTAACAAAATAAATCTAATGTACTTTATATTTAGTCACCTGCTGAATACCAAATATTCGGTGAGCATCCTGGACAAATAGCGAAATAGTGGATAATTGTCGAATAATCATTTGAAATCCAGTTTTAAATATTGGTTCTAACACATTTAATAATATTGCTCACTTTATATATGTTTAAAAAGTAAAGTAACAGCCTATACATGTCCCACTGCTGGGCAAAGGCCTCCTCTATAGAGAGGGTATCAGGGCATAGTCCACCACGCTGCCTCACTGTGGATTGGCCGACTTCACATATCTTCGAAATATATATTTTTTTCGTTATTATTTCGAAAATATGCAGGTTTCGTCACAATATTTTCCTTCACCGCGGAGCACGTGATAAGACAGCACTTAAAGTTAAAAACTTCATTGGTGCCCGCACCGGGGATCGAACTCCGGTTGCTCCAGTATATTGAATTAAAGGCGAGCGCATGGACAACGAGCTATCACGGCTATATATGTTTACTTACTTTAATTTAACTGATAACATAACAGATAGACTTATGAAGCTTTATTGAATACAGAAGTCTTGGGCTAGTCAGTTTGATGTATATTTATAATTCAAGAAAAGTTATAAATATACATCAAACACGAGAAGCATAAACTTCACATAAATTGATGGTAAATTTGTTATTTACATTTATAAAAAAATCATGTCATGTGTTCGATTCCCACACAGGAGAACTATTTGTGTGACCACACAGAAAATTTTTTCAGATCTGGGTGTTTGTCCATGTGAAATTTATGTATGTAAAACATCATTATATCACAGGATAATGTTATCCCATAGTAAGGACAGTGTTAAAAAAACTTTAACATACATTGGTTTATCATAAATGTAAACAATAGCAAATGTGTAAATTTTCATAAAACAGTTTTTATATTTTCACAGACACAGTTTGAAGCACTTGAAAATCAATTAGTGCTTGATGCGGGTTGTGGCCCCGGTATTTTAGGATTAGGTGCTGCTTTCTTGGGAGCAGGATTGGTCACAGCAGTGGATATTGATGAAGACGCCCTTGATGTTTTAAGAGAAAATATAAATGACACAGAAATAAGTAATATAGATGTAATAAAGTGTGATTTTCTTGTTTGTCAAAAGCACAGGTAAATAATGATGTAGAAAAAAATGGTTAATAGGTTTTTTTAAACCATTATTGTCTACAAAACATCTTGTTTCCTTCAGATGGGAGAACTATTTTGATACAGTTTTAATGAATCCTCCATTTGGCACAAAAAACAATGCCGGAATTGACATGAAGTTTCTTCACATGGGGCTCAACTTTGCCAGTGATAGTGTTTATTCCTTACACAAATCAACAACAAGGTACATAGACATTGCTACTGTTTTCCACAGAATGTCTCAATGATATTACTGTTTTATAAAAACTAAATTTTTTTGTATGTATTGCATAATAACTTAAGCACATAATTCATTTCTTAGATCACACATCCAAAAGAAAATCAAGGAGTGGGGTGTTAAAGGGAATGTTATTGCGGAGTTGCGATATAACTTGGCTGCAACCTACAAGTTTCATAAACTCCAGTCCCGCGACATCGCCGTAGATTTATGGCGTTTAAAACATCCTCACACATGATATATTATAGTATTAAAAAAATGTACATACTACACAACTTTTAAAGTGACCCATATGAAATAATTTAAATAAATATACAACAAATTATTTTTTTAATTTTACCTTTTTAATAATGTTAATTATTTAGTACAATCAGTCTTCAGCGTTGAGCGTAAAGATAAAATTTTTCTTTCAACGTTTAAAAATTATCAACATCTGTCACGTCGAATTTAATTAAAAAAATAAAAAATAAGCGCGCGCATCCGCCGTGACAGTCGACGCTTCATCGTCACTCGTCCCCGAACTTGATGTTCTGCGCGAGCTTGATGGCGCCGGAGTAGTTGATGGTGACGGTGGAGCGGCGCATGTACGCCTTCCACGAGTCGGAGCCGCACTCGCGGCCGCCGCCCGTGGCCTTCTCGCCGCCGAACGCGCCCCCCACCTCCGCGCCGTTCGTCGGGATGTTCACGTTCACTATTCCGCAGTCGGAGCCGTGCGGCCCGATCCACTGCGCACAGATAACATTTCGTGTTATAAACAATAATGATATAATTTGAGCATGTGAAGGCAACCCTAATTTGATACAATTTCAATATAACACGAGGCAACCCTAAATGAGACACCCCACTTTCCTTTGGAACAACGTTAAGAATCCATGGAAATAAATGCTCATTGCCTAATGGCCTATATTTTATTTTATACTAATTTAACTGTATAACGTTTGTTTAAAAAAATTGACGAATATGTTTTGAGACAAACGTTATACACCATATTTTTTTACCACTTCTTTTGTTTAAACAAGGATTAGGTTTTAGTTGTATTCATGAAATATTCGACAAGCATAAAATTAGAGACTGGTACAGGCTGAACCGTTCAACTTTACAGTTATACATGTATATGTGTAGTAAATGTAGGCACGAAAGCTATCAACAAAAGGCCTACTCACGAGGCAGAACATTTTGAGGAATAATCCAATGACAATTTTATGACTAATAATGCAAAATTATATCAAAATATATATTAGAAGTAACCACGTACTTTGTGATGGATAATATTAAGCTCTTGGGCGCCCAACTCGGCTCAATTTTATTAAATACTTATTAAAATTCGATAGACATTTCGTTTAAAGGTTTAAAGGTTTTTAATAGCTTACCTTAAACACATTGCCCAAGTTTTCTGTGAACAAGCTTGACGAAAGGCCTTGGTCAACTTCGTTGTTGTACTTTATACCCGTTTCCAGATCGGGAATTTCTATACAGTATACAATGGGGGCGAAGCACTCGCTCTTCACCAGCGGAGAGTCGTGGGGTAGACCGGTGATTATTGTTGGTTCAACAAAATATCCCTCCCGTTCAATGACCTGTGAACAAATATGTTTTTATAACGGACTTGCTAGGGCTAGACAACAGCATCCTTGACTAGATAGGTAACAAGTAGTATTGTTATCTAATCTAAGCATCTCTAGCAAGTGTGATTTTTAATAGAATTTTCTTGAGGGTGTATGTTGAGGGAATGTATTTGAATAGTTGCTTATTAAATGAATCTTTTATGTGCGTTTTAACGCGATAAAATTAAAATTAAATTCCTCAGTAGTTTGCAACGTTGCGGAACACTACAATGTTGCAGTATACGAAACTTCAGAATTCAAGTTTTAATTAGTACGATAAAATTCGTAAAAAAAGTAGTATTCATTAATACTGTGCTGTTATTCTCTTTTAATTAATCATTCTCATCATTAAGAAGATCATTCTGATCAATTCAGAGAGTATAACAATCCTTTTGGCAACTGAAATAACATTTGTAAAATCTATTTGTCAGCTGATTAGCTGACTTCTACGATGATCAGTGTTTCAGAAACCGGGCGTTACGAGTGCTAACTGGCATTATACCTGTGTCTTTGTCAAGTTTGGCCTTGTATAACTATTCATTATTACATCGGAAATTAACAAATTTCTCAATCTTAGTGTAGTGCTAATTTAAGTCTCTGATAAGTTAGTCTTAGCACCTTTAGCTTTATCACACCCGATTAATTCGATCTTTTTAAGAGCGCTTATGAATTAAACAGTAACACTAATTTGCGCAAATGCTGTGAGGACTACTAGCAAGGTGAACTGGAAGCTAGAAAAGGTGAGGTTGAAACGGTTATTTCTAGTCTTAGACTCATCTGCCGCTTACATGCATGTACATTTATTATGTCTAGTTAACTATTCTATTTCCTGTTCTTTATTAAGTTCATTTTAGCCGATTTTACAAACCTTAGATTCGCGTAATAGCAAATAAATGATGGTAGTAAAGCATTTTTGTTGCAAGTAAAAACCCGTTTTAAAATACAGATAATCGAATTAGCTTCGCAGAAGACAGCTTTCGATCAATGTACGGTTAGATCAACGGTTACGGCTAACTGCCAATACGAGTCGTGTTGTTGGTTCAATCCCAACACGGAACAAAAATAATTATATGTGAGCCAGAACTGTCCGAATCCGAATTTCGAGTGACGAAGGGCACCAGTTCGTGAATTTCATGCTTGCAGAACCTACGATGAAAGTAGTTTCCTAGTCGAGTCGTGTTTAAATAAGAAAGAATCAGAATAAACACCCAGTTCCGGACAATTATCTGTGGAGCATACAAATACTTGTCCCGTGTGGGAGTCGAAACCACGATCTCTGCGCCGAGGCCAATGGGCTAGCACTTGACGCTAAGAACAAAAATAATTAGTTTCCCAATCAATCACTACGACGTACCTTCCCACCAAACTCGATCTTGCCCCCTTGCTTAACAGCTTCGGCAACAGTCTTCTTGTAGGCTTCGACTGCCGCCGGTGTGTGCAGAGGCCCAATTAAGGTCTCTGACAGCAACGGATCGCCGATCTTGTTGACCACGCCAGCGAATGATTTAGCCAGTTTCGACACCACCTCACTGTACACCTAGAAACATGATACTTCTATATATATAGAGAGAGAGAGATATACAGATATATATACATATAGAGAGAGAGAGATATATATTTATTTATTTAAAGGACACCAGCAGTACATGCATTTCACGTTTAAACAATAAGATTACAAAAAAAAAAAAATTCTGATGTATGTACCTTATTAGGTGACACAGCATTGTTTCAGCTAAATACAAGAATAATCGAGACGATAATGCAAAAATATTTAACAGCAAATAACTTCAGTAAAAATATGAAAAAGAAAATAAAAATTAAAGAATTACAAGCAAAAATTTAAAAAGAAAAATAAATTAAAATTAAATTAATAATATTAAAAAGAATCGACATTAATTAAAACTTATAAAATACAAATAAATTTCATTATTACAATACAAAATACAGAATGAATACAACAATCTAAATTAAAAAGGAATTATCTGATTAATAATAAAAACATTAACGGACATGACTCAGTATTAATTTCTTGAATTTTATTTATTTATTTATTTATTTATTTATTTAAAGAACGCCAACATAATGTACACTATTTAAGACTTAGGAAAATAAATATACATCAACTCTTCGTTAGTGTCATTACAATTAAAGGCGCTGACAGCATGCAATATAATGGGCGAGAAAAATACAGTTAAAGATATTTATTTTGTTACAAAATCCAAAATTAAAACAAGAATTAATAAATTAAAAACAAATAATTGATAAAGGAAATAACAGTAAAAAACATTAAAGACAGTGATAAACAATGAATTTAGGTATGATTATGCAATAAATTTAGGTATAATTTATACATGGACTAATAATACTATTTAAGTTTCTACAAGTACATGGGGAGATCAGGAAATCTGTTTGACAATAAACCAGGCGAAAACAGTCAAAATGAGTAACGACAATCCGTGGTTATTAAAGTAATATAGTATTTTCGGAAAATAATTTTAGCAATTCTTTCTTTAGCTTGGCGGCACTATCTGAAAACAAGTCCGATGTAGAAGTTCTCGAGATGTTATTGTAATTCCTAACCATTCTGTTTAAAGGCGCTTGCTGTCCAAGGTTGGATTTACATGAACAGTTCGAGAAAATATTAAATCTAGAGCGTCGGGGCAGCTTTGAGGGAACGGTAAAGTTTAAAAGGGACAGCAGATAAGGAGCATCAATAATGCCATTGGCAAGCTTTTGCAGGAAGAGGATTTCGAGCATTGCCCTTCTATCGCACAGAGAACTCATTCCGAAATGTTTCAGTCGATCAGAGTATGACGTAATGGTTTTCCCCAAATTACAAGAGTAAGTCAGGTGCCACAGAAACCTTTTTTGAACGCTTTCCAGTCTTTTCGCGTAAACGTTATATTTAGGATTCCAAACGACGCAACCATACTCTAAGCCACTGCGTACGAGAGCTTTGTACAATAAGATCTTGATCTTGGGGCTTTTGAAATCTTTAGTGTTTCGTAGAACGAAACCAAGGCTTCTAAAACCTTTAGAACAAATGTTGTCTATGTGGAGATTAAATCGCATTTTGCTATCGAGCAACACTCCCAAGTCTCTAACATGATCGACCCTTGACAACTCCTGGTTTTTGACGACGTATTTGCAATCCAAATTAGACATTTTTCTGGAAAAGCGCATCACAAAGCACTTAGAGATGTTTAAATCCATCTTATAAAATTTAAATGGAATAAATCCATTCTGGGTAGTTCTTCACAGATGGCATTGTAAGAATTACAGAAACGCGTTACGGGAGCATGCAAACCCAAGTTACTTTTATGAGGAGGAGTCCAGAAAAGTTTTGTTTTGTATGACCATGTAAAATTTTATGTAGCATTAATAGGTCGTGAATTGTCCTTCGATCCTTTAATGTTGGCATATTAAAAAATTCAAGTCGGTATTTATATGGGCATCGGTATGATATTCCACTAGTGATACAAGCGATATGTCTCGTGAAGGCTCTTTGGATATTTTCTATTCTTTGAGAATGTACCGCGTATGATGGATTCCACACGGAACTTGCGTATTCTAATTGACTCCGTACTAGCATGTTATAAACTGTGATTTTTGTTTTAGCTTGGAACCCTTTAGTGTTTCTTTTGAGAAATCCTAGTGTCTGTGCAGATTTTTAACGATTTTATCGATATGAGGAATGTAACCGAGTCTCGAGTCTAGGATAACTCCCAGATCCTTTATTTCGTTCGTTTCCGAAAGCAGCGTATTCTCTATGTGATAATCAGATGGATAGGGTTTCTTTTTTCGTGTAAATTTTACGTGAAAGCATTTTTGGGGATTTAATAACATATCGTTTGATTTACACCATTCCACTAGACTATTTACGTCACGCTGTAGGAGATATGAATGTGAATTTGATTCTACGAGCCTATATAACTTAAGATCGTCGGCAAAGAGTGAAACTTTGCTATGTTTGATTTTAGATGTGACATCGTTTATAAACAGGGAAAAAAGTATGGGACCTAAATGTGAGCCTTGTGGAATGCCTGATTCTGAGTAGTATGTGCTAGATTCATACCCACCTACTGCAACTAACTGTGACCTTTCAATATATGATTTAAACCACGTAAGTAACGAACCGTGTATTCCCGTCGATTTTAGTTTTAAGATTAGTAGGTCATGGTTCACCCTATCAAACGCACTCGAAAAATCTGTGTAGATGACATCTACCTGTGATCCTTTATCAACCTCTTGTGAAACATGCGAAATAAAGGTGAGTAAGTTAGTTTCAGTCGAACGACCTTTGCGGAAACCGTGTTGAGAGTCATCTATGATGGCATTAATATGACGCGTAATTTGTGGGCAGACTACTGATTCAAAAAGTTTTGAAAAGCATGAGAGAATGGAGATAGGTCTATAGTTAGATATTACGGTTTCGTCACCTTTTTTATGTATTGGAACAATACGAGCTTTTTTCCACTTTGTCGGGAATTTAGCGGTACGTAATGAGTGATTAAATATTAAAGACAATGGTAGGGATAGATGTTCGCCACAGCTTTTAATAAATACAGGAGGTATGCCGTCTGGGCCGGGTCCCTTATTTATTTCAAGATTATTTATTTTCTTTTTTATATCTTTTCGTGTTACTAATATAGCACCAAGCGAGCCCGTTGTGTATGCGGGTTCAACTAAAGAAAACTGGTTACAACCCCTTGGTGCGAACACAGATGAAAAGTATTCAGCAAACAAGTTAGATATGGCGATGCCTGTATCAGCTATGGTCGTTCCGAGGGTCATTTGGGCTGGAATATTAGTGCTACGCCTGTTTTTATCCTTTAAATGACGCCAGAACGCTTTTGGGTTTATAAAAATGTTTTCCTGAATCTTAGTGGTGTACTCTTTATAGCATCTGAGCGCGAGCTTATGACATCGATTTCGTAGCATGTCATATTCCAGCTTGTCGCGAGGGTTCTTGTACTTTGTATACCGATGTCTTAGCTTGTCTTGTTCTGATTTAATTTTTATAAGCGCTGGGGAATACCAGGGTGGAAAGTGCAACTTCTTCTTATCTTTGTGTTCCGGTGTGTATTTTTTTGCTAATTTATTAATGGTACTGTAAAATGTTTCAACCATCTCATCTACGTCCAACTTTTCTGAGAATAGAAATACCCAGTCAGTTTGGCCTAATTCAAAATTTATCTTTTGATAGTCTGCTTTATAATAATTTAAGCCTGTACGAATATGAGGTGACAGATACTTTTGGCTAACGAATGAAAGATGGAACAATAAACAACAGGGATGCTTAGGATCCAACGTACTAACAACATCTAGAGGTGAACTGACGTATGAATTATAGTTTGAGCTAAAAACCAAGTCTAAAACTCTGTTATCGCAATTAGTGATGTTATTAAATTGAAACAAGTTATTTAAACGCATGAATTCTATCAGAGTGTAGCCGAGTGCTCCTGTAGAGTTATTTGGTTTTTTAAAGCTATGGTTGCATTTGTTTGACCACGAAATAAAACCTAGATTGAAGTCGCTAATAATTATTATATCGTCCACGTTATTTATAACATTGCTGACGTTTTCTGCGAATTCTGTCAAGCGTGCTAAGGCCACCGGAGGAGGAAGGTAAACCGTGCAGAGCTATTTTTTTTTTTGAACGTTGTGTATATTTAAGTTTAGTATTACCCAAAGATCCTCGCATCCTGTTTCCCAGTTTCTCACACGGGCGGATGGAATATCTAAAGATACAGCAATCATGACACCTCCACCATCGGCCTTGCGGCTAGTTGTGGAACAGCGATCCCTGCGGTACACAGCGTATCGGCCGTCAATGCATTCACTACTATGTATACCTGCATTCAACCATGTTTCGGTAAAAGCTAAAATTTTGTAGTCATATTGTAAACTTAATGAATTGTGATGTCATTATTATAAACTTGTGATGTCTTAGTTCTAATGCCTCTCAAATTTTGATAGTATAAATCCATGCTAATGGGCAATATGAGTTTTGAATCATTTGTTCCAAAAGAATTATTACCTAACTTAACTATTAGTTTTAATATTATTAACACTATTGATGTTGCGTATTAGTAGGGCTTGGCTGTAGTCGTCCTTTCTTAAGTAAATCCGCCCATTTCGCACCCATACATACTTGAAACCTAATTCTTGTTTCTTCTTTCGGGCTGCGGCATGCAGAGATTTGTTACTCGGTGAGAGAGGTTCAGCAACAAATATGGGTGTTGTTGAGCCTTCGAAGCCGAGATGAGAGGTACCAAGTCTGTTTGTAGGACACCTCTTGTTGTACGTTGCGACGGCAGCTAGTAGAGCATCACGATGGCGCATACTGCTGAGTTTAACCACCACCGTCCGCAGACGGTTAGTTCCCGGTATTAACTTAGCCACTCTTGTCACGTGCATAATGTCATCTTGTGATAACGGATGGTTTACGGCTTTTCCTAACTGCATTAGAATATTAATTAAGTTTTCTGACTTTTTTTCTGGAATTCCATTAATTTCCACATTACTTTCCCGTTGAGTTTGTTCTAATATGCTAATTCGATTTGATATATCGTTCAAAGAGGTATGTAGTGCAGCAGTTTCATTCTGTAATGTTTTAATAATCACCGTCTTTTCTTCAATTTGATTTTTCAGACTCTCAAAGCTATCATTAAAGTATTGGAGAGAATCACTAAATGTTGAGATCAGCTGCTTTATGCCCGACAGTTCACTTGCCATTATATCCTTAAAAGTCGATTTAATCATATGGGCTATTTCTTGCTTGAGGATCTCACGCAAACGCTCTTCTGTAATATGTGTACCATGACCACTGGTTGTGCAGATCGAGGAGGCAATTTCATGTCCATGTTTGTTTTGTCCTTTAGGTTCTCCCCGGGTGTCCGAAGATTGACTTGATTTTACATTGTGTGACTTTGTTCTTAGTGTCACACTCTCATACTTAGATAATTCTACTTGCTCGTGCCCTATTTGAGAAGCTTGCAGAGCCACAGTCTCAATAGTGCTTTCGCCTCCACTTCCACGCACGGGCGTGTTACTATTGTCGCCGAGCTTTGGCTTCTTACATGAACAAGCGGGACAAATCCATTTTAATTTAGTCTCCTTGGTTAAAATATTGAATTTTTCGTCGCTTACATTGACGCATCCCGTGTGATACAGGTTTTTACAACGACTACATTGCATAGCTAAGGCATTTTTATTGAACGATCCGCAACAACCAGCACAATTCTTTCTAGGCGACATAGTATTATAATTATATTGTTAGAACGCAGGTATGTAAACAATAATTGCAATTTTTGTATTGCCGTAAGCAAGCGTTTTCAAAGCGGAGCGATAGCAATTCTTACAAAGCGTGCGAGAAGAAGGTTGTAAGCGCCGTGTAAACGATGTCGCTTGCGCGTTTTGTTGAGTCGATGTTACTGAGCACTTTGACACTTCACAATTTGAAATTTAACAGTCTTACTGATTGCTATTTTTTGTTATTAAGCACTATTCACTTATCATATGGGTATTTTTCAGTCACCCCTGTTATTTCCTTATGTTATTTAGAGACAGTAAGCAAATTATTTCACTTTATAAATGTTTTGAGATGTGATAAACAATTTTTGAAGCTGAGAGACCGTAACGTCGTAACCGACACGTACCGAAATATATCAATATATATCGATATATAGATATATTATTTCACAAAAGTTTTTTGTACGGTATGCCATTACTTATTTAATTCTTCATCAAATTTCTAAATGATTCAAACAACATTTCATTCACAGTAAGATACCTTTATTGAGAAATACTTATTTTATCATTATCTTATATTATCATTCGGCTTATTACATTATTAAATTACTGCGCGAAAATTTCGGACGGGACAACCAATGATGTTTAATAATATAGAGGTTTGGGGGCCGTGGCGAATTAGAGTATCATATCCCAGTGGCATCATACTATTTTAGTAAGAAATTGAGAATTCTCTATCAATGCGATTATCTTATCTGTGGTGGTCATGTAGCATTTTTGGTTGTTACACGAAAGGGTAGGCTCGTCCGGGAAGCTACCACGCACTCACAGAAGATCAACGTGAACTGGAAGTATTATACTTTCGCGTTTCGCCCGGTGAGGTAACTGGCTCACAATTTAATGTTTGCCACGCATCTGCAACCCGTCAGGTGATGTAGATGTCGCCATGAGCAGCGGTAATAATTTAAAGTCAGGGAAAAGCAGGGTCTGCTAGTTTGTAAACTTTTAACGTAATAAAAACACATACCTTTTTGTGGATGAGCATTCGCCTGGTTGTGGTGCATCTTTGTCCCGCCGTACCGGCGCAGGCGAACAGTGCGGCAGATAACAAAAGTTCCAGATTCGCGTCCTCGTTCACAACTATCGCGTTGTTGCCGCCCAACTCTAGTAGATGGCGTCCGAAACGCGTTTGAACTTCAACACCCACCTAAGTTTTTAATATTATCATGTAATTCCCCAAAAATACTACTGCAACAGTCTGCAAACTCTATTTTGAAGGCATTTTTGTTCTAACAAGAATATTGTATTGAATGTTGATTTAATTCTGCTAGTTAGAAAATCGCTCGCTTCATGAGCTATAAATACTTTACTGAGTGGATGGATGGATTTACAATACACGTTTAAAATCCATAAAATAAATATTATTTGTATAAAATGAACACCTTTTTTATGGATTTCATATGTTAATTTTAAGTATCCGCTTTTAAAAGCGATATATCTCCGGTTATTACAAAGTATTTTACGTGTATATATTATACTTTTTGAAGTCCAGTCCAGTCATAGTCACAGCCATAACACTGTTATAGGTAATTATAAAAAACAGTCATAGCATTTGATTAATAAAAGGTCCCTAGAACAACATTTGAAAAAACTAGGCAAAATATAGGGTAGGACGCCCCACTAGATGGATTGACGACCTGTGCAAATGTGCGGGAAGTCGATGGATGCAGGTGGCTCAGGATCGTACTTCGTGGCAGTCCATTGGGGTTTATGTTCAACATTGGATTCAAACAGGGTGAAATGATGATGATGACACAGACGCTGTTGTTGTTTGTCCTTAAACGACAGTATAATAGTAACATACAGTACGGGCAATGTTTTTTTTAAATAACTGATAAACAAATATCGTTTCCTACTCACTTGATGCCCGACCGCGGTGCTGCCCGTAAAGGAGACGAGTTTCATCCGCGGGTCTTTAACCAGCTGCTGGCCGATTTCCTTTCCGCCCACGCACAGAGCCGCCACCGCGCCGGGCAGGTCGTTCTTCTTGAGGACACCCTCCACAATTTTGGTGACCGCGACAGCAACCAGTGGTGTCGTCTCCGAAGGTTTCCAAACGCTCGTGTCTCCGCAAACCTATGGCGTGGGACAAAAATACAGGCACTTTCATATACCAATAGATGCAATGCTCTTGCCACGTACCAACTCTTAACGCTCAATAAATCAGTTTATTTTTGTTGGCTAAAAAATGCCTTCTAATCTAATGTTTTTATTCTTTTGATTATGTTGATAGTTTATAAGCGATTTAACAATCAATTAAGCCGTACGATAACGGCTAATGTCAAAATAAAAATAATGAATCGATTCATTAATATGAAATAGCCAGAAAATATAGTGGACAACATAATAAACACTTCATGTTACATTAAATAATGCTATCAATTAATACAATTTTACTTAGAACAATTATTAGTTGGCAAGACAAATTTTTAAATTGATTATATTTTCCTATTAATAATACTTGTGTAGATTACCGTACTTTACTATTTTCTAAATAAAATCGAAAAGCCATTCGAAATAAAAACCAATAACTTGTCAAATTCTTGACGCCATCTTCAATTAAATTATTACATTATCTTGATCTGAAAAAAAAAAAAACAATCACCATGGCAATGGCGCTATTCCACCCGAACACTGCGACTGGGAAATTGAACGCGGTAATGATGCCAATGGCGCCGAGGGGGTTCCACTTCTCTATAAGGATGTGGCCCGGTCTCTCTGAAGGGAAAACGGTGCCGGGCAGCGATCGCGACAGTCCGAGAGCTAGGTCACACACATGCACGTACTCCACCACTTCGCCGATGGCCTCGGGAAGAATTTTTCCTGTGGAAAACAAACCAGTACTCTATTGATGTCTTGTTTTTTCGCGAATTTTATACATACTAAATTAAACTAGTTTAGACGTTTTGAACCCTTTCCTGCGACATGGGACGGACTCATGAACGTCGGAAACGGTTCGAAACGTCCGGAATTAAAAATCAAAATTGAAACGCGACAAAATTCGTAAAATAGTTTCATATAATTAGTAGTTTCCTATAACATTGCATCATGCGATAACGCCAGTTGTAAATATACATATCTCGTTCGTTTGACAAACACCAGTTACAATCGCTGTAAATACGTTGAATCTACCAGCAAATTACATTTCGTAATTGAATTGTTAAGTTAGGAGGTAATTGTTGTGAGAATTATTAGTCAATATAATATCATTAAAGGGGGTGAATAACTCTGTAATGGCATTATCCAATTACAATAGACTTGTAATAAAAAAAAGAACTTGTAATAAACACCTCATGCCGACATGCCGTGTCGTGTGTCCAATAAAAATTCCCAATTCTCTTTCAGACTTGTACAAAGAAAATATTAATAATCCATGTCCAACTACAAATTTAATGATTTTTTTTATGAATAAGTACTTAGTAATTTAAATTAGTAGTTTCGACATCCAGGAAGGTAAGCATTAATATATGCATGAAACGTAGTTATATCTCTAAATTTAGATGTAATAGATTCCTTAGAGGTGTAGATGTGCAAAATATATATTGATAACTAAAAAAAATCCTTGACTACTATAATTGCTTACCCTTTCATATGTCCTGATATTTTAGACAAAGATTAAATGATTTCTTTCTTTCACATAGTAGCCTTTGCATGTTTTACGGTAGGATTATTACACTACATTCGATAATATCAATGTTTCTATCGCGCAGTGCAACAAAATAGATTAAACTTTCGAAATAAAAATCTTAAAAAAAACAGTGGGTAGAACTAGGAATATCGACTTGTTATGAAACTAGTAATACCTAATGATAAAATCGTTGTAGAATTATAGCTCTCTGATAACCAATACATGTTTCGGTATGTGCATTAATGGAGTTTTCGGTGGGCAAGAGTAACTCGAAATTACAGATATCTGGCTTGTATTACATATTAACATCGTAGATTGTAATTTTAGTTAATCTGAACCTTGAATCTTTCAAGCACTGTTTATTTACATATTAAATTGCATCGTACCCATTTCGAGCGAGACCAGTTGGCCCAACGGCTGCAGTTTCTCCCTCAAAGCATCTCCGATCTGTCGGACGATTTCGCCCCGTGCCGGCGCTGGCAGCTCAGCCCAGGAGTGCCAAGCGTCTTGTGCGGCGGAAGCACAGCCCTCGTAATCAGACAGACTCCCGGCCTGCACCTCCGCTATCACTTTCCCATTAGCCGGGCTGATCGATTGGATCACCTAATAAATACCATTGTGACTTATAGACAGTTCGAACTTCGTATCGACTAACAGACAATGTATGTCGTGTTACCTTTTAGCTGAACTCAATTTAGGCTTTTATGAACGTAATACAACGTATGCAAAGAAATATTAAATTTAGTATTTGATTATGATAGCACAAAAAGAGAATCAAATCAATAGGTAAAAATCACGTACAAACAGTCAGTAAAATTCAACCGCGTGGCAGCAATACATGATTGAAATTATATATTTTGCAGCTTGGGATGCGATCGGGTTAATTCACTTCATTCAAGCGCCTTCTGATATACAGTTTTTGTTTTGTTATCAGGCGCAAGAACAAATAAAGCAGATGGTTTGTCGACACGTGAAATGCCACGTACAATTAAGCAAGAGAAAACGATGTATTTTCTAGTTTGAGATCATAAACAGTCAATGGTAATTATTATATTATATAAGAAGTAGAAAATATTAACGAAGAAAGAAATTCGTTACATTTACTAACGGATCTAATCTTTCTAAACGTTTTTTTTATTAATGTAAAAAAACAGTCGTTACAAAGATTTAAAAGGTATTCGGAACTTGTTAAAATTTAGAGAAAATTGTTGATATTTTGATGGTCAGAACATACGTTAGTAATTTTTAGTAAAATAAACTACTCCAGTAATGGATTATGTATTTATTAATATCTCTCGCACTATTTGTTCTGATATCAATGTCATTTCAGTTCAAGCATTAACGTTTGCAGAGCACTTATTGTGTTAACTACATATGATACCTTAATACGATTTACAACGTCGTTAATCAAATACAACAGTTAATAGAATATGATAGATAAACTTAATTTTTTAAGTTTATCTATCATATTCTTTAAGATCATTTAACAAGACATTAGTTCTTCTATTATAAAACAAAATGCTAATAAAACTAACTGTAAAGTTACTGTTGAAATCCGTTTACTAACAAATGTGCTAAATCTAAACGCAGTAAAGTTTTGTAATAGGATTAAGTACTTTACATGTTGACCTTACCCGACCATTTGCCTCCCATTTTCCATTAAACACTCCAATGTTTTTCTTCTCCAAACCCAAGTCTTTTAGGAAGGCATATTTAGGGTCATCGATAAGGTACGCAGACATATTGCAGGCGAGCGGCACTTTTATTCGCAGAGTGAAAACTGCACGGCACAAAACACGACTCATCGGTCTTGTTCTCAATACACCGAATGAAGATAATGAATGTTGTTTTCCACTCGGAACACGGTAAACACGTATCTCACATATTATATTATCAGTTATCGTATTTCTTGACAATTAAATTAGTTCCATACATTACTTTATCGTTAGCTCAGATAGAGCAGTTGCTGGGTCAAAGTATTATCTTTTAACTTGAATATACATATTTGATTCATTGTTTCAATATGCAAATTCTATATTTAATGGTTTCCTCAATGGTCTTCCACCAATGGTCATAATATATATATAAAAACACTTTCATTGTAAATAAATTAATAAATAATTACTTTAAAAACTTTTAAGTTAAACGGTTTTATTTTATGTTTTTTTTTTTTTTTTTTTTTTGTTAATATTGTATTGTCATCTAAATTAAATGTGTGTACCAAATTTCAGATCAATCTGACAACGGCAAGGTGCTTAAATTTCAATTTCTAATTTTGACCCAAATAAATAAACAAACAAATTCCGTACGGGTCGAGCTAAATAAAACCGTTTAAAAAAATGAAAAATGGCAATTATATCTAGCTTGAGTGCAATTAATTTGCTCATATATGCTTCTATTTTCTTATATTTTATTCTATGTACCCTTGAAGTGAATAAATCGCATATAAACCTAAAAACCTTGAAGTATATAAACCTAAACCCTTGATGATTTAATGATGTTCCCATCTTGTCATACTTTTTAAATGTATTGATTTACTTGCATTAGTTTTAAATTGCAGGTATTTAGCAATTTGTACATGAGATATTTCTGGGACTCGTCGACTGTGTAACGTCCTCATCGACCCGGTCGAGGAAGGGGACAATAGTTTTCCGGACTAACCCCAAATAAGAGCACCACTCTCTGTAACTGTGGTAGGGCCACGCAACAGCTTCAGCTGTTGCACAAATGGGCAGATCCGTCCGAGTAATTACCACGACCTTACAGAAGACCGGCGTGAAGTAGGCGTAGTAAGTTTCAGTACAGTTATATAGTTGTCTAAGTAGAAATTATATTCAAGCTAAAACAATTAAAATACCCAGACGTCATGGATATGAATAATGTACCCATTTCTGTAGTTTTTGTTTTTGTAACGGCATACGTATTTTGACATCAGTTAGGTACCACGAATTCTCCTCAATCGAAAATACAACTATAGATAGTTATTTAAAAAAAAGCTTTAAAATATATGCATAAAACATAACAATTAACATACTGCACTACCAAAGAAGAACCGCCGCTCAATTGAGCTTCAATGTTCGCACGGCAGTGTTCCATATTCCATTTAGCACTTTTTGACTGTGGTAGGGCCACGCAACAGCTGCTGTGGCATGAATGATCAGGCGCGTCAGGGGACGTACCACGGCCAGAAACGTGGCCGGCGTGGAGTGGAAGTGTTAAACTTTCACGTTTCGTCTAATGAGTGAGGTGACCGGAGGGCATTTTTTTTAAAGGTCAAAGCATCTCCAAGCTTATGTGGTGGTATTCACGTAAGATCAGGTGAACCGCCTGATCGTTTGTACGGTAAAATTTTAGCAGGCTACTACTTCGATATAGCAAACGAAAAACAAAATTAAATGATTGAAAAATATATAAAAATTTCCTTTTTTCCCTTTTTTCTTACTTCAACTCATTACAGTAGCTTGGCATTTCAAGTAGTGAATGGCAGTTAGGTGGTTGGCGGAGCTGGAGTTACAGATTTAACCCCTTCCACAGTGTCGTATACGTCCATGGGCGGCACTTAATTTCAGCGTCTATCAAAGAGTATTATCTGAAATCTGTATGATATACAATCTGTATAAAATTATATATCTGGCGTCTATATACCATAAAACATAAATCTATTGACGGCGTACTCGTTATCGGCCCTGGTTCGAAAACTAGGCGTGTGTATGTATAACAATACCGTACATCGGATTTCATACGAGCACAAATCACTATCTTGCATGTGTTTTGCCCAAATTGATTTAAGAAAAGGCAATAGTTGTTTCAAAAGATTTTATTGCATAATAAATAGAATTCCTACTACCAAGTTATCTCTACTACTACTACTAAGATAAAATTTGTACTGGTTCCTAGTTTTATCTTCACGGGTTTTAACAATAAGTAAAACAAGCACCTCTTGTTAAAGAATTGTCTTTCAATAAATTATTTCTTTAATTTATCACATGATCGCACAAACTCCGTTTTTATCTTTTTCTGATACTCCCTCCTTCATTTCTTTGGACTTGTAAGCAAGGTATGTATTTTCATCTCTCTTAGCCATCCATTCTGGCAACGGTTTATCCCAATCCGCTGGCGGAGACTCCCGTTTCTTCCAAGTGTCATTCCTATAGTGTGCTCTTAATCTTTCCATGCGACGATTTTTTTCACTTTTTATTAAAGCTTCCTAAAATAATGATAAATATTACATATAATTGTACATTAATACAAATAAAATCTTTATTAATTATAATTTGCTAATATTAAAAATCAAAAAATAATAACAACTTCTGGATTATTATTAAAACTTCTCAAAAGGCTTGTGAGGAATCAGTCAACTCCGACTTTCCACGCAAACGCTTTTTATAATGTTAAAAAAAAGTTTGTTATATACAGGGTGGCTTTTCTAAGTGTATCCATTTTCTTTTACGCGCGATCATTCATAACTATCACGCACACAAGTTCGTGCACAGTAAAATTTAGGTATTTATGAATAACTACCGCATTGTCAACACGTTCTGTTTCTTAGGGAAAAGAATGGCATTTTTTTTGGAAAAAAATTGTTTTTATTTCAATAAACGATTATACTACCGAGTCTGAACCTCCTGTGTAAATTTGGGCACTTCTCAAAAAATCTCCCTGTATAGTTTAGTTTCATTTAGATTTGGATTTGTATTGCTAATCACTCATCATTGTGTCAGTATCATCCAAAGGAGTGCTAAGGTAGTTGAGCACGAAAATCCATGATTTCTGACGGCTTCTCTGAATGTAATGTACTGTTACCGTAAATTCTTGTATTGCATATTTTATATTTTTTTTAATAATTGTAAAAATTTTAGTACACATTCTTTAGATAATGATCATTAGTTTTATTGCTAAGTTTTATTGTGTTACAAAATATAATTTTATAGCTGAATTCAATTACGATTTTTTTAAAGTTGTCAAGAGAGCATAGGCAGTTCACCTGATGTTAAGTGAAACCCGCCGCCCATTTACATCTGCTGCACTCGAAGGGCCTATAGACGTGTTGAAAACTTTTTTCAAAGTGGGCTTCGGTTACCTCTCTTAACAACACGAACAACTAAAGTATAACTGCAATACTTCTACTTCACGCTTATTTTCTCTGGTATTTCCCCGGATGAGCCTGCCCATTTGAGAAACAGTAGAAGCTGTTTCTCAAATGGGCAGGCTCATCCGGCTACACTAAAATTGAAAATTAAAGATAAAAAGTATAAGAATTAATAATAGATTAAAAGGAAAAAAAAAACAGATAGTATAACTCACTGCAGCTTTTAATTCTTTATAATCTTCCCACTTGCAACAATTATCATAATCTTTCTTCCATTGTTTGCAATCCTGAAGTTCACCATAAACAAAGTACTGTTGAAATCTTCCCCTAAAGCTGGTACACTCTTTGTATTCCTCTTTATATATGTCACACTCTCTTATCTAGACATAAGAGTAAGAATAATTATTGCAATTTTTTTTAAAGTTCACTTTACTTTTACATAAATATGTTTCTGTTTGAAGTATTTGAACTATCCATATAATACATAATCATTTGAGTCTAGATTAGTAGCAAACTAAATATTAGCCAAAACTTAAAATATGTACATAAATTGTTCATAAATTTATTTGCCATTGCCAAGATTTGCACTATACTGCATATACACTTATTTAAAAAAATATGTGCAAGACCCCACAGGCATTGGTGGACTCATGGAGGGGCGGAATGAGCGGTCAGACCCGGGCCTCTGGACGTGGCCTCCCAAACGCCTTCATGTTCCCCTGAATAATACTAAACAAGGCCTTAAACATATGCATTCCCACTACGTATCTAAAAGGTTTGAAGTTGGGAGGTTCTGTAATAAATACAGCCTGAGACCAATAACCGACCGTAATTCACAATTTATGAATAAAATTACTAGTATTGTAAATCTTTGTAATGTCTTTACAGATTTAGTTCAAGATTCACTTATGTATTGCATGTATTGTTTTTTGCTTTTCTCGGCCGCTAACAACAACTAAGAAGAGGAGATGACAGAGATATGCCCGAACATACATTAAAAAAAATGTAAAGATCCAAATTGTATAACCACCTCCTTTTGAAGTCCATTAACCAACAAACTTGTTGGACGTAAAAATTACCTAATAACTTATTTTTACTAACTGATTAATAATTGATTTTTTTTTATCAATCAATTCATATTTTATTTTCCCTCATCCATTATTATATATATACAGTTAATTTTTAATCAAGAGTAATTTTAATTTCGCTTCTAAGATTAAAAGTAAATAAACATAAACAGTTATACATATTACGTACGAATATGAAGTGAATTAATAAAAGCTTATAAAATTATAGGTCCCCATTCAGCTTTGCGGCCCCAGCCTCTAAAGGGCTTAGACTGCTATTGCACACAGGTCTCAGGTTTTTATAGTATATGGAACAAATACTATATAATATATCGACTTATTTAAATTGCCTCTTATGCCACGCCTGCCCTGGGGAATAATTAGATAAATAATTATATTTGAAACAGAAAAATACAAACCAGCCATTTATCTTCCGGTTCTGCATTTGATTCGTGAGTATGAGTAGAATCAGAAGTAGTGATATTTGGTTTTTCATTATCTGCTTCTGTATTTGACATAATGGTAAATCATAAAAACTCAATTCATTAATTTTTCACCTTTTCCTTCATTCGGTCCGTTGCGTAATTAAAAAATGTATCTTTAACAAAATGTTTAATATATTTATTTCATGTTATAAATAAATGTACTTTTTTTTAAATAGTATGAAACTAATCTAGTATAATAATAACTTACAAAACTTTTAAAAAACTTGTCACTTTCTAACCTAAAACTCAATAACAATTTTAAATTTTGACAGTCAGCTGATTTATGATGATGTATATCAAGGTTTGGATTTAGGTACGATGAAAAAGATAGTACAAAAAATTGAAAAAGATAGTTTTTGTGAAAAAATTACAATACACTTAATAATTTTGATTTTAACGGGCATTAATTTACGCCTCTTTATCAATTCTCCAATATTAGTTTCATCTTTAGAATTTAACTTTTATAACATAATATGTTAAAAAATTAAATTAATAGGATATTATCCTAAGTAGGAATAAAATCAGCATAAATTCCACTTTTATTACCATGTTTGATTGCGTGCAAACACAATAAAATGGCGTCTATGGATTATGTATATTTCTCATGATGTCTAAATTAATCGATTACGATTAATTTAGACATCAATTAACTCTACTAATACCTCATAGTGCAATATACAAAGTTACATAGCTTAGCATATCATTAGGTCTTCAACAATTAAATATAGAAAAAAAAAATTAATAGGAAGTCCCCGTAAATAGTTCACTTCATTGATAAAAATTATTTATAATCCAGATCCTCGTTAATAATTGACAATGACACGTGGTAATATCCACTTTGTATTGTTTAAAACATTAGAACGTTATTAAACCCATTAAAACTTTTTTAATGTTGGTTGGCATGTATATTGGTTCTTCATGTAAATTAACGTAACTATAGTACATTTCCGTACTCCGTACTCCTATCCTTAGATATGGATAGCAGTACGAAGCATGAAATTATAGTACAAATACTAATTATAGTACAAAATCCTACCCTGAGTCTGACAACCTTAAAGGGCCCATTCACTATCGTGCCTGGTAGTCCGCCGTGCAGGATGTAGTCCACACACTATCCTGCAGATTATGTGTTGTTAAGGCCGGAGGCGAGGTAACATATGTATTTTACTCATTTCGTATGTCATATATGTCTGTGCATAAAGAATAAATAGGCGGGATTCGGAGTCTTTTCCTGACTGAACTAGGCATGGATATACCTGCAACATTCTGTACCCGGCCTCAAAGGTACGGGTATTGACGTATACCTGGTGCTAAAACCCAGTATCAAAATACCTATAGGTATTAGGTTTGTTCAGGCCTCCTTTTGGAGATTCAATCAAATCAAACAAACCGAACCTTTGGAACATTTAGATGTTTTTTTAGCAATCAGTTTTTTGAAATTGAGATTTAATCAGTCTAAAATAAGCTCTATCTTTACTAACGTAAAGAACCCTATTACAGAAAAAAAAGTAATTCAAAATAAATATTACTGTTTAACCTTATTACGCAATTATTTATCTACATCTACATTTCTTGTCATAGAAATAAAGAATAAATTTATCTCAAGGAATTACCTAATTGGTATAAAATGCCACAGAGCGCGAACGTTATGAAATACCGCCGCCGTGTGGCAAAACGGCGCTAGGTCCACGTACTCGCGACCGATATCGACAATATCTATCGGGTCCGGAACGGGCCTCTGCCGTATCGGTCTGCGTACTGGTACGTTCAGACTGGGTATTCATACCTGTACCAGTATATACGCCTTATCTCTAGACTGATTGCCCGCTTGCCTCCAAGAAGAATTACTTGACTCCCGTGTTCTATTTCATGTAAAAAGACGTCATAACATATCGCGCGTGGCGTCAGGCATCGTTAGGGCGATCCCTCACAATGAATGACACCATTAAAACATCCCTCAGATGCGTATTCGGACCTACACTTAGATCGCAAACTACTATGAATTTATTTTTTCCGCCTTATTATGCTTATAGATTTTATAGAGGTCGCGAAGTCGCAACAGAGCGGATGATGTCACCGGGTGTATGTGCAACAGCTTCGTATTTATCCTGAATGGATTTTGCAGACTTCTTCTGAAAAAACTGTCTAAGCCTTCAGTTTAACGTCAAACTACAGTTACGCAAAAACAAAAGTCTCACAACAAGTTTTCGTTTAACCGAACCAATCGCATTGCTATTCACTGCATCGACTATACAAGCAAAAAAAAAAAAAACAGAAAAAAAATAAGACTTGGCTTAAAGGTCTTGTTACCAGGCCATAAAATCTTTATTAAAAAAAAATTACTCTACAAGCAAAATTAAAATAATTTACAAATGACATTTGTTTTTATTTACATTGTAATTATAATACGTTTGTTATCATCATTTATGTTGATAAAGTGCATGCCCTTTGTACCGTCCAAATTTTATCCTACTATATAGTTAATGTTGACTAGTTGTTATAAAGTGATTTAGTTAGCTAAGAAAATGTCACTAAATAAGTTAGTTGCGGGTGATTGTGGTGGTAACAATTCTCTAGTTAAACTATCCAATATTGTCAGTAGAGATGCGTCTATTTCGCAAGCACTTTCACAAGCGGATATGTTTGTTAATGAATTTATAAGTCAGAATTCGCAAAGTCCTCAAACATTTAATATGAATACATTACTTAAAAATGTACCTGATATTGAAAATTCTAAACCGGAAACTGGCGTAACACAATTCAAAACCAATCAAGTACCCCGTAGCTCTCAATTACACTCTCCGTGGTTACCAGGACCATCAACATCGTATATGATTCAACCAAATATGCTACAAACATTTCAAGCACCGTTTTCACCGTCATTAAGGCAACAAAATATTTCAAATATTAAGATCCAATATATTGATGAATCTGAACTTGAAAATATACAGAATAACGATGTACGCGCGAAAGCCCAAGAATATGTAGAGACTGTTAATACTGATGATGAACAAGCTTATAATCAGTTTATGTCATTTATGAAAAGAATTAGTGCAGGGGAGTTAAATTTAGGACAAACATTACAAGATAATGAACAAGCAAAGGGCAAAGATAAAATGATTAATGAATTGGCTGAAAAATATAAAGATGATTGGGCCAAGTTGAGTGATGTCACAAGTGATTGGAAATTATCTAACAGTGATGGGATTCCAGAAGAATACTCATTTACAGAGGGTAATGTTATGTTAGAAAACAAAAGTGCTTTTGAACTTGGCAAAGAGAGATTAAAAATGGGAGATATTCCAGGTGCTGTGCTTTGTTTTGAAGCTGCTGTACAGCAACAACCTGATTCTGCTGAAGCATGGTTTTACTTGGGGACTACGCAGGCTGAGAATGAACAGGATCCTTTAGCAATTACAGCACTTAAAAAATCATTGAACATTGATCCAAGACAATTAGAAGCATATATAACTTTAGCAGCAGCATACACCAATGAAGAGATGCCAAAATTTGCATTTATTGCATTATTTAATTGGTTAAGTGCAAGCCCTAAGTACAGTGATATAATACCTCGTGATGTAGACATTCAAACATTAGACTTGAAGGAGTTAGGAAATCATGTTAAATCATTGTATTTAAAAGCAGCTCAATTAAACCCAACTCAAATAGACCCCGATGTACAAAATGCCCTTGGAGTAATATTTAACATTAGTCAAGAATATGATAAAGCAGTGGACTGTTTTAAAACAGCAATAATGGTCTCTAGTGATAATGCAAAATTATGGAATAGACTTGGGGCAACATTAGCCAACAGTAATAGATCTGAGCAAGCAGTAGATGCTTATCATGAAGCTCTTAATTTGGAGCCAGGTTTTATTAGAGCAAGGTATAATGTTGGTGTAACTTGTATGAACTTAGGAGCACACAGACAGGCAGCTGAACATTTTCTTGTTGCTCTTAATCAACAAAATAAAGCTAAAAACATGCACGATGATGCCAGTGGATTAAATATTGGTTCTTCAACAATCTGGTCTACACTTAGAATGGTTTGCTCTTTTATGGGAGAACATGATGCGGTAAATTTGGTTGATGATAGAAATTTGATTGAACTCAATAAACAATTTGAAATAGACACATGAAATTTAACAGTAATTGAATTATATATCACATTTATTTTTAAAGTTTATAACATAATTGTGGCAAGGGTTATATATCAATTGTTAAATAGTGGTTGTAAGATTATAAAGGGCTCACAAATTTATAATAAAAGTTTTGAAAACAATTACTTTTTTTTACTATTTGTCACACAAAATTTTATCTTATTTAATTTTACAACAAAAGTTATTAAGTATTTACATGAAGAAAGCTGCAACTAGTGTCCTCCAAAGGGCAACCCTGTGGGTGATTAGTATAAAACCAACATGGTTTTACTTGTAATTTTAAAGTATTACTTTTATTTTTTCGCTTTTTCATAGCTGCCACAGTTTCTTCAACTGATATAGGATGTTTTAGCTGTACTTTTCCATTTCGAACTTTGAAAATATGGTTATTTTTTAGTAAAGTTTGGATTCCCCCACACTCAGTCTTCAACTTTTTTAGGGTCTCATGTGGAATAATTTTTATTAAATCCTCTATATTTACTTCTTTCCCAGGACTCCATTCATCTCTAAATTTACATCCTTCCAAAAGAAATGTTGTAATGTGTGTAATAATAGAATCAATAATTGATTTCTCAATTTGAGTGCAGTTTCTAACTTTTTCTAAAGGACTTCTAGGCTTAAACTCGTTTTTATCAAAAGTCTGATTTTCTCTTTCACTTGCTTTGCTACAATTATTAACTATCATTAAAACCTTTTTAGTATATGTTTCATACTCATTTTTCATATACTTTCTTGTTCTACCAACAAAGCATATTCTTTTAGTGCTTGGAATTTTTAACCTATCAACTTCAGTAATAAAACCACAGTCTTCACATAATTTGTATATATGATCTAAATATTCATTGTACTGGCTTTTAGATGAATTTTTTCTTTGATACTTAGTACCATTAAAATTGTAGGCACAGCAAGGAAGTAAAAGGAAATTGCATGTGTAAGAAGATAAAGTGGCTATAACTGGTATCCATGGTGTGAGTTCATCTGAATGATTGCCAATTATCCAGTCATATTCAGCAAACATTTGCAAATTTTCTGGTGTAACTGTGTTTTCCTAGAATCAAAATGAATATTACAAGATATAAGTAATAAAATTTCACAAAAACAAAGAAGATTTACTTATTTAAGCTTTATTGAAAAACCTTTAACAAAATTATAAATGGTGCACCTAATGCCATTTGGACATTTTCTCCCAGTCAACCCGGGGAGTGGAGAGATTGTGCTAGGTGCAATAAGCTAAAAAAGATCATTGATAATAATATATAATAGTAATAATTTATAAATGCATTATTAGAACTTACTTGAAGATTTATGTTATCTTCATACATGTCCCATATTTTTCTTTTACGTACATCCACTCCTAATCCCCTGTGTCCTTCTTTTGTTAAAATATATACAAGCAGACCATTTCCACAGCCCACATCAACAAAATTTACAGCTTTTTTTGTGTGTTCAGACTGACTAGTCTGCTTTTCATCCCAAAGAAGAAGTAAATAGGTAGCTATAGCCACATCCTCGTAAACAAACTTAATGGGGTCAGTATTCTCAGGCCATATCTGGAAATAAAGAGAGAGTGTATAAAAGGATCCATATCATTATTCTGTTACTTCTTGTCTTGGTACCACTTCAATCAATAAAGGTTGGCTACCCTGACTACTACATGCAATTTGTACATTACTGTTGTAAGTTTAATATAAAAATGATCGCAAATTTAAACTCTTAGATTCCCTCTTCACATTGCCACATTGAAGCATCTATAAGAGTAGGCTTGATGGTTATCATATCTTATTTCGCTATAAGAGGCAAGAGATGAACAGAACAAAACCCAGATTTTCATTAGTCTTTACTGTAATTTACCTTTTATATGAAAAGCATAAAAAATATAGTTACAAATTGTGTCATTTAGTAGTGAATTCTTGTAGACAAATGGCCGGAATGCTGTGGGATTTGAACCTGTGTCTATGATCTCGGAAGACACAGGTTTGAAACCTGCAGTGGCAAAAATTTTTGACCATTCAAAAACAAAAGTTAACATTGTAAATTTCATCTTGGGTGAAGAGATTAACACTCAAACAAATCTAATCATACATTTATTTTACTTGCCATTCTCGTAAATTAAACTTAAATAAAAAAAAGGTTGAATGAATATTACCTTCACCATTTCCTTCCCATATTTTAATTTTAATTCATTATATTTAGTATAATATCTACTTAATGGAACTAATATCAGAGAGTCCTTAACAGCCATAGACTTATTTGTATTATTGCTTAAATATTGTTCCTTCCACTTAACTATTTGGGGTTGTACTTCTTTTATGAGCCAAGTATAAGATTTAGAATTTTTATCTGAGAAAAATTGTAAGTATTATTTTAAAAATGCAATTATATTTATTGGAAATCAACTAAATTTTATTTTATTTTGTTGATAATGCAGGAATTAAAATATCAATGATTGGATTGGATTTAAAAAAAAACTGATTATATAAGTTAAAAAAATGATATGGATGGTTTTCTAAACAAAGCAACCACACAATAAACTAAATTTAATACACTTATTTTTATATATTAAAATACACTTTAGTTTTTTATACTGTGCAATATTATTATTGCTTGCATCAAATATGGTAGAAGGTATGCTAAGATATATATCTAACCGTAATTTCCAAAAACTTCTATATTCTCATTTAATAGCTGAAAGCTATATGCGAAATTTGGACATAATTTTTGGTTAAATTGTTTTGGGGTTACGTCGTAAAATGTTGCAGTTAGTGTATCCTTTTTTAGGCACACTAATTGGTAACAATGGCTATCTGTGAATGTTTTTGGAAGTAATTCAATTAAAACAATTTCTATCATATTCCTCAGGTCTTCTGTTACTTGGCTTTCGTTTATCTTCTTGAATTTGGCTTTTTTCATTATAAGTTCCATAAAATTATCAACTTCATTTGAGTTTTGTAAGCTCAAATGTTGAAGTTCGTTTTCCCAATTAAGATTGTCGAATTTACAGACATATTTAATAAGTAAATTGCACCCCCATATTCTTTTATTAATAAGATGTGGTTTTGTTATCAACATATTGATTGACTTCCAAAAAGATATATAATTAGGAGAATTCATTTCCACACTGATGAATGACATTAGTTAGTTTACATTCAAAAATGAATATAAATTTTATTTAATGTAATGAATTGATTGGTATGGTCCAGATTCATTGATTGGTATTTTGGTATGGTCCAGATTCATTGATTGGTATTTTGGTATGGTCAGATTTCAGATATATTTAAAAGTATAAAGGTACTCTTTGGTAATTAACAAATAATTTTTGGAAATAATTCAAATTTGAGAAATAATTCACAATATATTAAATATTTTTTTTTCTTTTCACACATTAGGTATCTTTATCCGATATATTGATATAAAATATTATATATCGAAATCGCATCAAAAACGATATTTTTTCAAATTCTAATCCGGGACAGAGTTCGTTCATTCAAATATATGGCATAAGCTTAAGTTTTTTTTTCGGCCAACAATTTTTTTTTTGCACGAGGCGTCTAGCCTGAACCTCGGCGTATTATTATTACGCGTTATGGTGACTAAGCTCGCGGGCTCCCGGGGGAGCCTCGGCTCGGGCCGTCACGCTATTATTATCACCGGTTTCGGAGGCCGCCAAGCTCTTAGGGCGCTTTACCGGGCGCTCCATGGAGTGATCAGGCTCAAGGGTCCCCGAGAGGGGACCTCGGCTTGGGCTGTCACTCAACACCCGTTTACCATTCCAATTCGAGGGTGCCCGAGAGGGCCGGACCTCGGCTGGATCAGTAGCCTATTATCTGACTGGGGACGGACAATAAGGCCGTCAGGGCCTAATAAGAAAATAGCGATATATCGATATTTTCTCTACGATCGATATCGAGGCCGATATTGATATTTTCATAAATTTCGATTTAGTTTTTCTCTTTCGGCATCCCTAAATTGAATATGTCATTAACATAGTGTTGCCAACTACTAAAAAAATGATTCTAAGATCAAGATAAAATAGCCGTAAATAACCCTAAATGCAATTTTATTAAGCTCCAAAGAAAACATGTATTGTGTTAGATACCTAGCTTTAAACACAATACATGTTTCCTTTTCTTTTTCTTAAACGAGTTTTAGGTATGTTAAGGTAAATATAATATACTTTAGTTTTAATTACTTTTCTTTATAAATAGTTTAAATAATTTAACAACACAATATCAAATAACATTTGATTAATTATTATACTTTTTGTTTTTCTTTTACGCATTTTGGCAAGAAATATTATTCATGGGGGTAAAAATGGCCCTAAACTTTTTTGGACCCTAAAAATGCCCTATATATAATAATTCACGTCTATCGTGCAATGGAAGTACTTTGTAATATTGACAACAGTCTTTATGTATAAATGTGTAGCTTAGTGCGGAATGCGAAAACCAGACTCAAGAGGCATATTCTAGAGTACTTGTAACATACACAAAGTAAATTGTTTTTATACATTCGACATCATCATAAGATTTAGATACTCTAAATAGGAAACTGAGCGTTTAATAAGCTTTTTCGACTATATAATTTATGTAATCTACCATAGGTGTAGTGTATGTGAAGGTATTATATTGAACCTGCATGTTTCTATACAAACTCTCGAGCGCAACACGTTAGTATCACGAGTTCACAGCTAAACTAGTGCGTGTTCGAGCCTTCAGCCTGTGAATATCTTCGATCAGTTACACAACGTCTAAATCTATAATAAGGAATTTCGAGTCTAATAGAGGTCTTAGACAACGGTATAAGATTTATGTAAGGGAATTTTGTTTAAACAAAACCGGACTTGATTTACGCGTAAAAGTTATCTGGGTTCACTTCTTTACATTAATGCTTATTCTATTTTTATTGTAAATTTTTACCAAGTTGTTTAAATAATTCTGAAGAAGTTGGAAATCTTCATTTTTTAGGATTCCGTACCTTAAAAGGTAAAAAAAGGAATCCTTATATGATCCACTCCCTTTCCGTCTGACCGATTTTCTCAGACCTAGTTCGAGATATCAATTTGCTTTTTCGTTAGGTTACGTTAGATGTCGCTGATTACTCTGTTTTCCTCTAGAACTTCATAATTATGCATTGTAGACTTTATAGAGAATATCAAAAACTGTTTCTCTGATGCATTATTTTTGTGTCTCATTTAATATTTTACCTTCATAATTACAAATTTTAGCCACATTGTTTTTTATATATAATGACAAATTTATATCACATTTTTTTTTAATTTTTACTTTACGGCAACGATATCTAGGTGGCGTTAGTATAGAGTTAAATCACATTATGGTTTGCCTGTTACAAGAACATAAAGCCTCTGTAACTATTATAAATGTTATTTATCACCATTTACCTACGCATACCTAGCAAACTGTTAGTTTGTTAAAATTTTTGAAAAGATTTCTGTTTTGTTTTTATGGAAATCTTGTGTCAACATATTATAATTATATGCAATGCCATTGAAAACAAATAGTTAAAGAAGCCGTTTAGCGTTTAATTTTAAAGTAACGTTTCAGTAAACCAACCAGCTCCGACCTAGATGTCCCTGGTACACCTCAAAAAGTTTACTACAATCAACGCTTAACAAAGCAAAATAGGTTGCTTTTTCGTGACCCAAGATTTAAATCCAAAGAATATGCCTACTCGTATTGCTGGTGTACCAATGGAAATATATTTGTCAAGCAACGGGAAGGTAAACCTGCAATACACATACGCAATCAGAAAGACCTGTTGCGTATATTTATCTCTGCCTGTGAGCAATGAAGCATCAACGGGGACCCCTCTCGTTCTTCACAAGCTTTTTAGTTCAATGTTTAGTTTTAGATATATAGATTTTAATTCAAACCATAATATTATAATGTTTATAGTATTTACATTATATTATAATTTTATTGCATATATAGTATTTTATGAATATTATTCCGCATTGCAGAATATTAATAACATGGATATCCGTAAGACGCATTTTATCTTTTCACTGAATATGAAAGTGAATCCCCGTGAAATAATTTTCACTTCCAGACAGTCGCATTTATCATACCTTTAAATTCATTTCGGAATAGCACTGATATCGTGTGGCAGTCCTAATATAAACATTAATTCAAAAACTCCTGTTAATTTACTCTTACGTGCAAATGGCGGTTGAAAATAACATTAAAGAGTTAGATTCAGTGCACATAGATTGTCACACAATACAAGTGCCTGAACACTGTAATAGGGTTTTAAACGAGACTTACAATTTTAAAATACTAACTTTCAATATTCGTAGCGTAAATAAGAACTTCAATAACTTCCTTATCACCTTAAAAAGGTTTAATGCTGACTTTGACTTTGTTATATTAACCGATAGCTGGCTTGATGGGTCAACGGTTGTACCCCAAATTCCATCGTATAATTCGTACAATTCAAATATTGTAATTAATCAAAACTGTGGCGTTATTATCTACAGGCACTTATTATCTACAGCGTGAAGTTATAATCGCGATAATAAATGAACACACATATAAAGGATAAGTTTTTTAAATTGTATAAAACATTTACATTCTTTAAACAACAATATTTACAGAGTTATAAATTTTCCAAAACGAATTTAGAATTTTAGAACACCCTTACCTACGTATAAAACTGTAACGTAAAGTTCATTTGTAAAGATCACACAGCATATGAAGGGATTGAATGAATTTAAAAGAGACAAAACATACTGTTACAAGGAGAGGCTTGTAATGCGACGATGTGGCAGTGAATGAAAAAGTCTCTGAAAGTATGAATCAGTCAGTTGTAGTTGTATAGGATGTTACAAATGTTTTCTTTTTTATTTAATTACTTTGTTTGAAAAAAAAAATTATTCATGGATTTTATTGACAAGTAGCGTTAGACGTATGTTCATTTATTGTCGCGGTTGTAACGATACGCTGTATATGTAAATTAACAATTATTTGCCTAGTTGACGCGTAGACTTTGATTTTTGCCCATTTTGAACAAAATAAAATTCAGATAAAATTTTGAATTGCCGCCAAAATAATAGAAAAAGCCAAGAAAGAAATGTTATTCTCCAATTTCATAATAAGAACGAGTGTGGACTGTGGATGCTTTTTAAAATGTTTCTAATTAATAATTAATAATTTTAGACGACCCGAATGGCGTAGTGGGTAGTGTACCTGCCTTCTGCGTCAGAGGGTGTGGGTTCGATCCCCACTACTGGAAAAATATTGTGTGATGAACATAGTGTTTTTCCAGTGTCTGGGTGTTTATATATCTATAATATGTATTTATTTACAAAAGAAAAGTATGTTTAAGTATGTTTATCAGTTACCTAGTACCCATAGTACAAGCTTTGCTTAGTTTGGGACTGGAGAACGTTGTGTAAAAATGTGTTCTAAATATTTATTTATTTATTTAATTAGGCGTCCAAGCGGCCAGTAACAAAAAATAAACTCCTACATGTCTCTCATTTCGATTGTCATTAAAATTCGATTTCATTAAAAGTAAGATATGTTTTATATGTTATGCATTTATGTGATGTAATGAGTTTTTTATTTGTCACTCAAATAAATTATTAACATTATTGCAATTTGCATGATTATTTTAACTTTGCTGACTTTTTACTTTACTTACTGTATACAGGGAGGCTTTTCTAAGCGTATCCATTTTTTTTATTAAATTCTAGATATAAAAATGATAAATATTTAAAATCAGTCGTAATTAATTAATTACATTCATTTGAAGTTGTCTCAAAAAGTGCGTGATTTATGGGCAGCTTATTTATTTTACGCGCGATCATTCATAACTAACACGCACACAAGTTCGTTTTAAAAGTATACGCCGCATTTATGAATGACTACCTCATTGTCAACAAGTTCTGTTTGTTAGGGTATTACAAATATACACATCCTGGTAATCGCCTACACTACAACCACTCAGCTACGACATTCCATTCTCAAGGGATTGCTTACTCCGTACTACGTGCCGTCGCACGTAATCCCACGGATACGAAGTGGTTGCGCAACACAGGTGTTGGACACCGGGACCGTCCGAATCATCGCAGCGAGCGTCACTCTTGTCTCTCACATCGAGCAACTGTCACCACCCTTAGAAATGTAGTTAACTTGTAATTTTTATATAATCAAATAAGTAGTTTTAAGTTTAACTTTGCTTTGAAGCTTTCCTTTCAACCTCTTCGTTCACCTTACGGAGGTGTTCGGGGTCGATCGGAAGCAGACTAGGGGAGCATTGAGACTCCAGACTGTCAGCCAGGCTTACTCTTCTTCCAGCATTGCTGATGTACGTATCGGGCGGACTGGTGATGGCATGGTTGAGGTGGCGTTACCCTTGAGGGATTTGGGAAGTTTCCAGAAGGCTTGGTGGGACGGTTTTATTGACATTAAGGTGGAGTCCCACCGTTCGTTTCGTGAGTCGTGATTTAGTCGTTTAGTGATGCGTGTTTTGATCTCACGCTGCAATTTACGTAGCAGTCTGCGATTCGAGTCGGTGGGATATCTACCATAGGCACGTGTGGATGCATTCTTGCGTCTCAGCAAGTCGCGTATATTAACTGGCAGGATGATGCCCCGAATCGCCGCTATATTTGTATGCTCCTGTGGGAATAAATTCCTGCTCTCTGATTGGTTGACATATTGGTTGACCAATCAGAGAGTTCACATTATTTATTCGGCACTCCCGTGGTGCGTTACCTTAAAGTAATTGGGTCTTATAGCTAATTTACAATAATTAATATTTTACTTATTACGATGACACTTTGAAGATACACTTTTTAAATAATTAACTTATCGTACTACACTCGGTGTGAAAAAAATCGCACATCCGTAAAAATAAATTAAATACTATTTTAACACAACAGGCCAATGGCAATGTTGTGGTTTGAGGGTATCATTCGAAAGGTAATTTCATTAGCTTTCAGGAATTTTAATTGAATTTTACTATTATAACGAGACGAAAGAGAAATTAAACAAAAAGTCAGGGTATGTACAAATTTGCAAATTAATAATTTAAAAAAAACTTAATAAATACAAAAAAAGTTCTTAAAACCTAGTGTTACCCCCCTTGCCTTGATAACGGCTTCCATGCGATCTTTCATGGACCTTACAAGGGTCGTAACAGTCTCTTGGGGTATTTGTTCCCTCTCTTCAAGTACTGCATCTTGGAGCTCTTGAAGAGTGGTTGGAGCTGGATCTCGAGCTCACACGCGCTATTTCAGGTCATCCCAGAGATGTTCTATTGGGTTAAGGTCTGGACTTCGTGCTGGCCAATGCATAACAGGGATATCGACCTCCTGTAAATAATCCCGTACAATAGCCGCGGTGTGGCAACGAGCGTTATCATGCATTAACATGAATCCATCACCGACATAACCAGCATACGGGACCACATGTTCCTCCAGGATTTCAGTAATGTACCGACCAGCATTTAATGACTCTTGCCCACAGCCACCCCGAGTCCGGGAAACGCACACAAGTTCCGTTTTCCGGTCGACGGAAATGCCGCCCCAAAACATACACGAGCCACCTCCGTATTCGCCGGATTCTTTGAAGCAGGGTTGTGTGAACCTCTCCCCCTGTCTTCTGTAGACCCTTCTACGTCTGTCATTGCAGAAGAGACATGAGACATGAGACTTAGTATATATAGTAATATGGATTCACTAAAGGCAGATCGACAACGGATGCGGGTGTCGCACTTGTCAAGCATATTTATAACGCCTGGGAAAGGTCACAAGATGCAATAGGTGTCTTTTGCGACCTTTCAAAGGCTTTCGACTGTGTAGACCACGAAACCCTCCTTCAAAAGCTAGATTTTTATGGCATTCGTGACATCGCCCTCAATGTCATTGTCTCTTACCTTAGTAATAGAATTCAAAAAGTATCTATAAATGATGTAAATTCCGCAGGGTCCCCTATGAAAATGGGTGTCCCACAAGGATCGATCTTGGGTCCATTCTTATTCTTAGTGTATATAAATGATCTGCCCTTTTATGCCAGTGAGTTATGTGATGTTGTACTGTTTGCTGACGACACATCGCTCATTTTTAAGGTTGAACGAAACGTGTCGGATTATGACGACGTGAATATTGCACTTTCGCGTATCCTCCACTGGTTTACCGTTAATAATATGGTGTTAAATGCTAAAAAAACTAAATGCCTTCTTTTTACCCTTCCCAGCGTAAAAAGGCAAAGTTTTAACTTAACATTAAATAGCGTAACCCTTAATCCTGTTGAGTCCGCTGTATTCTGTTAAGCTCCGCTGTTTTTGCAATTAGGAAGGTGAGGCAGCTATCAGACATCGACACTGCCAGACTTGTTTATTTCAGTTATTTCCACAGCATCTTGTCTCACGGCATTTTGTTGTGG